CAAATAACTTTGTAATTCCTCCTACCTCACTTTGCCAGGTTCAGAACAAAGTTAAATAATGCCTGTACCCTATTTGCACATGCTGTAGTGTTGGCCATTGAGATCATGATAGAGTGGGTGAACTCTGTTGATAGATTGAGTCTGAAAAGTCTGGCTAATCAAGGTTCAGAAATTGTGTTCCAAGAGGCCAAATGTGAGGTTGGGCTGTGTTTGTGGTGTAGTGCCATAGTATGGACTTGAACATCCATTGACCAGCATTAATCTAGTTATACTGCTAACACATTTGGATCTCAAGGACAGCTGCATAAAACAGGATAAATGCATGAACATGGTGTGGACAGGTGCAAATGCAGATGGAAGCACCACAGCCTGTGCAAGTTTTGAGATTATGGTTGACTTACTTATAAGATGACTCCATAATTCACAAATCAGTAGGTGATGATAATCACCATGCACAGGGATACTTGTGTGAGATACACAGCAAAAGGATATGATTACTGCTAGTGCATGTAGTTGGACTCTGATGAGGCTTACATGTTGGATATGATATGCAAGCAAGTCATCCAGGTTAGTCTACGGTCTATAGGTCATTCTGGACACAAATATGTCAATAATGTGAGGTGCAGGCTTAATGTTGATGTGAAGGCCAGAGCTGTAAGGGGAAGTGATCCATCTACCGGAGCATGTTAACTGCCTGTAATTCCGGTAAAGGATCATCAGGATAGTGCTTCCTACCTCTGTTCCAGAATTGATAAACAAGTCCGGAATGATAAAGTCATTCCGGAGGGTGTCTTTGAACATGCATCTGGCCTCTGTGGCCAGAGACATGAAGAACACAGCCATACTGGACTATGCCCATTTGTGACAAAGGCGCATTAACCCCATGCAGCTGTGACAGAATGCGGTCACGTGCGGACCAGGCTAATAACGCACCATAGCAATGCATGTTGCAATCACATTCACGAACAGTCACAACCAGTCATGACACTTACGATCGCAACAAGGACTCGTGGAGTGCACTGTAATTCCGCTCCATTTCACTTTTCATGATCACGTAACCGGCTACTTCAATAACCGGTCACATGACCTAGTTCGGCTACCTTACATTACTGTCTTACATAATCATTCTATGACATTCCTAGACATTCCTTATGACTTCATCATGATGTCATAAACGCGTCATCAACACGTCATAGCTGACATCATACATACATCACTCGTTTACCATTAGTAGTAGTACCTCGCACTGCTTGGTCTGTGCGCACACAGTCATTACCATATTAGCTAGTCTGTTTGGCTCGACCAAACACTCTGTACTTGTATATAGTCTGAGCAATCGACGCCCCAAGACTCTAAGTGAGTTCTTGTGGGACTTCCTCCTACAGATCTATACCTAGTCTTGCCACGTAGGCGAGCAGCCAAACTCCCTCCATCCCGCCTTATCCCTCTTGTTGTCGTCCTGTACAGGGCCTCATCGTCCACCTCCTTGAGGTCTTGAGTGTAGTTGGTTTCTGGGGCTCGCACCTTAGGAGTCGCTCACAATGCAGGGTCACTGTGTTTTTTCTGCCTGCTTGCCTTCACCACATTTCTGTGTCTTGCCATCCTTCTACATCGTGTGTTCTCTATATCCCTCATATTTCCAGCGGTATTACTTCTGCCCCCCTCTTCAGCACCACCTATGTTGGATGTACCACCCACCAGTGACCCCATGGCCGCGGCCGGACAGGACAATGGACAAGACCTGTTTTGCCTCTCGAGGATAGACCTGACTGTGGTGGCATCCTCCTATGTGAAGTGGGCAGAGAGCGGGAAGAAGGCTGACAAGCAGGACACGGTGATAAATGAGGTTGTGAAGCAGCTGGTAGAAAAGGATGTGAGTCTGGTGGCCCGGCATCCGTTCCTCAGAGAGGTATGATTGTCCTCGTTGTTCCTATTGCTTGATGCAATGTACTACTCCACAGGTGGTCTCCAGCACATTTGATGCCATGCTGGCCTCAAAAAAGGGCCAATGGTCTGGATTTGACGTTGTTGACAAGCTCTACCATGACAACATCCATAAGCAGCTTCCAATGGTATGGGCAAAGGTTTACCCAGAGAAGCCGGTTCCGGACACATGGAATAAGTACTTGCACATCCATTCGATGGCCCAGAAGATTGTCTGGGATGGCCTCTCTCCCATCCAGAAGGCAGAATGCAGTGCACTTGCTGTGGTGTGGAACACTGTTTCTCCTCCAGCAAGTGTTCTAGATATGTGAGTTCTGCGGTTCCTATCATCATGTCAACACTGAATGTGTTCATCAGAGAATATACACGCTGGTTCACTGCCAAGCTTGCCAAGTTTCTGGCAGGCATACGTTGGGACTTTGGCATCCATGGTTCTTTCATTTGGGGGCATGTCCATGCTGATGGTGAACCAAGTTTTAGATGGTAAGTCAGGCCATGATGTTAGGTCTCTGGTACTCATGGATATGGCTGTAGCTCCGACACCAACTCTTCTGAGTTACACCTTTTGGCCTGGCTCAGGGAGATGGGTGCTGACAAACGGTATGAAGTCATACAATCATTTGCCAAGTTTTACAGAGCCAACTACTGTAAGTGGTAGTCATTCCGGCCCCGCCTGGTTGCTTACATGAAGTCAGGCCCTGATAAGACCACCAAGGGATCTGACAAGAACAAGGTGCCGGAAATAACCAAGGATGTGACTGGTTATCCTATTATGCTGGATGTTACTGGGCTGACCTCCAAGCCCTTGACAACTGTCTTTCGGGAGTTCCTATTGGCAGTCCTCCACCTGGCATTGCCAGTCTACCGGCACAAGACTGCGAAGGTTCCCTGGGGCCTTCTCTTGAAGAAAGAGAGGGAAGCATTTACCGTTGATTCACACTTTCCGGAGGGCGACTGGATTGCTATCTTTGAGCCATCCAAGATGGGAGATGATCATATTGCGGTCTTGTGCAAGTACTGGCATACCAAGCAGCACACTGACAAGGTGAATCATCCGGTGACATTTTCCCAGGTGATCATCAACCAGAAGCTTGGATTCAGAGGGCGTGCTGAGCAAGGTAGGGCCAGCCGGTGTACAACTGCTGTCAGCCAGTCTACCACCATGTAGCCATCTGGTGCAACCATTCCGGAGGTGAGTGCATCCTTACCATCTCATTCACCTCACTGACTGTATGCCAGGGCACTGAGGTCACTATGGTTCCGGCGTCAACCATACAAGATGGAGATGGGGATGATGACTTTTTCTCCTGCATAGTAAGTCAGCATGTCATTATGTTGGCTGAGCTCACATCCTGTCAGACAAACCCACCGGTGCCTCACCCATCTACGAGACACCGGATTGGCTCTCCGGAGAAGGAGGAAGGTACTGGATCAGAGCATGTGGATGATGGAATGGTGGCAGGCACTGATGCCGACTTTGATTTTGCACTGGAGCTTGACCTTGGTCTCAACTCTGAAAGTGAAGATGGCCTGCCTGCACCTGAGGTCATTGACAAAACACAGTCCAATAAATCTCAGGTGCCGGTGGTCAGCATATCAGTCTCTGATACCAGCATCCAACCTACTCAAGCACCAGCACCAGCACCAGCACCGGCACCGGCACCACCCCACAAGCCCAAGCCCAAGCCCACTCAAAAGCAAAAGGTTGACACTATGAGCATATTACAGTACATCAGTCAATCTACCTTCTGATGTCTTCTAGGAGGAACACTCTGATGAGCAGGCTCCTAGTAGCAGTGCAAGCAAGCAAATCCGGAAGGCCAGCAATGACACTGCAGGTGCCAAGGCTCAGAGATGCCCAGAGCCGGATTCAGACATAGACACCGACTCTGGTAAGGACTCTGATGTGGACTCTGGAAGTGAAGCACCAGAGCCTGTAATTCCGGTTTGCACTCGGAGCCAGAGGAAGGCTGACACAGGGAAGATCATTTGTGTGCCAGCCAGCCGGCCCACCCGCAGTGCAAACAACACTGGGCGGGTCACTCGTAGCCAGGCTGTTCCAGCACTTAGCACTGGAAGCCGTAAATCAAAACCGAAGTGTCATTGATTGCAGAGTATATAATTTGTACAGAGATATGTAAAAAGAAAAAGACAAGAACAATATATCGTGATAGGACCTACTCCTGCTTCCACAGCTTTGTCTGATCATAGGCCATCAACGTTTCTGCAATCTTGATGGCATCTCCCAAAGTGGCTGGAGGCCAGGAACCATACATCTCTTTGAAAAACTCCGGATAGATGGACCAAAAAACGTCCTTGCCGTTCTCAAGGGTACTGATCATGTGTCCGACACCAGCTTCGGGGGTCTCTGGATGGAGAGCCATCAACTTGGTGGCCAAGTGGGCAACAAAAAGGTTGAGGAGAAAGGTGGTCATCGAGTCATCAGGCTGCTGCATCATCTGGGTGAGGACAAAGTTGCAGTAGGAGTTGGCGGTCATGCCGGCGGGGACCATGTCATCAAACACAGGAGGCCGAGGAATGGTTCCAGGGTGCCAGACCCAAGAGACCTCGCCGCTGGTCCTGGGTTCCCAAGAAAGAGTCATTGTTAGACGTCTGGATTCTCTGGGGCCCGGTTCTTTGACGCTGCCTGGACAGTCCTGGTCAGCAATCCGGAGACATCTGAGGGAGCACCCACTCCATCCGTAGGTGGGCATCCGAGATCTGGTCGGCACACCATCTAAGTGACCGGTTATCACAATATCTGGACACAAGTCAGCAACATACCTGTGCCACGGAAGAATGTAATGTCAGGATGGTCCCCAGTGCCGGCCAGAGCAGTATCGCGCCGGGGCGCCAGGATATCATCATCACCAAGCCCAGGTACTTTATAAATATGAGCACAGGAAGTGATAGTGCAGGGTCACGTACCTTCAAAATTGAAGTCGTCATCATTGGTGGCCGGCGCCTGATTGTTCTGGGAGGGGTCCTCTAGTAACACTGGTGTAGCTCCTCCTGTCATTGGGCATAGGCTATCAAATAGACACTGGGATGGGTACGCACATACCAGTTGACCTCCCACCATCCTCTCCTTCTCCAGCCGGCTCATCAAGCCCGAATGCTGCATCCACTGCAGCGATCACGTCAGTGTGAGCATTGCATGCAATGGTAGACCTTACTCTCAAAGTCAAACAGATTGTCTTCCTGTGGGGCCGGATTGGTCTTGGAGTGGGCAGAGGTGCCCGATGCTGGCTGTGCGGACATGCATGCTGCCAGCTCACTACCGGCTGCAGCAAAGTCTGCAGAGATACATAAGTACATATAGACTGGATATAGATTGCATGTGGACTCACCCCAGCGCCCAGCTGGGGGTGGATAAAGGGGGGATTGGTTAGCAGGGGATCTGGATGGGATGGCGTCTACCACCTTACCTGTTTGCTTAGTGGGTTCACGCTTGGGGGGCATGGGGGAAGAATGGGAATTGCAGAAAAGCGTGCCAGACCCCCATGGCTTATCTGACAGCGAGGGTGTGCAAATAAATGTAAACAACTGGTTCCGGCAGTGCAGGTGCTAAACACCGACAAGCATTGAACTCTAAATGCTGGACGCGCATCCTCTTGCCCTCTTCTCACCCGCCCACAACCCATCACCACCATGACAGACAACACTTTCACCTTCCCCAGCTTTGCTCCGGCTGCCATACGCACTGTGGATAAATCTGACAGCAAGTCCGTTCAAGCCACCCTCAATTTCCTAGACAATCGATATGCATCAGTTGTCGAGGTAGGCTGGAATGTGCCAATGGAGCAGCAGAATGAGTTCAGGGAAAGGTTGAAGGCCGAGGTGGTGAGTACATTAGTGTTCATGTTTGTTATCCATTTCTTTTCTCTTTCCCTACCATACCCCCAGCCCAAGGACGCACTAACGTTCTTCAGTGGCCGGTGCTGCCACTGGTGAGGCCCATCCTGTCGGTATAACAGGTGGACCTTGTAACCCCTCGCCATGTTGTCGTGGTTGTTGGGTCTGGCATCAACTTTGACTCACCCCACTCCCTCAATGTCGGAAATCTGCATCTCCGGTTGCAACCAGGGAGTCCAAATGAAGTCCGAAAAATAGTTTAAACCTTATTTAAGTGGGTTGCCACTGACTTGCAACCGTTTAGCAGCTAAAATGGTGAATATTACGTGGTCAGAGCTCGCTTGTAGGCGGCTAAAAGCGCATTGCAAGATCGTTACAACCTGCTGCCAATCCTTGTTCAATCCGCTTGCCAACCGCAACTCTTCTCTTGGACCAAGTTAAATTGGCTTGCAAGCGCCGCCTGAAAGATGTCAGTTACAACCCCTTATAAGGCATTGTAAGCTCTTATAACGCCGATATAACCGCTAATGCAGATTTGCGACAAAGGCCATGACCGGCAACACCTACCTACTGTCTGAGAAAACCGGCGAGCTTGGTGGCAACCTTTGGTGGTTGCAGCCACCCTGAGTACCAGCCTCCAAGGCTCCGGTGGTAAGTTGTTTCTTGTCTCGCATGTTCACCACTGACATCTTCAATTTTTGGGAAGAGGATAATGAGACATGATTAGAGAGGATGTGTAATTTGGAGGAGAGGAAGACAGATGGGTGGGAGAGCAAGAAAAGAAGAAAGAGAGCACATCAAGCAAGAGTGTGATGGATGTGATAAGAACTGAAAACACTGCTGAAGGTTGACAAGCCAGTAAGCATTTTATATGAACTCTGAGTGCATTTACTGTCAAGGACATGCCAGAATTGACAACTTACATGTTTACAACTGTCAGAAATCTCCATGAATGTGGTTGTGCACCGTGCACCCTGCCATTGTGATACTAGTCCATCAAAGCTCTGGAAGTGGGATTGATTGACATTAGTAACATGAGCATCAGGATAAAACATAGCTGACTCACCTTGAGGTGGCCTTAGGCCACACATGCTATTGCAAATGGACAAATAGAACTGTAAGGTAGGCAACGTCAAGCAAGGTGGGTTGGATGTGAGGTGTGGTCAGCATGCAGAACTCAGTCAACGTGTTGATCAAGGTCACAGGCTACCGGTACCTGTTCTAAATGGTGTTTGGAGCATTCAGCCGCAATGAACTTTGTCCCGCCTGCACCAAACCCCAGGAACCTATTCACAGGACATACAGTTTAGGAAAAGACTATTTGTAATACATTCCCACACCATTGTGAACTTGAGGTCGAAAAGGTACAGTAGTTCCAAAGACCAAGTCAAGTAGCAGTCTACATAAGTACAAGAGCAAAAACACACAAATTGCAGTAGGACCTATGCTGGTGCTGATAGGCAGAGCTGAGTTCAACATGGGTTATACCTCCTGGAAGAGCTCATTGAGGTTGGGCCAACAAGACATAAAGGATGAAACTTAAAAAGATTAAACCAGGGAGAGATGGATGCTTGAGCCAATCATCCCAATATCACACTCATTACAGTACTTATAAAAGTACAGGTTGAACATGCTGAGCCAACAGACTGGATGCATATAAGGACAGGCAATCATTGTTGGCCTATTTGACACAAGCCCACACATAGGCATAGGAGAGTTACAGAGGTGCTAGGGTGACACCCAGGGCCACTTGCCAGACATATCAAGTCCCCAACAACTCATCCAAGAAGCAAAACTATTGTTGGACTCAGCTTTGCCTGTCAATGCCATAGGGTCCTAATCACATGAATACTAGCATGGGCACCACATTGATAAATGTATTCTTCCCACCACAACATGGTTAGAGTATGTTACAATCTGTTTATTTCACTCTTTGTATCTGGACATCTACTAGTATCAGCAACTGGACACTTCTAGTAGATTCAATTTCATTCTATCTTTTTCCTTGTAATATCTTGGATTCCTTATGAATCCTGACGGCTTGATTACGAACCACAAGTCCTTATGACTTGTTTTCTTTATCAGCGCATTGTATTAGGATTAGCAATAATATGAATCCTGATGATTCATATTACTTCTTTCTCAGTCAGCGACTGACTGATTTCTTAGCAACCACTGTAAGATCTTACAAATCACAGTGTCATTGCAACTTGGTAAGCAACTAGTAGAAAGGTATATAAACTCGCATGTACGAGGCCCAAACGCCTCAGACTAGTTCTACCTCTATTACTACAGACAATCGTTCTCACTCTAAGATCGTAGTTGCGGACTACCGATAGTAAGACAACACAAAAGATAAGATAGTAAAACTTAAGAAATCAGTTCTCTTCAAACCTCATACGCAAGGCGTATCATCAGATTCTTATCAGAACATCGAGATAGTAATCTACGAGGTTCTGAACCCTAACAAAAGAACTAGTCTCACCAATAAGGAAAGACCATGTTCTTTATCCAACAATAATGACCAGCTCAACTACGATAACTCAAGGGGATTAAGGTGCTTCAACAAGTACCAGCACTCTTCACAGAACAAGATCCGGAACGGTTACAGCAACTGATCCGTACGCATCAGCATATAATCGGAGAAAGTGCAGAGTAATCAAAAGAAGTGATTCACCTGATTCAACGTACCCGGACAAAGAAGATGCAACCAAAGGTCAGAAGGAAGCCACCAAATTCATTAGGGACATGAAATATGAAAGATTATTCGCGAGCACTCTTGACAGAGACACACTCGAGTGCAATTTAATCTTTCAACATGCGCTAGCAAGAATTAAGGTGCTAGAAGATGAAAACAAAATAGCTAGAGAAAACCTAGTGGATGCCCAAGACAAAGTCCGAGAAATGGGATGAGAACCAGCTCCTCATTTAGGAATTGGAGCACCAAGGACATGGCAGCAGAGAATTAAAGAATCTTGCAAAAAGGGAAAAGAACCTGACAGGGGACAAGGAAGTTCAGGCAATCCAGGAAATCCAGGTGATCCAGAGGACCCCGATGATCCAGACGACCCCGGCAATCCAGAAAGACCAAATGGCCCCGGTCCTAGAAACCCAAGAATTCCTACTAATTCAGGAGAAGGAGGCAACAAAAATAGAAAACCATACGCAAAGGAAAAACACATCGGAGATCCTACTCATTTCGATGGGAATCGAAAGGATGCAGTTAGATGGTTCATCTCTGTCAGAGTATATTTAGAAGAAAATCATGAAATATATGACATGGACGAATCATGGGTTAAGTTTGCCACTCAAAGGATGACCAAAGGCACAGCACGAGAATGGGTAGATTCTTTTTACCAGAAAGTCATGGCAAAAGAATACCAGAATAGACAACTGGGAAGTACCGAAAGTGCCTGGGGAACATGGAACAAATTTGGTGACCAATTTTGGTTATCATTCCAACCCCTAGACCAGGAAAACTTGGCCATCTTGGAAATGCAAACCTTAACTCAGAAGAAGTGCCGAACTTTGGATGACTATATCCAGAAGTTCCAATCAGCATTCATGCGATCCAATTTACCTGATGGAAAAACAATCGTTCAGATGTTTATGAGAGGTTTAGATCAAGATCTTGCGTTATCAATTATTAACCAAGGAAAACCTCCAGAAACATTAGCCAATTGGATACCCAAAGTAACGGAAGCCTATAACTGGCGAAGACAATACTCGGTAGCCTTAGGACACAAATTACCGGAAGCATCACTCTATAAAAATCAAACATCCCACTCACATAATCATGGCGAAAATATGTATCATCAGCAAGATCCCAATGCCATGGACGTGGATGCAATTGACTTCCAAAAGTGCAAGGAATACAGGAAACAGGGGAAGAGCTATTTATGTCACAAAATGGGACATATGCAACACGAACATTATTCCGAACTAGGAGGAAAACTACCACCAGTACCAGGGCAGCCAAAAGAACCCCCGAGAAAACAGAACCGAAACAAGGGAAACTTTCAACAATGGAATAACGGTAAATCCCAAAACATCCGAAAAATCGACAACAATGAATCCCTTAATGCCACCGACATAGCAGCCGAAGAAGATACTGATTCCCAGGATTTTTGAATGGGGAATCAGAGGCGGATCCTCACCGGATAGCCCCTATCTTTTCAGGGATCCAGAACCATAAAGGGTTTTATTTACCCTTTCAAACACAAATTGGAGGTAGATTCATAGAAACCAAAGCATTGATTGATAGTGGATCTCAGCTATTGGTCATCAACGCAGAATACACTGAGAGGAAGAAATTTCCTATCAGGGAACTAAATGAGACAATACGAATCCGCATGGCAAACGGAAATACTCCGGAAATTAAAAAGAGAATTACGAAATTAACTTTCAAACTGAAAGGGAAAAACTTCACGGAAACATTCATAATCACAAAACTCGGAATGGACGATGTTATCTTGGGTCATCTGTGGCTAATTAAGAATAAGATCTCCATCAATTACGAAAAAGGAATTTTACGAGTTCCTGATGGACGTCACATCCAACTACTTGGTCTAACCAGTGATGATTCAAGTTACCGAATCAGCAAACTAGTTACTGTTCCGCCGGTTCTCAAGAGCAAAGCACCAAACACATCACTTTGACAAAAGATTCCGAAACAGTTTTGGAAATATGAAGATGTATTCAGTGAAGGAGAATTCGAATTTCCCCCAGAACAAGAGTATGACCACCATATTGAACTCGAAGATACTTTCAAACCTCAAAGGGCGAAGAATTATTCAATGAAACCAGAAAATCAGAAAGCTCTAGAGGAATTTATTTCGGAAAGTTTATGAATGAAGAAAATTACACAATCTAAGTCATCACAAGCAGCACCCTTCTTTTTTGTTAAGAAAGACGGAGGTAAGCTTAGGCCTGTTCAGGACTATAGATATGTGAATTTACACACGAAAAAGAACACTTATCCACTGCCAAGAATTCAAGATCTCTTCGATAAGCTAGTAAAAGGGAAATATTACACGAAGTTCGATCTCAAGAATGGATATAATAATATCCGCATTAAACCCAAAGATTGATGGAAAGTGGCCTTTATCACTCCTTTAGGCCTATTTGAACCGAACATTATGTATTTTGGGTTATGTAATTCTCCAGCAACATTTCAAGTGTTCATGGACAACATATTTCAAGACCATATCAACAAGGGATGGCTTGTAATCTACATGGATGACTTACTCATTTTCACGGAGGATGAAGAATCCCATGACGCATACATCAAAATCGTACTCGATGTGCTGAGAAAGCATAAACAAATCAACCCTGGGACGCGAACCAGAGGTCCGGAACAAATGGAAGCACGAGGATAAGAAACTCTACTACAAGGACCGACTTTACGTTCCACCGGAGTTAAGACATGATATCATTCAACGAAATCATGACCTACTGCATGCAGGACACCCAGGAAAGTTCCAAACACGAGAATTAATTGCTAGAAACTTTTGGTGGCCAGGTATGGCACAATACATCAACAAATACGTTGAAGGATGTGAAGAATGTCAAACCCAGAAGGTTAACACCCATCCAACGGTACCACCCTTGAATCCAATAGCGTCATCAACGACAAGACCATGGTCAGTTCTCAGCTGTGATCTAATTATGGATCTACCCGTTTCAGGCGGATTTGATTCTATATTGGTCGTGGTCGACCACAGTCTTACAAAGGGGGTAGCACTTATGCCTACGACTAAAGAAGTCACCTCAGAAGGGATAGCGCAGTTATTTTTCGACAATATCTACAAAAGATTCGGACTTTACAACAAAAAAATCTCAGATCGAGGTCCACAATTCACCTCGGAGTTCTCAAAAGAACTCTCCAGATTATTAAAATATGATCTTGGCCTATCTACTGCCTTTCATCCTCAGACAGATGGTGAAATGGAAAGAGTGAACCAAGAAGTAGAAACCTATCTTTGCATCTTCTGTGAAGGTAGAGCAGAAGAATGGAGTGAACACCTGACAATGGCTGAATTCGTGCACAATAACCACGTCCATTCAGTAACAAAGGAAACACCCTTCTTCCTCATGATGGGATACCATCCTAGCCCAATTCCTGAGATCATGGAGCAATTGTCAGTCAGCAATGTTACTCAGCAGTTAGCAATCATCGAACGTGCACGTCTAGAAGCACAAGCCTCTCATGATTTGGCAAGACGAGTTATGAGCGAGAGAATCATGACTAATTTCAAACCATTCAATGTGGGAGACAAGGTCTATCTTGAGTCGAAGAACCTCGACTTAAAATATTCTAGCCGCAAGTTCAAACCAAGAAGAGTAGGACCATATGAAATTATTAAGGTCATCAGTCCCATTGCTTACCAATTGCGATTGCTGACCAAGTGGAAAATACACAATGTCTTTCACGCCAGTCTCCTCACTCCAGCAGTTGAGAATAGGATATACGGACCCAATAAACAATTGCAAGAGCCAGAGATTGTAAACGGAGAGAAACTCTACAAAGTAGAGGCCTTGGTAGGACACCAAAAAGTAGGCAGAATGAACAAGAAACGTTGGCAATTCCGTGTTAGCTTCAAGGGAGAGCCAATAGACACTCAGCAATGGTCGGACTGGAAGGAACTAGTAGATTGGGGTGCGAAAGAAATTCTGGAGGAGTATATAAACTCTCGTCCTCAAATCTTCAAGGACGACAACCCACTAGCGAATGCCCCTTCTTCCACCACTCAAATACTTCATATCCACTCCCCAAGGTGAGACTTATGTCTTCCGACTTGAGGATACCTACTCACACCGCGGCTATGAACTCGAATTTTACTACGAGTCACCCACGGCTAACAGCTACTATGTCCTCACCGATCACTACTCGCGGTATCCCTACCTACCCTTTCCACGACTGCCTTTTGCGCAAATCCCTCGAGGAATCCGCCGACCTCGAGAGCTATTTGGCAACCCGGACTGGTCACGATCTCTTCTGGGCGCCATACATGCACGAAGACGTCAGAGAGGTCTCCATTGGCACAACCTTTCAACGCGCCCTCCGCCACCTCTTTCTGGCTCTCCAAGAGTCATGGGATTTGGAGTGCCCGCCGGCCGAATCAATCCACGAAGACTCTACGCAACAGTTCATTGGTTCTGTCCGACAACTCCATTTCAACCTCCACCATACCTGGGCGGAGCTCCTCAATCTCCTCCGCGCTTTTGGGGGAATGCAGCGCCTCGATCTCTTGAGAAACGACATTCCTCCTTGGGACTGTCGTGAGTTCATTCAGGAAACTTTTAATTATAGTACCACATCTGACAGTGATGATTCAGACAACCCCAGCGGTGATGACAATGAGGACCGCGATGAGGACAATGAGGATGAGAACACCGATCTGAACAGCCAGACGTTGAGTTCGACGTCTTCTCAGATGTTGGGTTCCCAACGTGAGTACTTCACCGCACCCAGCAACATTTTCTCTTGTCCATCTACTCCCTATCCATCCGCTCCTTATCCACCCATTCCTTATACCAATGGCAATGGTCGCCACACTCCAGTTACACCACCAGATGCTGACGTGACCATGGTTAATTTAGCCAGGGTCCCGTTCGCGCCCACATCGATCTACCCTGCCCAATTTGGCAAAGGTAGGGATCCCCTGGAGCACGGCTGGACAACGATCAAGCAGGAGGACGTCCTCCACTGGGTTCGCAAGGACTCGAATCCGTTTTCAGACGGAAAGGTATGTCTGATTCATAATTATCCTAATTGCTGGTGTTCACAATTGTTGGCGTTCCTTTCTCCAGTATCAATTCGTCGTGTTATACTTAGACTCGCACCCTCGCATTCCTTTGACTTTGCACGCACGTGATTAGTTCATTCTCTTTTATACACGTGTTCATCTCGTTCGTAACCTCAGTCGTTCTCCCTCCACACGACTGAGGTATGTCCTGCATGTTCTGTATACGTTTCACTTGTCTTACTCATGTATCCTAGTCTGTTGTTCTTCACTAGGTACATATCTTAATATCAGTTGTTCTCCCTCCACACGACTGAGTCTGTTGTTCTTCACTAGTTCTAACAACAATTTCCTTGTAAACTTGGCATTCAGGACTCCGAAGACAAGCCAATGCTGGACATCGACGAAGTTCTCAACGACAACATGATGCCCAGCTTGCTGCCATCACCCGACGAGGAGCTCCCCGTCGTCAACAACGAGCTTGCCCTCTTCAAGGATGAGCCTTTCAACATCTCGCTCCCCGAGGTAAAGCAGGAGGAGCTCAATGAGTTTAAGGTTCCGGCACCAATCCCCGGCTACGTCCCTTCGGACAAGCTGAACAAGGTCGCCATGGAATATCTGGTAAGCGGCACAGAAGATTCATTCAAACGCTTTACTGAGCAAGTTCAGCATCAGATTGACACTCTTCGTCCTATGTTGGAACCATCTCCCAAGCCCCCTCATGAACCGTCTCCGGCAGTCAGTGAGGTAGGTCTTCATACTCCTCCTCCCACTCCACCCACTACTCCTCGTTCTCCACCCATCATCCTTCCTGGTATTCAAAAGTTATTCCCGCCTAACGCTTTCAAGTCAGGAATCCTTCGATCTGGACTTGCGCCGCTGTTCTACTCAGCCTCTTCTCCAGGGATTCGATGTTGGCGACGACTCCATCCGGGCCCCTCGGACCCGCAGTTGCTCACCAAGATATTCCCCAACTGGAACTACGGCCGCCCCATCTGGATCAAGAGGCGCAACATTGGCATCTCGTGCCATGTCTGCTGTCAGGAGGGTCATACCAAGTGGGAATGCGGCAACGTCCTCTGTGAGGGCGGATGCGGACGCTTCGGCCCCGGCCATCCTCCTTGCCTTTGCCCAGCACAAGCGCGCTCAAGCACCCCGGCCTGGAGAAGATCAGCGACGTCGACGCGGATTTCGCGAGCTCGGGTATTGACGCCTACGCCGACAGAACACCGTCGCGGATCTCGATGCCTTATAGACCAGCAGGTACGTGATGTCATTGAAAATCTTATTAGACCTATCATTGATGCCGGTACTAGGACTGAGTCTTAGGAATGTCGAGAACTGTAGGCAGTTCTCAGCTTAGTGGGGAGGTACTGTTACGATCTGTGTATTTCACTCTTTGTATCTGGACATCTACTAGTATCAGCAACTGGACACTTCTAGTAGATTCAATTTCATTCTATCTTTTTCCTTGTAATATCTTGGATTCCTTATGAATCCTGACGGCTTGATTACGAACCACAAGTCCTTATGACTTGTTTTCTTTATCAGCGCATTGTATTAGGATTAGCAATAATATGAATCCTGATGATTCATATTACTTCTTTCTCAGTCAGCGACTGACTGATTTCTTAGCAACCACTGTAAAATCTTACAAATCACAGTGTCATTGCAACTTGGTAAGCAACTAGTAGAAAGGTATATAAACTCGCATGTACGAGGCCCAAACGCCTCAGACTAGTTCTACCTCTATTACTACAGACAATCGTTCTCACTCTAAGATCGTAGTTGCGGACTACCGATAGTAAGACAACACAAAAGATAAGATAGTAAAACTTAAGAAATCAGTTCTCTTCAAACCTCATACGCAAGGCGTATCATCAGATTCTTATCAGAACATCGAGATAGTAATCTACGAGGTTCCAAACCCTAACAGAGTATGCCTAGCACCTCTGCAACACTCCTACACCTATATGACAGCTGGTGGTAGGCACTTGATATACCTACTTGACCGAGACCATTAGGAATACAAGAAACAGAGATAATCAAGAGATGACCATAAAACATGATAAGAGTAACAATAATTCTGGTTGTGAGTCTCCTGGACACATGCCCAAGGGGTGGCGGACATGCAAAATAAAACCACAGGTTGATATTTTTCAAACCTCAGCCAGGCTTGAACTAACTAACTATAAAGACAGGGGTATTTCCATATATAGTGGGAGCTACATGTGTAAGGCTGATGTGAGGAGAATTACATAGTATCTAGCTGTGTGCCTTCTTCCTGCCTCCCTTGATACATGCCTTGCACGCCCATGTTGCTGCCTTCCATGGAAAGAGAGTGCTGATACATGTTACATGATACTATGAAATATAATATGAGTACTTTGCGAGCAAACCACGAGTGAAAATATGCAAAAGGGCCCTCACCCAGACAGTCTCACAACCACTCCATGTACATTTGATGATGTCCAGATCAGTCTTTTCAATGACAAGCCCACAGAAACAACTGTTGAGCTCATCTGCATTGTGAACCTTACATTTTTGCCCAGAGCAATGGTTGGCATTGCTTCCAGCCTCTGGTGTGGGGCTACCTTGAAGCAAGGCAGCAAGCCTCGACAATCTGGGAGTAGACATGTTGTCAGTGCTCAAGATTGTTGCTTCTCAAACCACTCTTGAATCCCCTCAACCACTCCTTTTTGTGCTAGGTGTCTGCACATCTAACACAGTACACCCTCCTGTGGTGCCTTGCCCTCGCACTCAAGCATACAAAGGTGTAGTATTCCTTGGTGCATCTCAATATCCCAAGGGAGGGGTCTGGCAGAGTGGAGGGCAAACAGATAGATCAGGAAGGGGTTTTTCCCTCAGGGATAGGCAAGGGGTATCCCAGGCACTGGTATGTCATCTCCTTCCTGTGCATGACAGTCTTGATGACCATAACATTGCTGTCCAGGTCTACGGGATTGGCAGGCAAAAGAGGTGCATTAACAACACTTTCACTGCATTCAGTGCAGCTGCAAAGGTCAATGCACATTCGTAACAGGAGTAGATGCTGACATACCATATTTCCAGTGCCCAGAGCATCGCCCCAACCTTCCCTTTGAGTAAACTCCCTTTCAGTGCCCATACACAAACCTGTGTTGCTAGCCATTCCACCACCCCATCCATCCCAAACAGCCCACAATGTACCTCAAACTAACTAAGTATACCCCCGGTCTGGAATTGCAGCTCCGCCACCCCCTTGCACATGCCAGATACCCTATCTGAAGTCCCTTACCTACCATCCCTGGGCTACTCAACAGTGGCCAGATATTATATCCAGAGCCACCCACTTTCTGTCATAGGCTGCACCTGTGAGTGACCTTAAACTAGGGGAGTTACTGCACATGCAAACAAGGAATGATGATGAGTGAGAGAAACTAACCCTAACCCTAGATAGGGCTTGGGCAGAAGTAGGTGCCTCAATGAGAGGACTTGAGACTTAGGTTTTACGAATAGAGCTAAGGGAAAATCCCAAAAGAACTCTCTTGGAGTTCTGGGTCATTGATTGCAGTCTTATATACTACTGGACAGCTGTGCACAGACCATGTAACTAAAGGTAGGGCTCCTGCCTAATTAGGAATACAAGTACTTAGTAATACAAGCACACCATATTGTGTGATCCTTATGCCATATGATGTCATGGTCCAGACCTATCATGTACTTGGTCATGGGCCTGCTTATGTAATAGATAAGGCCAAAGCCTGGCCATATCAAAAACAAATGTGATAGATAATGTGTTGTTTGTCTGAGTTAGGGCTAGCAGGAGGCATTTTTGACAGCACAAATGTGCACTAGATACCCTACTTGGAGCCTTTTAGCTACAGCTAGAGCTGCTCTGACAGCAACCAGATATCCTATCTGGAGGGATCCATCTGTGTGTCCAGTGTTCCAACTAGCCAGAGGGGATTAGAAATACAATGAGCTTGTCAAGGTGCTCTACTCTCTATGACACCATGCCAACTGCCTCTTGACTAACCTGAGGACCAAGAAACATGCATTTCTTGAGACAGCTGAGGCTCAGCTGTCTCAAAAACAATCAAAGAAGAAGACTTCAACCTCAGAAGGTCAAAACACTGAAATTAATGGGGCTGAAGTGGAGCAAGGGCATGAGCACAAGGCTGAGCATGGACAAGGCAGGGATCTATCTGAGACACAACTCAAGGGCAACTGCAAGCTATCACATGGAGACAGCAAGGGTAAGCAAAAGCAGACAGATGCAGCCATCAAGGACATGGAAGTATGTTGTGAAAATGTGCAGGATTCTGGGATTGAGGAGAGTACTGGAAGACATCCTCTTTTGCTGTATCTGGACCCTCTGTGAGTATATTGTTCATTTTTCATTTTTATACTTGATGTTTATCAACAGTGCTCAAGTCATGGTGCACACAAAGGACTCAATGATTAGGTAAGTCCATTTCTATGATTATCTGTAGTTGTGTTCCTGATAAGATAGGGGTCGTGGGAATCCCGCACCCTTAGGTAAGCGTCGGTGCGCCCGTTCTCGCCGTCGAAATGGGATCCGACACAAGACACTTTACTGCATTCAGACACCTAGGACTAGCCACTAAGAGGATAGACATGAGGTGCTAGGTTTCTAATCTACAAAATAACGCGCACAAAAAAAGTTATTGGATGACTTTCCGTAAGGTCTAGGATTTCAGATTATCCTCAAACTCTAAAAGCCGAGATGCTGCTGTCAAAATGCTGTCAAAAACTGTCAAAAATCTGAGAATTCGTACTCAGCTGTCAAAGAAAACCGTCCTCAGACTCGATATCTAGAAAGGGGGGGGGGGTACCCCCCCTTTCTAGATGTATTTTGTGTCCTCACCGTTGTATCGGTGCACCTGTCAGGTTAGCTGATGTCTTGCGTGACGCGCGACATGTGTAACTTACATTCCCACGCACAGTGTCTCTTGCCCTCAACGTTCAACGTTCAACGTTCACCTGCGACCACTTCGCATCTCCCCATAATGTCGAGCTCCTGCTTCAACTAGCCTGCCCATAGGCATGTTCGGCAGGGGCTACTTGGAGAGCCTTCGAGCACACGCTATACTCCCCCAGTCACCCCTGCCAATATGAGCATGCACCCGGCCACCCAATAATGTAAGTCATCATGTTTCTGACGGGCGCAATCCTATGCCACGACCACAACTGAAACCTTCACCCTACGCAGCTGCCCTTACAGCACCATTACATGTGGTTCTTGACATCGGTAAGCCCTCAAGTCCTCTTTTTTTGTGCCCCTGGCCAACTTCTTGGTGCTCATGGCCCCTCTCCCCTCGAAGTTTTTGACAGCACGAGTCAAAACGGCGACGACGGCGAAGACGAGTCGACTGCGCAATCAGAGGAACCACAGCAACGCCAATTTTTGACCCTGCAAGTCGAAAATTTCGTGTTCGGAGGCCGGTACAAGTGTAGGCAGGAGAGGAGGAGAAATGAGGATAAAAGGTGAGCCTCTATGCCCTCCGAACCAGCATCAAACTTACCATCTGCCTCAATCTCCCCTCAAACATGTCTGATTACCCCCAGCAGCCCTTCTTCATTCACCCCACCTCCGGAATTTGTTATCGCCAGCTCGCTGACAGTTCATGGGTTCCCGACCTCCCTCAGTCACAGGTACGCTGTCAACTGGCTTTTATCTGTTCATTCGTATTCACACCCTACAAGCTTCCCTCCCTCCGATCTATCCTTGAATCTGACACGCTCACCCCGGACCAGCGTTTCGCTAGGACTTTACCAGTGAGCACATTTGCGCTACACTAACATCTACATGTTACTGATCTAGCCCTTTAGGTTTTACCTATGCCTGCAGCCACCACCACCAACTCCCATCACTCCTCTCTCGAAAACGACCACGACACGCGCACTCCGTCCCATCCATCATTCGAGAACGGCCACAACACCCTCAACCCTCCCTTGCATATCACCTCCGACCACAGCACCTCTCTCTACCACCCCACTCACGAGACCGCACGCAGCGAGGCAGCTGCTACTGGTGCTGGCCATGCGCAACCTCGTAGGGGCACTCCTGCCACGCCAGAGGACGATAGCGATGACCAAGCCATCATGGCTGGCCTGTCCCGTGAGCTCGCCTCGGCTCATCAGGCAGGTGGCTCACGCCCCTCTGCTCCTGCCAAGGCAAAAGCGAAGGGACGTGCCGACGTGCCCCAGGCCAGTTCATCAAAGCGCAAGGCCCCACACGACGCAGCCGACGAGCCAGTGGACGCAAAGAAACGAACGGCACCTGGCTTCAAAGGTCGCATCGCCGGTGCCCCCAACTACAACAACACGGATGTCGGCGAGCTCCTCAGCATCGTCCGGGCAGTGCTTCCGATTGGTGGGAGGGCATGGCAGGAGGTCGAGCGTCTGCACAACGAGTGGGCAGAGTCAACGGGGCGCCCAACTCGCTCCGCGAAGTCCCTGGAGGCGAAGTTCAAGCAGGTGCGTGCTTGATTTATGTTTCTAGTTCGTTTTCTAATGAGTCTTATAGCTTGTTTGTATTCGCAAGCCAACGGGCTCAGCAGAGTGTCCCCCGCATGTCGAGGCTGCCCAGGAAATCGAAGACCTTATCAACGAGAAGGCCGGCACACGCGATCTCAACGATGATGAGATCGTGGACATCGCAGATGCCAGTGACGACGAGAACAGCAACCACAACACCAATGACAAGGGCAAGGGCAAGGCCAGTGAGCCCGGGCCCTCCACTGTCTCGCGTGGCCGCAGCCAGGCCCCCCGTGCTCCTCGTCACCTTGGTGCCGACCTCCTCCAGACGATTTCGGCGTCACTTGACCCCCAGGCCCGAGCTGAACGCGAGGCTGAGCGTACTGCTTGCTCACTCCATACTGCCCATACTCTCCACCTCTCGTCGCAGCTCCGGGAGGCAAACACAACTATCAACAACCTCCGCAACCTCCTTCATGAGGCTGAGCGACGTGCTGACCGGCTTGAGCTTCGTGCTCAAGTTATGGCCGATCTGCAGCAGCCTGGTGCGGGTGCGGGCCCGAGCTCATTTAACAGGTGTGTACATTTACTTTTGTGTTTGTTCTGATTGCTCACATGTATGTAGACTTAATAACATTCTCAGCGATAGTACCAATCTCGAGCACACGACCCGTGTCCGTTGTGTTCGATATGCCGATGGAGGTGCTGCCACTGTTGTCATCAATCCTGGTGATGACGAGAACCAGGGCCTTGATGATGAGGGTGTGATGTCGTCCTGGGATGAGGGTGTTCCGCAGCCAGAGGGATATGAGCGTGAACAGGAGGGTGACCATGAGTAAATAGATTTTCGTAACTATGACAAAAATTCTGCTACTGCTGCTTATGACCTTTTAGTACCTAATACCTTTTCTTGTACATAGTTTGTTTGTTATACATGATGAAACCGAGCAACACGATCAAGTCGGCGTTGCTCACCAAACAACATATGTTCAAAATCCCTCCAAACCCTCTCCTGCTCCGTTTTCTTCCAAATTGGCATATATACTGACCGTATCTGATTAATCCCCACAAGACGAGCACGCACATTACTTAATCGTGCACAAACCTCAAGCAAGTCTGCTCGATCAGTTCCTGAACCAATGTTGAGTGGAATGCGAAGTCGGCCAAAGGAACCTTGCAACGTCCGCATGCCCCATTCGGCAGCCTGTCGAAAGGATACAAGTTGAGCATCAAATGCGAGAACCTGCTGGCGTTCTGCTTCATTGTGTGGAAGGCGCTGCCCAGACTTCATTGGGGTTTTGATCCGACCTGCAATCTGCTCAGTTCCCCTCGGAAATGCTGTGTCAGCCACAAGATAAAACCCGTCGGGTGTTTCTGTGCGAAGGAATTGATAAATGGGCTGGGCAACACGAGAATCATGCCAGCTTCCAGGTGCATTGATCCTACACATGAGAATAGTCCCTGTAGCAGCTCTGAGTATAATCGAGGTTCAGTAACATTGTCATATGGACATACCATCAGGTCCAAAGGCAAAGACACTGCTGACAAAATGGTCATGCAACCATCCATTATATGTTGCATTCTCAATCTCATCATCATCGGCAGTCTGCACGGGGATGTTGACACCATCCATGACTCCAAATGCACCAGTCAGAAGTGGGTGATGCTCCACAACTGCATCGTTCAAGATAAAGAACTGATCTCCCTGTGGCCAGACAATTGCTGCTTCGGGAAGATGGCGAAGCGTGCGTAGAAGGATTCGCATTGCAAATCTGATATACCGTGAGACTGTAGAGGGAATGAGTGCGAAGATCTGCATGAGACTTGTTTCCCGCATAGTAGAGTTCAGGTAGTGGAGGACCAGGCCAAGTGCTCCCGCAGCATCAAGTGAACGACGGCCAAGTCGTGCCCGGCCTTGCTGATTGGTGTCATCTCGGGGAATTGGGAGGGCATTCCACTTGCTACCAAAGCCGGAAGCAAGGATGTAGTCAAAGGTTTCGACATCCACACCCATTGTAGTGATGTAGGCCCGTCTATTCATGCCAGCATAGAGGACTTGCCATGGTGTATCAGCACGAGGATTTGGCAAGAGATCTGCGCGAACAAGATAAAGCCGGTGCTCAAGCCGCCTCTCATTGCGCAGAAGCCGTGATTGCTCTGCTCCCCATAGGAGCAGACCAACTGCCGTAATCAGGCGTGTTTCTTCTTCTTCTTCTTCTTCTTCTTCGGCTTCTAACTCTATCTCCAGTGCCTGCAGGAGCACTTCGTTCTCGTAGTCGTCCATCTTGTAAGTGATTTCAGGGGTTATTATGTCAGATAAGGCCTGATAAGATCGGTCTCAATTGTTTTGACAGCATATTTCATATTTATTCTAGGATCCTAGACTTCTTACGGACACGCACGCTGTAAAATTCAGATTCTAAATCCATACAAAACTCCGACGATTAAGGTTTGAGGACAGATCTAGAAATTCAGACCTTACGGAAGGTCATCCATTAAGTCATTTTTGCAAAACAATCCTTAAGTGCCTAGATTGCATTTTCAAGGTGAATGGCGCAATGTCGCCTGGGGAGGCCCTTTCGATTTGTCGCATCACGTGACCTACCGGAAGGGCGACCCGGGTCACATCAGATCAATTTTGCGACGCAGTGGAGGATGCAAGAGATGCATATTCACCCTTAGACAGCCACAGGGATGCCTCGCAAGCCACAGCGTGCTGTAGCTAGCAAATCTAATGGATCATTGGCCAAGAAAACATACAAAACTCATGTCGAAGATATCTCAGATCTCGACAGCAGCTCCACCAACCATCTCTGCCCTACAACCGGGCACTGTGCTACCTGCTCACCAATGCCAGCCCCCTCTGCTGCTGCTCCTGATCCGTCTTTGCTCATTGAGGGCTGGGATGTGCAGCTTGGAGATGAGCTCCCGGACCTGGACATTGATCAGCCAGAGGAAGAGGAACTTGAAGGTTTTGAAGATGACGCACCCCAGATCATCACAGAGGGTGGGCTTGACTCGTTCACTCTCTTCTTGCTTGAGGCCCAGAAGCGAGCACAGGAGGTCGACAAGAGGAAAAGAGACGTACTTGGACGGAAGAGGCCTTCAAAGTACCACGGAAACTCGGTCAGAACAAAACAACAGCAGTTGAAAGCTGGGAAGGACTTAGCAGCCAAGGGGTTCTACAGTGTCGGGGCATTCATGAAGAGGGTTGGGGAGTATCAGAAGGAAAAGGAGCAGACGGATACCAGCACCTCAGCAGCAGGTGATGAATCCACGGGGGACGAAGGCATCACCACGAGGCGAACATCACAGACGGCTGAAGGCGGACACATCGAACCTGTTAAACACAACCATGTTGAGCATGTCAATCGCATTGAGTGCGCCAAACGCGACGGTATCGATTGCATTGAATGCATTGAACGCCTCAAACACATTGAATGCGCCGAGCACATTGAGCACGCCAAAAGCGACGGTGTTGATCGCATCGAACGCACCGAACGCGCTGAATGTGACGGTATCGATTGCGTCAAACGCCTCAAACGCTTCAAGCGCGTTGGACGCATTGAATGCAACGGTATCAATCACGTCGAACGCCTCGAACGCCTCGAACGCCTTGAGCGCCTTGAGCACGTCAAATGCGATGGTATTGATCATATCGAACGCGCTGAACGCGTCAAGTGCGTTGAGGGTGGACAGGGCGAGCTGGTCAATCATGTCGAGGTCAGTATCTGTTTGAAACATGAGGAAAGCTGGGCACTCACCAGTATCATGCCAGGTTGAACAGTGCATGGTGCCAGTTAACGAGCATCATGCCCATCTCCAAGCAATGCTCGAGGCAATCTCACGCGAATGTCTCCCGTCCGACACAAGCCCTGAGACGTCTGTTGATCGTGCATTGAATCAGCTCAATTACAGGGACTTTCCTGCGCTGAGTCAGGCTGCGGCTCACCTGAGTCTTCTCAGCAAGGACAAGAAGCATGATATCGTATTTCGTGGACGTCTTCTCGAAATGGTTGGGGCCCTCAACCTGTATCTTGACTCAACACAAGCTTATACTTGGCGAGAGGCATCCATGGTCATCTCAAGATCACAAGGGCATGGTGCAGCACATGCTCGACGCATCAGAGACTGGCTACACACCTTTCTGATCACCCAACAACTCCCTGTTCATCGCATCGGCCAACCAAACACCTCCCTTCTTGATGACAAGGATTTTGCACTTGCCATCAAGCTTCATTTGCAGTCGCTTGCCGGAAAGCAGCAACACTTTTGTGCGCAGGATGTTGTGGATTTTGTTGAGACGGATGAGATGCAGGAGAAGATGAATAAGGCAGGTTTCCCACGCCGTACAATCTCGGTGCGAACAGCATGCCGGTGGTTGAAGCAACTTGACTGGCGTTTCGGACGGCGGAAGAATGGGATGTATATTGATGGCCACGAAAGGGAGGATGTTGTTGAATATCGCAAGGCATTTGTGAAGAGGTGGATGGAGGAGTACGAGCCAAGGATGGTCATATACGACAATGATGGGAATGTGGTGAAGACACCGGAGGGCTTTGTTCTCCAGGGGAAATATGCGGGCCAGCGGTTCCGTGTTCTTCTTGTCACTCACGACGAATCAACATTTTATGCAAATGATTGGCGGCAAACTGCCTGGCTTCACACATCGTCGAAAGCCACACCTCAGCCCAAAGGCGAGGGCGAGTCAATGATGGTGTCGGATTTTCTCGTGCCTGAATGGGGTCGTCTCAGGACTGAAGACAGGTCAATTCATTTGTTTACACTTCTTCTCATGCTCACGGGTTGTACTAGTGATGCGCGTCTATTCTTTTGGGCGGGTAAAAATCGAGATGGCTATTTTACGTCTTTTGAGCTACTCGCCCAAGTTGACCGAGCCATTGACATTTTTGAGGAGAAAACCAACGGTTTTGCCACTGGCCTCTTCATGTTTGACAATGCCCCCAGTCATCAAAAACAAGCACCCGACGCACTGTCTGCCCGGCGAATGCCGAAGAACCCACATCCGGATTGGACAAGTGCCCCAGGTGCACCTCAAATGCGTCCAGGGCAACTGCCGGATGGTTCTCCACAGCAATTGTACCACCCTGATGACCACCCCACCATGCCGGGATGGTTCAAGGGCATGGAGCAGATCTTGAGGGAACGCGAGCTTTGGCAGGATGGTCTTAAGGCCCAGTGTGCAGGTTTCAAGTGCAAGCCCAGCCAAACTGATTGCTGCTGTTGCCGGATCCTGTTTAACCAGGCTGATTTTATCAACCAGAAATCAGCCCTGCAAGAACTCGTTGAATCGCGTGGGCACATTTGCGACTTCTATCCAAAATACCATTGTGAGTTGAATTTTATTGAGATGTACTGGGATGCGGCAAAGTTCCAATATCGGAACACTGCCAAGACCTGCAGTTCTAGTGCCATGGAGAAGAATGTAAAGGCATGCCTAGATTCTGTTCCACAGCTTGCCATCCTTCGGTAAGCTGTTGAATCCACTGATTAGATTATTTGTTTGACCTTCTGCATACGCAGATATGCTAACCGTGCAGCACGCTTTATCTCAGCATATGCGGGAGGGCTCACTGGGGCAGAACTTGCATGGGTTAATCGGAAGTATTCAGGCCATCGTATACTCCCTCAATTCATGATCAATGAGGTCAAAGCATCTCTCGGCTACATATAATAGAAGCAGATAAGTTCCTGGCCACTTTGCATTGTGCTGTCAGGATCACAAAAGTTGAAACTTCAACATTACGAGGGACCTGCTGCAGAGCCCGGAGTTTTTCTGAGCCCGGTCCATCCCAATCCACAATTTTGTTGTCACTATAGAGTCTGAGCTCGCTTACCTAAGGGTGCGGGATTCCCACGACCCCTATCTTATTCTATTAGTCTGAGGTTGCCCTCTGTTTCTCATGTGTCTCCTGCCATCAACCCAGTGCTCATAAATTCCTGCCCTGCTGCTCCTTCAGAGGCCTCTTTGCCAGATATGTGTGCATTTTTAGCAAGGAAAGAAACTCCTGCTGACTCAACCACTTCCTCTGTGAATCATGGTGTCAGCTCTGCATCAGCCAATGGCACCCATGTTGTAGGGCCCATTCTGCCAAGCCCAATCTCTACTGGGCCAAGTTCAGAGACATCACCAACTGTGAATTGCAAGGCTAGTAGGTTTGCAGTCCCCAGGTTCTATACCACAAAGTACGCACATTCTCTTTGTATTTATGTTGTATACTCACTACACTTAGAGGGGTTTTTGTCAGAGCATGGGTCACTGAGGATCCCAAACAGTGCCAAGACACTGGCCAATGGACACTTGTTTCCAAAGTATCTACTGAGGTGGAGGTACATCTTCTCTTGGTGTTACTTTAATTGCACTTATTCTTTCTCCAGAAATGGGAGAAGAAGGCAGCTGAAGAGGCAATTAAGGCTAGTGCACCCCCTCCTCACAAGACTTATTTCAAAAACCTTGATTTGTATGTTTGCATTGTTCTTGCACTGGACTCAGCATTTTTTTCTATCCTGGCACACCTGCTAGCTGTGTTTCTGTTGTATTGCTCTGCTATTGCTATCAGCTGTTTGCCATCATTTACTGTTGTTTGCTTTTATTTTGCCTTTGTTTGCTGTCATTAGGAGTCATTAAATGTTGCTGCATGTACCATTTTGGAACTGTTAAATGCATTATTGTGGTTGTGTATTGACTGAAACTGACTGCTATTGACTTCAGTTTAAGGCAGGCCAACAGAGAGCAACTGAAACCAACTGCATCAGGAACATTGTGAGTACCTGGTTTAGGCTTGTACAGGCCTGTATCTACTTTGTACAAGGTTGCCAGAGCTGGTGCCAGGGCAAAGTTCACAAGTCAATCAGAGAAACCAGAATATACTTGTTGTGTATTGACTAAATAAATGGGGTGCACTGCTGTGAAATAAATGGAGCAGACATGAGAAAGGAAAACAAAGGGATGCTGCAGACTTAAATCAAAAGAAGATTTTGGTGAGATTTGAATGCACAACCGCCTGAACACCATAGCAAGCATGCCATTGAAATTGTGACGTTGACTGCTGCACCACAACACCATTGAACTAACAGATAACTTTAGTTTATATAGCCCACATCTGCGGGACTTTTTCAATGGTATGCTTGCTATGGTGTTCAGGCGGTCGTGCATTCAAATCTCACCAAAATCTTCTTTTGATTTAAGTCCGCAGCATCCCTTTGTTTTCCCTTCTCATGCCCGCTCCATTTATTTTGCGGCAGTGCACCCCATTTATTTCGCATTAAATGTCCTAAATAGTCAAAATACAACATTGTTTTGCCTTGTGGTCTTGGCCGACCAGGCACAAGGCCTTGAAAGTCTCAAAAGTCCGTCCAGAAGGTCATGACGTTCCTGATGTGTCTAGTATTAAATTAATGAATCACTACATTATATACTGTAGTTTATCAACCTTATGTTCACAGTGACATGGGAAGTCAAGCTTGAACACACCTTCCATAACCATCTGTCCCCCTTATAGGTTCAGGGGGCCAAACTGGGGTGGACAGTTAGTTTGTGGTTGCTCAGGCTTCAGAGTTTGATTAACTCTCAACACCAACAGCAAAGACAATAATACTGTACTTTTTTGACCTTAGGTTTGGTCCCCTGTCCCCCCTCCCCACAAACCAAACCTACCGTGGGGGGACAGTCCACCCCAAGTGTGAGGTCACGAACTTAACAGGGGGGACATGCAGTAAAATAGGCAAAAAAACTGATTAAATTGATAGAAGATTTGAAAAATGCTACAGAATATTCTGATAACTTAAACCCCTACTGGTGTGTTTGTTAGAACCTCTGGCTAATTAAGCAGCATGTTTCATCTATTTAAACACCTACAGATTCCTGTAAAACACATTGAGCTTGTCCATGTTAAGGCCACAGTGATAGAAGACAGCACCTTGATCTTAATACAACTAGAATAGCCTTGTCAACACAGAGAGGACAGAAATATGGGGTAAGTAAGCGATATCAGCAGAGACATGCTGAATTCAAATACATTGAGTGCTTTGACTGGCATGGTTCCATTGAGCACAGAGCATGCAGTGGGAACAAGGCCCAAGGAATGTATGCGGTGGCTCGAGTGCATGTGCTAACAATTTCAGCTTGAGATTGATTCCCTTTGTGCCAATGTCAGGGATGTTTCTGAGAATGCTTGTGCCAGGAATATAGGCAAATGTGCTAGCAATGCCACCTCATGGTCATTTTTTTCAATTGGTATTGAGGTTGCTGGTGCAATCCCTCAACACGAACCTTGTCCACCCTCAGCTTGGCCCTCCAAACTTACAGGGGGGGACAAACAGTTAAGGAAAGTGTATTTAAAGTCCAAATTCTCACGCCACTGCAAACTTAAGGTCAAAAAAGTACAGTAATGGAAAATAAGGTGCTGTATACACTTTGACTAAGGTCCCAGCAGCACTCTCAATAATGTTCCTCATGTTGACACAAAGTGAACCAGCCTCAAGCTGGTCATTGGCACAGGTGCTCAGGCTGTTGTGCTTGGCCCTCCAATACTGCTCCCACATGCTTTATACTCATTGGTGCTTTTCCAGCTAAAGTACTTAACATGGTTGAGTTCCCACAGTCTCACTGATTGAGTTCTGGGGGCTCTGGGTTCTGTCATGGCCCCTGGCATAGATAATGAGCCTGATGTGGTCTCCATTCCCCTGCAAGTACCCAGATAGAAGGAACAACTTGAGCAATTAGCTGGGGTGTCTAACAAGCAATAATGGTAACATAGGCTATCAGAATACTTTGGATAGGATTTGTTTAATATTTTCTAGTAATTTACTCATATTTATGCCTATTGAAGGGTATGCATCAGGGACCTTAGAAGTGCCTGGAATGAGCTTGCCGAAGCCTGTACAGGGTTGTACAGGCTTCGGCAGGCCTGTACAACCGCCAAAAGCCCAACCAGGCCGAAAGCCGTTCAGAAAAAAAAGAAATTCACCAAGTTTGCTTTGCGAATGTGACTAAAACTGTGACATATCACACAAATAATGCGGGTCATGTAACAGCCAAGTTCATTCAAGTCCATGTTCTCAAGCCATTCCCCAGCTTGTAATTGTTACTCTGCAAGGGAAAGCAATGGTTAATATATAGGAATCCCCATGTAGGAGAATTAGCCTCAAATAAATGAAGAACATGGTTTTATGCATGGGTGTGACATAGTGTGACTGGCGACTTTTGGCCCAATTTTCACCAAGACAACAAGGCCGCCAAGATGCCTTCAATTTTCCTGATGTGTCCCCCTGCCTAAGTTTGATGGCCTGACTAGAGGGTGGCTGTCCACCCCCTGGAGGTTCAGTTAGCAAGGGGGGTGGACAGAGGACCAAACCTAAGGTCAAAAAACTACAGTATTTTAGCAAAATCAACCATGTGATTGCAGCTAATTTGGAGGTCAAAAATCCGGTGCTAGTTCACCTCTAATCCATATTAGTAAAATTGCTAAAGTTAGTACATATGGATATCAGACTACAAAACAATGTGTGGACTCAAGTTGAGATATACAGATGCTACAATCATTTCAGAGCCATGAACATGTCCTTGGACTGTTGCAAGTTAGATACCTCAGCCTCGAGAGTGTTTTTCTGCCAAAGGTGTAAGCCTCGAACCAAACAGAAAACAAGTCGCGCCACTAACCTTCTCAGCATTTGCCTCCTGAACTGTCAAAGGAACAGCAGTGGCGTAGTCAGCTTGCAACAAGATCTTCTCCAGCTTGCCAAGGTTGAGCCGCGCAAGATCCAGCTTCTTGTCGCATTTGGCTATCTCAGCATCTAGGTCGACCAAGCCCTGTCCAGAAGGTTGAGCACCTTCGCATGTAGTGCATACATATAAATATCACTTACCCGAACAAGGACGTGGGAGGTTATTTTCGACGTGACAACAGCAGACCCGCATCCCGGTGGTATCTCAGTGTTATCCCGAACAACGGTAACTTTAGTGCAGCCCTTGGTGAGAGCAACGATGGTGGAGACATGATCATCCATGAGAGCTTGATCGTTCGGGTTCTGCACGTGAATGAAGACTGGAGAACCGCGCTGTCTCGTTAGTAAGATATGGATAAAAGGAAAGTCGACGTACTCTGTATGTTCGACTGCAAGTTGTAAGACGCCGCCAACGACCGTCCCGTACGAAGCACGGAGAAGACAGTGTCGAAATCCTTCTCAGCGTCGGAATTCTCGAATGCCGAGTCCTGCAAAACCCTTGTTAACCACGTTCTGCAATGCAACAACTACTGGTCAAACCAACATTCTGCGGGTACGGCGCCAACATGATAGATGGCGTGCTGTCTTGAGGGCGACGCGGCAAGCGTTGCCAAAGCTCCTCAGTCACGAATGGCATGAAGGGATGAAGCAAACGGAGGCCATGGTCCAAACATGTGTACAGCGTCTGCTGAGCAGAAACGCGTCTTTCTGCCGACGCCGAGGCATCTGTCATGGGTTTCATCGCTTCCTAGAACAAATGGTCAGAGCCACATTCACATAGCCAGAGAGCGGACATACGATGTAAACATCGCAGAGCTCATACAACCAGAAGTTGTAAGCGGCGTTGGTGGCCGCCATGAAGTTACGTTCCGTGAGTGTCTTGTTGACCTCCGTCGCGGCGATGTTGAGCTTGTGAAGGATCCATTTCTCCACCAGACTTTCCTTTCCAGTCGGCTAGGAGACGTTAGCACATACATTGCGGTGTAAATTTAAATATTATACCTTAGCAATAGGCTCCGGGATAAAATCGCCCTCCAACTTGAGCATAGCAAACTTCGTGGCGTTGAAGATCTTGTTACAAAACTTTCGGTATCCTTCAACGCGAAGAATCTCCAAGTTGATGTCACGTCCTGAAGTCAACACATAACCACGTCAGGATTATTCACGCGCACAGAGGACCTCGAACTCGTACCTCCCCCAGAGTACGCACATAGCGCGAACCGCAACCCATCAGTCCCACATTCCGGAATGCCCTTCGGATAATCCTTCTTCTGGCCAACAATCGCCTTCTGAACCTCCTTTTCGTCCAGGTTGCCCTCATACAGCTTGTTGTGCAGATCCGGGAGAGGCAGTCCTTGGATAACATCGATGGGGTCGATGACGTTGCCGAGCGACTTGCTCATCTTCCGTCCGTGTGCATCGCGAATCATGGCGTGACAGTACACTTCGGAGAAGGGAACCTTGTCCGTGAGGTAGATACCGAGCATGACCATACGGGCGACCCAGAAGAACAGGATGTCCCATCCGGTCTCCAAGACGCTGGTTGGGTAGAATGTCTGGATATCCGCAGTCTAGAGAAAATTATGAGACCAGAACCAAAATCATCTGCAGCGCATAAATAATACCTTCTCTGGCCAACCCAAGGTCGAGAACGGCCACAAACCAGAAGAGAACCAAGTATCCAACACGTCTTCGTCCTGCTCGAGTGTGAACTTGGCGCCGTCGGCAACAACCTTCGCGCGCTCAGTCGCCTGCTCAAGCGTCCGGCCGACAACCCAGTTCTTGCCGTCATTAACCTTTACGAAGTCAGCGCGCGCGGTAAATAGTAGAAAGAGGCTTCCATACGTCATTCTGATTTCCTTCAATACGGACAAAGTACGCTGGACACCGGTGTCCCCACCAGAGCTGACGAGAGATACACCAGTCCTGGATACCACCGAGCCAGCGATGCCAGTCACCTTCCGATTGCTTGGGGTTGATCTCGAGTTCCCCGGCATTTGTACGCTATAATCATTGCTTTAGAATAAGGTGCGGTTTTGGACGATGGCATAACGCACCTGGAGCGCGGCCTCCGCCAATGGCTGGCAGTTAACCCACCATTGAGGCTTCAAGACGGGCTCGATAATATCTCCAGATTTACTGGCTCGGCGTCAGCTATGGTGCATATACGTGCTTAACGTAATAAGCTCACCTGCAGATAGGAATCTGCATAGGGTTGTCCTTTGTCTCAATAAACAGACCAGCGTCCGTAAGGGCTTTGATGACGGCAACACGGGCATGGAATCGTTTCATGCCCTGGTGAGATGTAAATAAACGATATTACACCAAAAACGATTTTACAGACCTTGAATTTCTCGCCGGCGTTGGCATTCAAGGTACCATCGTCATTGAGGATGTTAATAAACTCAAGTTTATGCCGCGTGCCGACATCATAATCGTTGGGATCATGAGCAGGCGTAATCTTGACAGCGCCGGTACCGAACTCCATGTCAACAACGATGTCGTCCGCGACAATGGGTATCCGACGGTCCACGAAAGGGTGAAGAGCAAATTTGCCATGCAGATGCTGAAATGTCGCATAAGATTGTGCCCAAGGGCGGTCTAAAGGGAGCATGAAGACATACCGTGTACCTGGGGTCTGCAGGATGAACAGCAATAGCAGTATCTCCAAGCATAGTCTCCGGACGCGTCGTAGCAACAATGATCTTCTCATCTATCCAATTTCAATAAAAGTTTCCTGCCATACGCGCGCGAACATACCTGAGCCCTCTATTTGGTACGCAAACGACGTGATGGCACCGAACTCGAACTTCTCTTTCGGGTCATATCCAGGAACGTTAAGCATTGTTCGTCCCGTCAACTGCTTTTGATCGACCTCGAGGTTGGAAAGAGTGGTGTTTAGCCTGACACACCAGTTGACGAGACGGTTGGCGCGGTATATGATTCCATCCTCGTGGAGCCGGCAGAAAGTCTCAACGACAGCTTTTGAGAGCATCTACCCTTAGGAGTTTAGCGCAATTTCCGAACAGTATGATCATCACGCACAGGGTTCATGGTGAACGCGACACGGTCCCAGTCGAAACTACCTCCAAGCCGACGCAATTGGTTCGTGATACGTGCTTGGTAGCTTGTACATTGTCAGACGCGTTGGAAATGAAAACTGTAGTGATGCTTACTCTTCTTTCCAGTCCATGACAGTCTCCAAGAACCTTTCGCGTCCGAGGTCATGACGCGTCTTGCCCTCCTTCTTGAAAAGGCGTCTCTCAACGACGGACTGAGTTGATATTCCAGCGTGATCGAAGCCAGGAACGTAGAGAGTGGTCTTGCCCAGCATGCGATTCCTATGGTAGATGAGTACCGCGAACACGGGGTGAAGCTCCATGCTCACCATCGAATCAAACAGTCTTGAAGGGCGATAGTGAGGGCGTGGCCCATGTGCAGACTACCCGTAACGTTCGGGGGAGGTGCAGGGATGACGAAAAGACCTTCTGGTTTGGCGGTGCCCTCTTTGGTCAACTGGGGCTTGAAGTAGCCTTGTGCCTCCCACCAGTCGTACCATGCAGCCTCGACAGCGATGGGGTTGTAACCGGCAGCCATAGGCTCAGAGAGGTCTGGAACACTTAGTGCTTGTAACGCATACAACCAGAATTATACAACTCACCCTTCTTCTCTCCCTTTGGCGTGAGGTTAACGAAGGCAGCCTCAGCTTCCTTCTTCTCCTTCGTGACTTTTGCCTTCTTGTCACCGGCCGGTGTGTTAGCAATGACCTTTGCCTGCTTGGCAGCGAGTTTTGCCTCCTTCTCTAGCCTCTTCGCCTCCTTTTTGGCTACATGTAAAGATTAGATCTCCGTGCAATAACACCGGACAGAGGATGGGTAGACGGACCAGAACTTTTCGAGGGTGCATTGGGTTCCTCGGGCGCGGGGGTGGAGGGATCGTTGGGTGTTTTTGCGCTAGGCGGTGTGTCGGACATCCTGAACGGTCTCTGGTGTACTCTGGTGAGGAGTGGACGAGAGAGAGCGCGATAAGTCGACCTGGCCAGAATCATCCGCACGAGTCAAGGTGATCTCAAAACCCGATTTGGCAGGGCTCATACACGTCCCTCGTGACTTTGGCAGCCCCGTCCTCGACGCTCTACTGCTCCCGAAGACATACTATGGCTCGCGACATTCGACATGCCCTCAGCCGATTTCGATTCACCCCCACCCTCGTTTGCATTCTCCTTGCATCGCTGGCCGACGCTCAGACAACGCAATCACTCTCCCTCAACTCCCTCACGCCCGTCACCCCAGATTCCTCCTCTCTGCTTTACCGACTGCCCTCTTCCTCCCAGCTCTCCGTCTCTGTTGCACAATGCTCCGACTCATCCCCACCAACCTTTTACATCACAAACGACACCTCAATAGCTGACCCTGGTCCATCATCTGGAGGCGACGTCTACCAAATCAATCTCAAAGATGGCTACGGTAGCTGGACAGGAACGGCTCCCAATGGCGCTGTACTATCGGCCACCAACCTCGGACAAACACCCTTTGAGATTGGCGTCACAGACTCTGGTACGCATGCACTCTGCACTTCTTCTAGGTTGTCGTCTAACTCTGTACAGAACCAATGCACAGACTAGCCGATGCTCTACCCTGGTTCGGCGACTCCACTTCCAACCAAGCGATCATCTTCTCTGCACCGTTCGCAGATATCCACATCGACCAGCCTCAGTACCCAAACTATACCCTTCCAGCAGCCAGCGCCTCCCTCCCCGACTCCCCTCCTTCCCTGACAAACTTCACGTTGGTAGTCGGCGACGCATCACTGACAACAATACCCCAGACAGGGTGCAGCCTAACGTCAGCTCAGACAGCCGGCAACATCACGAGTCAGCAGCCCTGGGTCAGAGATGAAGATGGCTGGAGATACCAATGGCTCGTGAGCGATCTCAACCCCAGTACCAATTACACCATGTACGTTATCCAGAACGGAACACAAGTGAGCGGCCCCCTCAACTTCGTTACCAAGTCCTGTAAGTACTTAATTGTACTCGTCCGGACACGAGCTCATACATCATCACAGCTGAATTCCCGTGCCCCCTTGCACACTCAATACCATGGTGCTCCAACGTAGCTTACGCCGTCCCACTGCCCCCATCACCAGACCAAGACACCGCATTCGCATACACCTCCCAAAACCTCCCAGACAGCATATCCACCCCCTTGCTCTCCTACATGACCAACTTCACCACCATGCTCCTCACCTTCGGCTGCGGCCGCGACCTCTACTCGCCTATCCAGACGTGCGCCAACTGCCAACGCGCATACCACCGCTGGCTCTGCTCCACCTCCTTCCCTCGCTGCACCGAGCGATCCCCTGCAGACACAGGCTCAAATGAACCCAACGCTCCCGTCTCAGCACTCCTCCCCCAGCCCAGCGGATCTCCAACAAGGAACCCTCTCTTTCCCAACGCTTCGTATTCCTATACGTCCCTCCTCCCCTGCCTCGAAACCTGCAACGCTGCGGACCGTTCATGTCCGTACTTCCTTGGTTTCTCGTGTCCAACCCCGCAATACGGCGCCAACATGAGCTATGGAGTGGGTTTCATCGACAGCGGCGACGCAGGCGTCATCGGCGAAGGCATAACAGGCACATCGCAGGATCGATGGGGCAATGTATGGTGCGGCGGCTAACAAACACCCGAGACCATTCATCACCGTCTGGATTTCTTTACAATGCTTTATTCGGAGTGGGACAATTATCATATGCTACAACTTAGATTGGAATAATGTAGCTATAAGTACTATAGTACGGATGCATAGGTGAGCTAGGGTATGTCTATGTCACTGAATATCTATGTGTCTATCCGTTAAACGCGTCGGGCGCGACGTCCACACCCATATGGGTCTTTGCGTAGCCCCGCATCGAGCGCTCTAACTCGTCCTCGAAACTCTCCGTCTTGAGACCCAGAAAACGGCGTGTCATCTCGTTAAGTTTGCTTAGCCAGAAAGCAGTGTCGATCGAGAGCATGACCGTCTGGAAAATGAAGTAATGCCAGTACTCCCGTATCCGCTCGGACAGCGTCAGACTCGGCATGGTCACAAGAGATCGCGAGGCCCAGTATCCAGTAATTTTGATGCGGTTGACGGGAGATCCAAGTGCCTGGTTATTACCCTGGACGATTCTGCGGTAGATTCCACAGGTTTAGCATCACAAATGAACGCATTAGCTATGTCACATACCTCATGTTCCGACCAAGGAAAATAAGCTCCTTGGGCATTTTATCGGTATCCGTCAAGAATTCCTTTAGCCTGGCCTTCATCATAACACCATGATCATACTGATTGAGCTCCGCCATTGGAACTCCCCCCTTCCTTGGCTTCTGCCCCCGCAGCTTGATAGGCCTCATGAGCGTCGCACTAGCGAACAAATCCGGTGCGCCAAAGCCCCACTGCGTAATTACACCCTCGATCGCCTTGAAGTCCGCCGCGAGCAGACCCCTCCACAGCGTCGCATACTGTCGGCGGAATGGCTCCTGCACGCGCACGTACAGCCCATGATCAAGGAGCACGAGCTGCGGCTTGCCCGGCCTCTCGGGGTGTGGCCGAATAATGATATTACCTGGGTGCGGGTCACAGTGCACCCATCCCCAGCTGAACATTTGCGCCGAGAATAGCTCCACCATCGACTGCATGACCGCACGGACGCCGCCTTGCAGCCTTACGCCCTCGAGATGGGGCGGCAGCTGCGCAGCCTGTGCGTCTTTATCCCGTTCGCCCATCAGTTTCCGAATCGACGCGCGGTTGCTGAGCCGGACGCCATCAATCCACTCCGCCGTCATGATCCTTTTTGATGAGTACTCCGGGTACACCTTGGGTATATGCACTTGCTGCGCCAACCGTGGCTCGGCCGCAACGAAGGCAGCCATCGTCCGCGAGTTCGTCGCCTCCTGCACGAAGTCCAGCTCCTGCTTGAGATGATCCGTAATGAAATCTACCGATCGGCGTTAGCCTCGAACAGAAACAAGCAAAATTCCTGTGTTCTGCCTATGACAAAACAAGGTTTTGCATGATGAATTCATGAAACGCACCAGCGACGAAATACACCGGGAGATCAAACACCCAATGCTCGAACATCCACATCACAGCCTTGAAAGCCGTCAGGTCATAATTAATCTGCCTCGACACATCCGGCTTCTGGATCTTCACGGCGACCCAACGCCCATCCTTCGTCTTCGCCTTGTGCACCTGCGCAACACTCGCGCTGGCCATGGCCTGCTCTTCGAACTCCTCAAAAAGTCCGTCCGGGCCGGCTGGTGGACGGCCGAACTCCTTCTTGAAGACAGCCAATACACTCTCGTATGGAATCTGGGGTGCGTCATCAAACAGGCGTCCGAACTTGTCCTGCATTGGGCGTGGCATCAGGGGTGCATTCGCACCTATAGCTTGCCCTAAAACAGCAAGGTCAGACGCCATCGCCTCAAAGATATCCACACAATAGCACGAACCCATTTTGATGTATAAGCCACCGTTCAAAGTGAATAGGTCATACATTCGTTGTGCGACACGTTCGTGAAGCAGTGGAATCTGGTCGGCCTTTTCTGGCTTGAAATTGAGCTTGTAATCGATGGAGATCGCCGCACACTAGAGTTCCAAAGAAGCCATGGTCAGCAAACACGCAAGAAAAGGCTCGTTTGCGCCATACACATCCATGCGAAGGCAATAGAAGCAGTCCAGAAGCAATGTCAGAGACGCTTTCGCGGCCATAACGCGTAAAACCGCGGCCCTGGTACGACTTCATTGCACGAAAATCTGCAGCCGTCCTCGGCACGAGCGAAGAGAAGGAGCTTTGTAGAGACTCACAGTATAGAGCGTCCGGAGATTCCTGCCTATCGCAGATGCATTGAACTCCTTATCGGCCAGCAGGACGGCTCCAAGCCCTAGCCCAAGGTAGGCGGTCCTTCGAGCATACTTGCGAAGTCTTCTCGGGCTACCGGAAGACGAAGTCGGTGCTTCGGTAGAAAGAGACCGAGGAAATGGGCCGACGCGAGATAAGTTACGACATCGCAAAGAGCGCTGCAGTGTTGACTGCGTGGCAGAGAGCATTGGCCGTGAAAGGAGCGTCAGAGGATAGACTTATCCGACAAGTGTCTGAGGACCGGAGACTAAGTAGAGCATCGTCTGGCTGACGCGCGGCGAGCCGGCGACGACTTCGGGACGTGATCGGCCTCCCTACGCATGACGCAAGCAGCAGGCCGTTATGCGCTGACATGACGCCGATGAGGCTGTGGTGTCGGTATCTTCCGGGTTTCAGCCTTTCGTCGGGGCAATTGCACAGGGGCCCAATGTACCCATTAGGATGCTCCGAGGCCAAACGTTTCGCAGATCCAGGGTGCATGAACGCCCACCTCCGAGTCCCTACTCGTGTCCACTGTTGTCCTGTGTCGTCAGAGGAATGGATACAGGGTTTGGATATGTGCAGTACACACGCCCTACACGTTCTATCGCAGGTCATACATACAAATTATTACGCCCTATAGGTTCTCTGCAAGGTTCCGAGCCAACGGAAGATAGTTCCTTTCCGATAAGCTCCCGCCCTAGAACGTGCACCGCCATCACCATTCTGCGCAATCACAGCTCGGTGCTGCGTCTGCTGTAAAACACAGTTTCTGAGCCAACCAAAGCAGCGCGTCCGAGTCACCAGTAGGGCTACCCGAGAATTGATCGCCGCAATATGTACACGACATCATTTCCGCCAGCGCCAGTCGCCCGCAGATGACCTCAGTGTCCGAACGGGAGACCCCTTTACCTCGGGGCAAATCCTCGATTTGAACATGATAACCGAGCTGCTAAAGTGGGGACCGTGCACTCACGGAGAAGCAGGTTCATTGCCTTTTACCACTGCAGCCAGTAACGTCAAATCAATAGCACGAGGCGTGATATGTGTCTCTATGATCTCCACTTTTGACACGGGGACATTCTACGAATGGACCGCTGTGGACCGCTGTGGGCCGAGCGTGACATGCCAGGCACTTCTCCGCATTCCAGACTCATTTAACCTTCTCTTTTACGTAATAACGGCGCAACAACGGTGACATCCAATTTAGTGTTGACATCGTAAGTTATAAGCTCGCGGGTCCTCGGCTTGACAAAGGTTCTCCTTGCCCCCCGCGCTCCGTTTCCGCCCCTCGAATGGTACCACCGCCACTACTCCGGACCCAACACTCCTCCCGTCTACTCCTGACCTTATTCTCAGTAGCGTCCCAATATGTGCCCAACCTCTCTCGTGTCGTCCGCGGCGACGCCGACGACCCCTCCAGGCTGCATACCTGGGCCAAACGAGCCACGACACTCGACCATAGTAGTGTCGAGTTCATCGTCTTCGCAACCCTTATACCTATCCTCGTCTTACTATCTGGTGTATTTGCCGGTTTGACTCTAGGCTATATGAGTTTAGACGAAACGCAGCTCAATGTACTTAGCCTGAGCGGTACTCCGTAAGCTATCCCTCGCTTCGCGATGTTATTGGTCTTTGTTCAATAACATTCTCACAGTGAGCAAAAGAAGTACGCGGAGAAAATCATGCCAATCCGCAAAAACGGTCACCTACTGCTGGTCACTTTGCTTCTTGCAAACATGATTGTCAACGAAACGCTTCCTGTCATCTCCGACCCCATTTTGGGTGGTGGTCCGCAGAGTGTTGTCGTCAGTACAGTGCTTATCGTTATGTAAGTTCCCTCTTACACCTTTCCCAGTGCGTTCGCATGAGCGTGACGTCACGCCGTTCTTCCCCACGTCCCTTCACACCCCCTTCGCGCCGCTGACAATGTATGGGAGTTGCTGTGTCGTGATTGGTGGAAATGGGCATCGGCGTTTACCTTGCCAGTTTATCCACTATTCTCTACGTTGCTCACAATGTTGTATCTAACTCGAACATTTTCCTTTTAGCTTCTCGGAGATTATCCCGCAATCTCTCTGTACTCGCCATGGTCTTTACCTCGGTGCGAAAATGGCGGGATTCACCAAGGTGTTGATCTTCGCTTTGGTAGGTTTAACAACACAGACCACAACTCGCGTTACTAAATGTGTTGTAGGGTATTGTATCCTGGCCTGTAGCCAAATTTCTTGAATTTGTACTTGGCTCTCATCATGGTATCATCTATCGGAGAGCAGGTATGTGGCATTCTGTCAGACCGCATATATTCGCTAATTTTATTTCAGAGTTAAAGGAACTTATTGCCATGCATTCTGCCATGTCTGCACACGGCGGCGATCTCAAGACAGACACGGTCACGATCATCGGAGCCACGCTCGATCTTCAAGAGAAGGTCGTCAGTCAGGTTCGTCCCCTCCCCCCGCCTCTTGTTACCCACCCTTTCTCACATTCACCTTTAGGCCATGACACAAATCGACGACGTCTTCATGCTATCCATTGATGCTCGCCTTGACTATGAACTTTTGAAGAAAACATGTCAAACAGGTCACAGTCGCGTCCCAGTCTACGAAGAGGTCGAGATCGCGATGGATTATACCGGCCGTAAGCAGAAGGTGAAGAAGATTCTCGGTGTCTTGCTCGTCAAGCACTGCGTTCTTCTGGACCCGAAAGGTTAGTCGATAAAGCTCTACCAGCTGCTACCGCTGCTAACGTGTTAGCACAGATGCGACCCCTCTTCGTAACTTGCCTCTTAACCGGATCATGTTTGTACCCAACAACGAGTCTCTTCTTGGCATCCTCGATAGATTCCAAGAGGGTCGATCGCACATGGCCATCGTCTCTCGCTACAGCGAGGAGAAGGCTGCTTCGGTAAAGAAAGTCGTCAAACGTACTCTTACCCAACGTCTCCGCGAACGGGTCGGGCTCGATTCAGACTCTTCGAGTGATGAAGATGAAGCCACCGAGTATACGGAAGGGGATGCCGATAATAAATCCATCAAGGGGAGAGAGGTAACTTTTGCTGAACCTATGGGGAATGGAATCGGAGACCCTCAGCGCAACGATGGGGTTGTCGAGCACGATTACGCTCACGGACCTAGACGTACAAATAGCGCGCGAGGCCGAGGGCGTGGGCGTCCCCGTGTTCGTGCCCAGCGCCAACCCGACCTTGAGATGGGTGTAATGAAACCCATTAAAGGTCCCGCTGAACAATCAATGCCTGCTGACGCAGTTCTCGCTAAGAAAGGCGCAGAGCAGCTCCTACAGACTATTGACCCTGCCATCAACCCTCTGGGCATCATCACTCTCGAAGACGTACTGGAAGGTGAGAGCCTAGCGCGTTCGTTAGATAAAGCACAAACTGACCTTTTATGATAGAACTCATCGGTGAAGAGATCTATGACGAATTTGACTCCGAGGGAGCAGGTTCTGTGTCGTCTTTTGTCCCTAAACCCGAGCCTAAAGCTAAACTACCTCCTTCGAACTCCACGCCTAACTTGACGTCAACTGGCCAAGAAAAGGAGATACCCGCACCTTCTCCTAGCGCGAGGTCCTTCGGCACTCCACTTCTTCGACCCATCGCGCTCAAGAGCAAGAATTTCGGCCAAGGTTTCGGCTTCCTCTCGCGGTCAACTAGTGCGCCCCCCACTCCTCGCGATGAACATCCCCGTGGCCGTACCTTGGAGAAAGCTGGACAGGATATCGCTGAGGCTAAAGAGAGCGAGCAGAAAGAAGTGCCTGTCGTCGCCGAGTCTATTCCGGAAGCTCCTCCTAGCCCTACGGCCGGCTTTCCTGACACTTCACCCGATTCTCCCATGGAAACTGACGATAATCTAAGCACACCTGAGCGCGTGAAGAAGGCTTCTTTCAGTGGTCGTATTCCCGGAACTGCCAGCACTCCCGCGTCTCGCAGCGTATCCCCGGCGCCTTCTCTCGAAGCTTATCTCTATGGTCGGAAACGCGGCATGAGAGAAGGTGCTACACCGTCACCTGCCCCTGTCCCTGTTCCGAGCAGTCTCGCGTTTACCCCCATGACGGAAGGTGCTCGAGAGCTGCGTGCACCGGTGCCGAGGCCTCCCAGTTCCAAGGGTAGCAAGTTCAAGAGCAGTCCGCTAACTTCGAGCGACCCTACCACTCTGCTCACCGAGGATGCGGGTGCAACATCTTTGAATGAGACCCATGGTGAGCGGATGCCCGATAAACCAGAAGCAGATACGCCAGATCGGAAGGAGCATGATGCTGGATACTTATAACAGCGACAGTGAGGGCAGTGGCCCTACTCAGCTGATTTTTCTGCTTTGGTCGAAACCTTCTCATGTCTAGCGCACGAGAGTTATGCCCCATTTTCAATACCACTACTTCGTTCGTGTATTACTCTGAAATCAATACGTAGAACTTCAGCTTCAGCTTGAACCCCAAAACTCTGGACGTGAACGTGGATTGACATAAAGGTGACACTACCGACTGAAAATGTCTTGTGATTCTACTATCAAACTGTACAATGAAGAGTGATGCATTAATTTAGGAGGTATTAACAGAACCTAAAGAGTCAGTCCGTGTGCATCACTGCAGACAAAGCCGAGAATCCCCCTTCCAAATTTAGAATCAAAGAGGCGTAGAAGTGTTATAATGTCTGGATCACTATTTATCCGGATAAAAGGCGTGCAAATGTTTAAATGTTTTCCTTTCTTTTCTCGACTAGAAAAGCAAGTCATCACGTTAACATGTTTGCATTTGGAAAAGGTAACATTTAAGGTGCCTTTTTGATCTGCAAAAACGTGTCAATGATGCTAATCGTTTCTGCGGCCTTTTCGGCCGTGGAATTCGGATCCTTTTGTGTAGCTCCCCTACCACACAAAAAGGGGTGAAAAATGATGACTCATCGCCGACCTCTTCGACTGTGAAAAAAGTTAAACTTTTCTGTACCTTTTCTTGGCGCCAAGAGTGTGAGAAAAGTTTACCATCTTCGACTTGTTTTTTGGTCATCCAAATGACATCATCCTTGAACGACTTTTGCCTCGCTAATAAGGTAAACTTCGGCGACAGTACATCCGATGCATCCGGCCCTATCCGGTCCCGTTGACGATGTCTAGCCTCTCGTTGAATCGCGCAAGGTCGCGGTCATCGCAAGCTCGCGTGCAGGGTAGTAGGACTGGAAAAACCGATATTCATCGAACAAGAAGTGGAGCATGCACGAGAATATTTCGCTATCTCGTTGATCGGATGAACCTTTGCAACGAACAATATTTGAGGGATCAGCGTGGACGACATCGGCCCCAAGGTCCTTTTTTTCTATGTGCCTACATTGGTATATGTCAAGTTTGTTTATTAAATTTATCAGCACGTCTTCAATTCATCTATCAGTATCACCCCATCTGCCTACGCTAAGCGCTCACTCCACGGACGCCTACAAACAACAGGGCCGAGCGAGTGTAGCGCGGCAAAGCCCGTTATTGACCCGTTACCTTTGTTGTAGATTGGTTGTAGACGGGTATTGCGTTGATTGTTGGATGACTAATGTACACGATATTGTTCTGCTATTCTAAATCTGCCTCTCTTTCCTTGATCTGCACGCGGCTCTAAACATGTCTCTTTCATAAGCAGTCATCCCGAAACTTTTCTTGTGTTTTCGGATGAAGGTGGGTAGAAATTGAGGATCCTCATGGAAAATCCCGTGATCGAGATCCGATAGGGTCCGAATGCCGAGACGGACAAATGCGTGGACATGGGTAGTGAGGTCAACTCCGCATTGACGCCTAAGAAAGTCCAAAAGTCGACGGTCGATGATCACGTGATCGCGTTCGCGTTCCTGATGAGATAGGGGTCATTTCACGAAACGAACGGATCGCGAGGGGTGGAACGTACCAAGGATGAGACAATAGAGGGAGCGGGAGCAGGTTGGGGATTAGGCCCGATCTGTCCCTCCAGGTGGCGAAGCAAGGAAAGATCACCACCGTGATAGTTGTTCTGTTAATGAAGGTTGTGGCAGCTGGGAGTAGGTAGGTGATAAGCCACGTACGAGGATAACTTTGGAACGCTCCTTTCGATGACGTGCGTGGTCCGCAAAGTGAATGAACAGGTAATAGAATACAGGCCACGCATTGACGTAGCGCGTTAGAAACCCCAATCGTTGCAAGGCCTGTGACTGATCAATGTAACATTCGCAGGTTGTAGAGCGGCATACATATGCTTTGATTCTTCGTAAGTCTTCGAGACGTTGGTCTGCTAAGGGGCGTGTTCGATCGAGCGTACGCGTGAAAGGACGGATCGTTTTCTAGCGGTATAACGTGTCGTCAGCTGGGTACGTGTCGAAGTAGTGAGGATGAAGTTGGGACACACCTGAAGATCGCTCCATTCCGTTGCTTTGAGTTTGGTGTACTGGCGGATCTTGTGTCGTTTCTTGTGGTGATCGATGGTGTCGATAGCAAAGTCGATGGGAGGGGGTGGTATCAAGATCATCGTGGTGGTCGTGAATGAGGATAGGGGAAACAAGTCAGGAAATATAAGAGAATGTCGAAGTTCTTCGGCCATTGCCGTTAATAGTGGAGCAGTGAGATGCGAAGAGTCGGAATTGTGATTCGATTGAAGGCCCTGGGTTGTACGAGTTACGTGTTTGTGATTATATCATAGCGGCTACTATTACCTTTTAGTGCTAGTAGTCAGTCCCAGATATCTGTACGATCTTGGTTGTAGTTGGTTGCAAGGAATAATCTTACGAACCTTTTGCATCTCAGTGCTCAACAAATCGTTAACGGGTGGACGGTAATAGCGGCTTACCGAAATGAGTGATAGGGCGGCTAAACCCCTTTTGAGGTACGTTCGAGGCTGGTTTTCGGCGCTTACTTTAAAGACTTAAAAGGTAAGGCGAATAAGTAGTTCGTGACGCGTCCTGACTAGCTCAAAGTCAAGGCCCCCTGCAGGCACCCTTGGAGCCGAAGAACTTTGAATGGAGTAGAGGAATCTTCGACCGCCACTGTAGAACGCCCAGGCACGAGACGTGCCAAATTCTTAGAAGCACAATGCTGTGAGGGGGGCCATTAGAAGAGATTGATCATGAGGTATACCGCTACTTCTCGCCCCTAGAAGTATTATAATGGACGTGACACAGGTGATAACTAACAAGGACTCCACACTTCTCATGTTTCAGCTGAGTCGTGTTCTTCTATGAGCTCTTGGTCGCATGAGTAACTCCTGAAACTAGATACCAGTCAAACTTCCGTGGAATATGGGACGCACAGATGGGACTTACGTTGGAGGAAAACATGGACAAACTAAACTGTGCCGACATCCGCAAGGACGATGTTGTCGCCGTTGAACGTTGAAGCTTGGCTTCGACGTCGATTAATAAATTCCGCGATGAGGAGCAGACGAGCGTGCGCTTCGAGCTCATTAGGATCAAACTTCTTGGCCGGAGGCTTCGCCCTAAGAAGTCTACTACTTCCAGCGATTTGGGCGCGCACGTCAACAGCTGAATGACATAGATGATCATGTGTCATAACCAGACGATGCTACGCTGCTGTTATGGGGAGAAGCGAATACGAGATCAGTAGATTATTCTAGTAAAAACATGGCAAGGACGTATCGTGATCTATAGGGTCGAAATAATGCCCTCCACGACCGCACTAGTACTGTAGTGATTCGTCAGAAGGTCTCGGAATAGTAAGGTATTTCCTCGGAAACTCAGGTTGGCGTCGTCGGCGTCTCGTGCTACGTGACTAGGGACTTTTGACTCACTAGGAAGTCCTGTGGTTCAGGTACAACCTCACGAGATCTTGAGTAAATTTGCGATAGAGACTTTCAAGGGATCCGTCAGCTTGGTGGAGTACGCGTGGCGCAGCAGGTCAAAACGAAAAGCGAAGGTGGACGGGAGATCAATGTCACGCATGATGGGTAGGTTGACGCTTATACCTGTACTCGACGGCGCTCGCAACAGCCAGGATGGATGTCCGTTCCTTGAGCTTGGAGATAATCCCTGCCTTGGCTATCAAGATACTCTCTTGTTCCTAGACGAGCTCTAAGTCTTTCCTTTGAGTTGCCCTGGGATACCTCGTTGCTTACCATGACTTCGTAGAGCAGCTACGAGGTGTTTCTGATATCTCGTTGGATTCGATAATACATCAGACGGCTTTGTTGCTCAGTATAGATGTGCCGCAAATTTGTGATTGACAAGCAGACTGGAAGGGGGGAAACGGTACATCACTTTGTCAAGACAGACTGGAATTGGGATCACGCATAACATACGCAGTGAGACCGACGGATGCAACGCCGCGAGATGCATTCTTGTAGACATCTTGAGAGAGAGGTTTATTAGACTGCGGCACAAATGGGAGGGTAATAGGTTCACTTACATGCAAGAACACAGCCGGCGAGCCCATGAACTCTGCCATCCCCGTCCACGCGCGGAATCCTGTCCCTGCTCACGGGGTGTTTGCTGTGGTGCAGTCCCAGCCGCTGTCGAAGCTCAGTTTCGCAGGCACGATATTCAGAAACGTCTCCCTCTAGCTCTTCATCATTCGCCGGCGCGGATTCATAGGCACGGCCATAGGTGCACGCTCGCTCAGCGAGACCGTGTGCTGCGCCTGGCCCTCGGACACTGCGTCCAGTGTTTCCTGCATGAATGCGACCTGGCAGTCCTCAGAATTGCACTGGTTATAGGCGTTCGGACGGGTGCTCACGTATCGTGCGGGCGCTATGGCTTTTCTATCTTCGCGCGGTTTTCTCGACTGGAGGGTGCGGGAAAGACTGGGAATAGCCTACAAAGCGGCGGTAGTGGGGCCGTGTGGGCGTCGTCTATAATTATCATAAGTCAACTACATCCGGACCAAAGGCGGGCATTCACTAGCATTCACAGTAGCTACCATGCGGCGTCACGCTCCTCAGCGTGGCTCCTCGAGCTCGGTCTTACGGTGTCCGCACCATCGTCCAGACAAGGTCATGATTAGCATCTTCCAGGCGGCGACTCGGAGGCAGTGTGTCCCGCGCTTGCTGGTACGTGTACTCCATCCAGAGATCTATCATTCCTGATTCGTTAATAACTACCGCAGGAAAACGCCTTACGTCGTTAAGTATGTAGTCGTGTTATCATCATGTTAGCGAAGACACTTACACAACCGAGCGATCGCGTCTGGCCCCCGCGTGACCTGCTACTTATGCCAGCGGCCAACGATCTGATACCCCGTTAGGGCTTCTCTTGGTTGACAGTACGTACCTAACAGGACCAAGAACAACTCCTAACAGCAGACCAGCTTGACGCGGACTTTGCTCCAGCTTTGCTCTTCGTATATAGGCACTCTAACGCCTGAGCGTGGCCTTGCCGGATTCCAATATCTTGCGAACATCGACATTCGCTTTCGTTGCCAGGCAGCCATCTTGCTGACGATTTGTGCAGCAACTCTTGTCATCGTATAGAAGGTTAGTCCAGCGCTAGCACGTAGAATCAAGGGCACCACGTGATCGCACGTCTCCCTCAGACGATAAGTATCAGGGCTTCGTATGATCAGTCGTTGATCAGGACTACGTTCAGCGCTGCTCCCATGGTCCAAGAGAAATACCGAAGTGCTCGAGGGCGAGCTGCGTCCATCTCGTCAATCAGCTCGGAGTCGTCAATCAGTACATCGTCTCACTCTACCTGTGCATACAGAATCACTGATTTTCAGTACAGCTCAACCACCGTCAGTCATGACCGATGACATTCACGGCACACCTGTGGTCGTACGCACCCGTACAACTGAAGTCACCACCACCGAATCTCCCGGACACAGCCAAACCGTCCGGACTTCTCGCACAGTCACCACGTATCACTCGGCCTTCGTCCCCGCGTCACCCTCTCCACATGTTAGAAGACCCTCAGTTTCTACTACCCCGGCTTCAGTTCATTCGCCCCCGGGGACTCCTCGCCCTCGATCTTCCTACGAATCCGCCTCCCGTATTGGCGGGCATACAGCATCTCCACTCGCAGCACCTCGTACTCCTTCCGCCCGACGTTGCTCGTCTCATGTCCCCAACACCAATACCCACCCTCCTTCCGTCCCTTCCCCTACCCACCGGACCCTCATTCCTCACCCAAGCTATTTCCGGAAGCCGAATTATCATGTCAAGCGCTTCTATGTCATTACACGCGGACAGGAGGTTGGGATATATGATAATTGGTGAATGCTACCGCCAATATATGCCGCGACCTATACTAATGCTCATTTATCCTTCAGGCACGATGTCTCGGAGCGCACTACAGGAATGACGAGCAATAAGCAAAGCCATTATTCCACGTTCGAGGATGCTCTAGCCGTTTACACCCAGAAGTACGAGGACGGCAAGCTTGAACCTATCCCCGTAAGAGGTGGACCTTTCTGGCGACAAGCTCCCTCAGCCTCATCGCCATCGGAAGCGTCAGTACAGTCTCGAGCAAGTGACGATTTTGGAATTAGGCCCGAGGATGACATATCCTCGTTGATGTTGCAGCTGAGTGTGGACGAAGCGAATGGAGGGCCCAGTCGCCGTAACATCTAATGCGATGGTCCATCAAACTTTAAAATATTCTTGTTTTCTTACCTTGTTTTCTTTCATCAATGTGAGACTCGCGCGATGCTGGAGGTTATATCTATAGCGCACAGTATAAGCAAAGTATAAGCCTGGCACCTATTCATTTGCATAAGACCACCCGGTATTGCACCCGGGTATAGGGCACGTGATCTTGTCCGTCTGTCTGTCCGCGTTGCGCGTCGCCCGTCAACTTACAACCTCGCTTTATTACGACCCCCGACGCCCGTGTTCTGGTCTTTGCTAGACTAGCCCATACTACTAGGCTCGACTCTCAGATGTCTCAATAATCAGATACTTAGTGGCTCGCTTTGGTCGCTACCTCAAGCCATGCTAGTAGGCGGAAATCTTACGGTATGTTCAGTTCTTCAGCAGCGCCGGCAACTTGTCTCATGGAATCTATCAGTTTGAGAAGTCTCCACTGCTCTATTTCTATCCATCATCTCGGACAACAAAGGGCCGTGCGATGCGGTCAAAGAATGGTATTCGTCCAGGACAGCAGCTTGCCTCAATGCCAGTACCGACGTCAACATGTGGTGCCCCGGACCATGCTACCTCGCCACAGAGCAGGCGGTCGTTGCGACAATGTTATTTCCAGAGGTATGTGACATTTCTCGTTTTACTTGCAGTGGGAGTGCTAACAGTTATGCTACCAGAACCCCTACGTCAACGCTATCCGCATCCCTCGCTGCCGCTACGTGATAGCATCACCCGTCAACTATCTTGAGCTCTCGTCACTGCGCTTTCTCCCAGTCAATTTCTCCATTCAAGTGCGAAGTAATTGCATATGAGCTGAATGTTACGAATGACAAGCCAATTTTCAGGAGCAGAAACAGATTGTGTAATCGTAGGTGCACTGTGTTTGGCCATCCCGATTCCCCGCACCCGATCATAAACGCAAACTATCATCAACTAGACGTTGCTACAGGGTCTACATGCCCGGGGGTGCTCTGTATCTGGCAACTATACCTTTCTGTCTATCTCAGCCAACTGCGACCAGCGACCACCTCATTCCAGATGCAAATTCCGCTTGTGTTGTCCTTCCAAACCTTCTAATTCTGCTTACTCGGTCAAACACTTCTTCATTATTGCCTTCGGCTTTGAAGCTTGCGTTTTCCGGATCACGGGAGGCGATGGATTTTTACCTCTTCAAGTACATGCGCGCTGAAGTCACTGCAATCGCCATGTGTCATTGGAGAAGCAAATCTCTGAGATAAATCGGTACAGTGCTCATCAAATCAAATCATTAAAGCAGATATATACCACTTACAAGAGCCTCGAGGCCTTCTGCATGAACTCGGAGGTGTCGGCTACATGGCCCTTGACAAACTTCGCTCGAACAACTTCAGAGGTACGTTAATTCTTTTTCTCACTGCTGGCGGTTAGGGCTGAGACATTTCATGACAAATAGCAGAAATCCGTCGAATCGTTAGGGTCCAGAAGTATCAGTACACCGTCGTTACGAAGACCAAGGATCGGCATATGGAAATCTTGAGAAATAACCACCCACGTCGTCGAGCCAAAAGCTAAATCAACCTTATCTCGGTTTGACTTACCACGGTGGGCTTATCGCAAGCCAACGAGCCCTTGTGATTGCCCAGCCATCATGTACCCCTTGAAGTCAGTCGTAGAAAGGCATGCGGGACAATTTCGATGGTCTTCCAGCGTGACCTCAGTCAAGGTGTATCTAGGACAAGGACAATACAATCCGCCTAGTGGCGTTCCTGAAAACTCCAGCAAGTAATCAAGCGAACGCTTGTCCGTCTGATGTACGAGCAGACGTTTGTTCGATCATGAGATGGAGGACTTAGAAACTATCACGAATGAGGGCGAGAAATTTGTCCGCGTCCTGTATGTTGGAAAATAGCATTTCCCCTCGATTTCGCCATGATCCCGTTTGCGCGCACCGTTCTTCCCTCTCCGCTTTCGTTCTATTAACGTCTCCCTACACTTCGTGAAGCTAGCGTTACAAATATACCGGGAGCTTGCGTATGTATCCTTTTATAACGAGGAGGGGTTGGGTTGCGCGTACAGGGTCGACATATTTTTTTTAAATAGCTAGTCGTGTACGTACATTTACAGATCATCATCTATGTCATGGATGGAAAAATCATAATCTTCGTCAATTATCATCAAGTTCTCTCTCTGCCACGACTTAATAGACTTCAACCACTTCGCATCATAGCAGTTGCGATGTAATCCCTTGGGAACAACGCCCAAGTGAGATAGACTGCTTTCCTTGCAGATACGAGGGGGATTGCCAGGTGTTGCGCGTCTACCGCCACCAGGGGAACGCCAAGCTTCTCTGTATTTGCGGTCCAGGGCATGCAAAAAGATAGTGAACTCCAAACTGCGCCAAACCGGTTTCACAATCAGGTAACGCTTCGGAGCTTTCTCAGGTCCCTCCTCCGGCTCAGTCTCGTCCCCGCTCATACACCCGCGAGTCAGAGAGACGAACAATGGTGCATGGTGGTTAAGCGCCTTGCGATCCCGGCAGATTGTAAACCGGTTCCATAGCAACTACACATAGAAATGAGTGATGTCCAATTACCGCAGCTAAGTTTGAGTACGAACCGTGCTTTTCCTATTGGCCATCGCTGCTCGTTTACGTCTCTCATACTCAGACCCTAAGGAGACTCCGTTATACCAATCATTATAGAGCCCACGGACGTAACGGACGACATGTTGGTCAATGGCGGCACCAACGACTTTCCACGTAACGTAGTTTGGTTTGATGCCGTACCGTTCTAGGATAGCGCCGCTCTTGACTTTCTCTAAGAAGTGATTAATAAAAACCTCCCTTGCACTCGCGTTGAAGTCGTCCTTCTTCCAAGGACGTGTAAAGTCGACCCGAAACTTGTCTACGGAAACCATGTTTCCAGTCTCAATGGACGCATAGATTTCAAATTCTTCATCATCTAGAGGCTCGGGTAGCTTTTCGAACTCTTTTGGCTTATAATCCGAGATTTTGAGAAGCGCCTTGAACACATCACGAACAGCTTCCTAGAAAGAGGGTGTTAAAAGGGCATGGACTATGCTGCTGAAGGCGACTCACCAACAAAGGAATCCAGCTGGTATGGCCCCTGAAATTATCGACAACCGCAAAAGCTTCGATTGTTGGTTCTTGAACTTCTTCATCTTCATCTTTACGGCCACTGGATGATGTCACTGGAAGCTCAAAGTTCTTCCGAGCACGCTTTGCGGGGCTACTGGCTTGGCTGCTGGCCCTCCTCTTCTTACCGGATTTAGATAGCGCCAACGACACTGCCTTCGCATGTGCGTCAAAAGTTTTGTTGCGTTGTTTGATATCTAAGCTCAAGTCGTTCATCTGAGCTTGCAGGCTTTCTTGAGCAGCATTGAGTTTTTTGGCGTAGTGCTCGAAGCCTCGTAGCAAGCGATGCTCGGAGAGGAGAGCGCTGATGTCCCCATTGTCTAAGGTAGCGTCGGAAGGAGGGATATTAGCGGAAGATCCCATCTCATTATGAACATTATTGGATGAAGGCAGGCACGCGGAGCGACTGCTTTCACGAGTAGAGCGTCCAGCGTCCAGCGTGCCTTGAGGATGGTAGAGGCGATCATCAGAGCTGGGTGGATGGGGAGGGATGGTTCTCGTAATCTTGTTTTGCTGAACCCTGGCCTCACCGTCCCGTCCTAATTGCATATGAATAAGGGGACCGGATCATTCGGCTTATAAGTAGCGGCTTACTTTGAAGGAATGGATTGTTTGAAGCTGAAACGCCAACATCCCTCCTGATATCACGGGCGGCGGCTCCATCCCTGGAATGAGACTCCGTTTTCGAAAGTGGAGCTACATGCGCACGTCCACTGTCTACTACTGAGGCAAATGGGTTTTGATGCTGATGCTGAGTTTCGGATCCATGAACCATAGTGTTTGACAGTGAACTCTGAGGCATGGAATGCTCTGGAGTAGGGCGAGCTCGAGGGTCAGCTGGAATCGTCGTTTGCTGATATGCGACTATGTGGGAGAACATAAGCCAGGAGAAGATCATCAAGCGTACGAACGGACCTCTCGGGAACAAGTCAATGGCACCCATCGCAGAACCCATGGTTATATCCTCGTCAAATTGCCTCGACTCATGTGGGGCAGCTCCAATTTGATTCAGGTGCTCAGACGTTCTAGAATTACCCTGGGAAGTAGATAAAAGCAAGCGAGACCACTCATTAATATATTGGAAAGCATGCGGCGATATATTCTAAACTCACTGGATACGTGAAATCAGGCTGGAAGTAATTGCCACCGCCGAAGTCGTTTTGAGATGGCTGTTGATTCGGTTGGCCCGTGTAAAGATGCGCAGGGTTCTCCCACTAAGAAAGAGGTTAGACTACAACTGAGTTCGATCGCGCAACTTACTCTCTGCGTTACGCTTTCAGCACGAATAGAGTTCATATTAGCTCGTCCCATTCCGCCATGAGAAGGTTGAGGTCCATGTACAGGACCAAAGCCAGCTGCGTGAGCCTCAATCTAAGAAAGGAGTTAAAATAATTTCATTTGGATTTGACCGAGTAGCTTACTTTCCGTGCTACGCTTCCAACACGAATGGAGGGCAAATCATCGCGTTCCACTCCAGGTACCATGTTTAAGCGAGATACGTGGCCTTCGCCATGAGAAGATTGAGGTCCAGGTACAGGGGCAAGGCTGGTTGCGTGAGATTTGCGGGGTGCGGGGAAGAAGCGCTGCGTAACGGCCTCGTCAGATGCAGAGATGAGGTACAGCGAGCCGTCATCTTGGTAAGGGTTAGGGACGAAGTGGGACGTGTCAGCTTCGCGAAGTCCGGAGAGTTTATGCTGAGACATGTCAACCTCAACTGGCGCAGGGACGGCCTTACGAGGGTCAGGGATGCATAGCTCAGGGACAGTGTGATCGGATGCTTCAGCCTTGTCGCGATATCTAGCATGGGTATTGCTGGGATTGAGTGCCGCAGGAGATCTACCGGTAGAGGTATGAGAAGGATACGTCGCTGTGAAACCGCCAACATCCTCGGGGCTGGCTCGAGAGCTGGGGTTTGAGACGGTTTTGAGAAGGGTGTTTGCCGGTGCCGACGGCAAGGTGGGTGCAGTGTCTTGATGAAGAAGAGAGCCAGGCTGGGCAGCGCTTAGTCGGCTCGATGAAACTCCAGTAAGGTTCGCGGCCTCATGAGTGGAGGTGCTTGTGGGAAGTATGCTCGGGGAAGCGGGTATTACTCGCGAAGAAGAACCGGCAGGTCTAGAATCGACCTCCTTTTCCGGTGAAGTGAATGTAGTATCCCAGGTACTCCAAACTGGAATCGTCAATGGCTCAGATCCAGAGGAGCTGCTCCCTTCAGGTTGATCGAGGATCAATGCAGACAAAGCAGGCGGCCGACGGGGGAGCGGCGCCACTGTCCCCCGATGTATCGCGATCGGTTGCTTGTTCCTGTCTAGAAGACCTTCGTTACTGCTTTCGACGTCTTCAATAAAACGGTCCCCGTTCGAACAAATCGTGTTTTGACCCGGAATTCGATGAACACCTGAAGGCTAATTGCCACAAATACGTCATCCACGCATGAAGTTGCTTTGGACAGGAAATCGTACCATCTCAGCTCGCCAGAATTTTAGTGGGTTGGGTGATTCAGGAGGGTGCTCAGCGGGTCGCTTTAAAGCGGGAGTCACCCTGGCATCTGCGTGAATTTCGTCCAGCTGAAAATTTTCTAGAAGAGCGTTTCGACCTTGGACATCCATGAGTTGTGGAGGACGAAGGAAAATGTAGTAGATGGTTGGTTGCTGGGACTAGGCACTCTGTTGCTCGTTGCGCGTGATCGCTGATAAATACATAGAGACCGCAACTTACGTTGACAGCTACTTAATGTTCGCTTACTGACTCAACGAGTACCTCTAAATCACATAATCTACTCTCTAGCAGCGTTTTGCTTCGAGCACTCAGAGTGGCTTGCCGAGTAAGTATGCATTCAGCTTATGAAATTGACGATGCGCTGGACGTAGTACTTCTTCTTGTCACATGGAACATCTCGGGGTACAAAGAAACGTTCTACTTAAAGGCGCTCGAAACTGGATCCATCCGCGGTCCAACAGTCCAGGCACCCCTACCCTGTCTATCCCAAATAGAGAAAACCTGTTCGAGAGAAGAAACTACGAGATACCATAAAACAACTTGTCGAAGCTTGGGGTGAGCTATATCGTCTCTTAGATTATACCTACCATCACCCGCCGTCCAGCTCTTGATCAGATCCTTCTCTTGATCCTTGTTCCCCGGGACGGGTACTAGCGAAGAACTCGTCCGCAAAAGCAGGCGTTCCAAAGAGGCTAACGCCCTAAGATCCCGTGCCCAAGCTGACGTGTCGCTCCAAGGCTGAGCAGTGCCAATATCGGCTGCCTATTGAGACAACATCTTAGCCTCTACAATATGGCTAATTAACAGAACACTTACCGAACGCTGCTCGCTCAGTTTTAACACACGAAGCCCTTTGATCGAAGCGATTTTGTGAAGAATTCTCCTGTCTGAGGCGTGGAAATCTATTTCGAGGCGAGTGATGTTGCAGCCGGGAGGTTCCAATGTCTTGAACACCCGTGTGGGAGAGCTCAGGTTGTCCCTTGTTATGTGAGCTTTAACCTGCAATATCTGACGACGCGGAGTGCTGGGGATGTTGTTCACGAAGGCGGATACGCAGGGAAGCGGTGCAGATACACTTATAAGATTGGGAAAGGCTTCTGTGCATAAGGTGCACTCTGGGGAGGAACTGCATTGACCGACTGAGATGTCAAGAATGGTTGGATGCTGGCTGACGAAATCGTTCACTCCCTCGTGAGAGCCATCGCATTTGAATGAAGAGAGCCTTGGAAATTTGATGTCTCGAAGAAGGTGCGAGATGGTCCCAGAAGACGCGCCACGAAGAATAATCTCGAGCGTAGACACGGTGCTGCAAGCGTACAGACACTGCCGAAGCTGGTGAGAAGTAACTTCTCCTACGCCAAAGCGTAAGCTGAGATAAAGAACTTCAGAAGCTAATTTGGGGTTATATTTGCAGCGAGAGAGGAAACGGTCAAGAGCTTCTGCGTTGTCTAAACACAGGATAAGCTGCTCGAAGCATGAGCATTTGGAAGGACGAAAAGATTAATGGCGACAAACCGAAGGCCGTTGGTCTAGAGCTAGCTGAAGAGTCGTTAGTGCGTGTGGGCATGCTGTAGCTTTTTCTCTCACCTCCTTCAAATCTTTACGAGTTTCGCGGAGGGTACTAGAAATGCACATTAGAAAGAGAGGGTGTGGACGTCGAAAGAGTCAGAAAGCCCCAGGCCAAAAATTTGATCGTGGATTTATTAACGAAACTGGAAGATGCCCTGATCACGAGCGGACTTTACTTTGATCCACGAAATAGCTGGATCCGGACCGGCTGGATGAGCGGCTGTCAGGCAGTTATTCGAGTGGTCATTCGCCACGTACATACCGCGCTACGAGGTAGCTATAGGTTCACATTGACTGATCATGATCAAAGCCTATATTCGGCTTCGCCGCTGTCTCGCAGCGGTCCGAATTTTAAGCCAAGAGGCATTGCAACTGCAGCCTTAATCAGCTACTTATATCGTATTAGATCAGTACTAGCGGCGTCAAGAACTGCCTTGGATCAAAAGTACTTACTTATATGGTTTATATCGACCCGCCTTGATAGTCTCTGTGACAGCGCTTAGAGGTTCACGGTGCCAGGGAAGAGTATTTTTGATTTATCATATATCCGAAAGGGAAGAGTCGATCATGCTACCTCAATATTCACCCACCGAGGGCGTGAAGCGCCTCGATCTCTGCGGCTCGCAGTGTTCTTTCGCACCCGTCAAAATGGTAGCTCACCTTTGCTTCAGCGACAGTGTTATTGCAGTAAGATATGCCCCAGAGTCAAGCACCTATCGAAATGTGGGGCGCATTCAAGCTTCAGTCCAGGAGCTGAGCCGTGGAAGGTGTAGGTCAAACTTCAGTTAGTCACCTTACTTGTAACTCATGCCTTTGCCACAGTCTTCCTCGCTCTGAGTAGCTTAACGCACTTGCATTTTCTTCAGCAACTCTCCTTCAATTGGACAGCCGTCCCTATACCGCATGTGAGCATAGATTCCTCAATAGCCGTTAACATACTGATGTCGGTGGATCAGAGTACGACAGGCGTGGTGATATCAAGAAATGGCAGTGTAGGGTTAGATACATGGCCGACATTGGAGAAGTGGTCCGTAACATTCCAGTCCCCGCACAGCCGTGAAAGCTTCTGTCGAATCATATCAGAAGGAGGCTGCGAGCTCCATCAACGCTCTGAAACAAACTTAGAGTTAGAACGGGACGAGGAGGAAGCAAGCTCGGTCTCTGAGCTTGACGATGGTGGATGGACTATCGTAAATGGTCCGTGCTAGATATCCTGGCTGGATATACATTTCCAACGATGTGGTCAATCAACGATGGTGGAACGTAAGGATTGGATGACTATAGCGACGAGCTAAATAGACATTGGCAATAAGGACAGTACACGTACAGACCTCGGTGGGTAGTGAAGGGAGCCATTAGATAAATGGGATGGATATCAATGGTTGTGAGAAGACGCAAAGAATGGCAGAGAACACAAGGCCGCCAGCTGCCGCGATGCGAAACAGAGAGCCAAAATCTAATGAGGATCGGAAGGAATAGTGCTGTGGGGGTTTTAGCTATAAAGAAGTTAGCCCATACGGCGACGTCGGAGTTATCCCAAGGAGAAGGCCGTTGAGCCATGATAATGCGCGACTTGAGGTTAATTGATATCAAGCTCCTGTTGAATCGTGATAAACAACTGAACCGCGACAGAAAAGATACTTTCAATGATAATCGATTAGCAGCCAGCTGCAGTCCAAGAAAAGACAGGGAAGGGACGGCTTGCGAGCTCTCCACACATCAATGACGCATTGAGGGTGAGAATGATTTCTATGGAAAAGCCGCAGGCATTAGGATCGGATGGCTGGATAGTGCCCGAAAAACAACCAAGCAGGCGTCCCATGCTGTCCTATGTCATAGGGACATTCAAGGCGCGAGAAACCTGGAGAACCTGAGGCCATATGGTGGAAGAGGCATGTCGTCCCATATACCACAGCGGCAGTTCCAAGCTTCGTAAGTCCGGGGGCTAGGGATCCAAGATGCTAGTGGCTTCGGAACACAGGAGCGAACCTTAGTCTCCGAGATGTCCGATAAATTCTCATCTTCCCAGAATAGATCTTCGCCTTGTAATTCTGGGCGGGTCGAAGTAGCCATAGCCTCTGTATAATTTGACATGTCCTCACGCCCTGGCGAGTCCGCAGAGGCGAGAATGCATGGCCGGGTATCATACGGCAAACCTGAGTGCGGACGAGAGGACGCGATGCCCAAGGTACACGAAGATAGGCTGCAGCAGGACGGGGAGTAGTTCAAAGCAGATCCAATGTCGCTCGGCGACTTCGGACATCCATAGCAACGCATACTCGGCCAGTCCCAGGAGAAATTTGGAGGACTGCTCATCTGCAGAAATAAGGTCAAGGGCAGACAGCAACTCCCGCTCCGACAGTGGGAAGCTCGTCAAGGGTATGTTTGATCGTGGCCATAACAGCGCAGAGCTAGATAAACATCTCTTCGCACATCGCTGTGTGCGACGGGCAGCTGACGATGGGAGCGCAACATCTGGTGGATGAACTAGTGGGAACTTTCTGAGCCTCGTTGACGAGAGGGACAGTGTTGGTAGCATTGCGGCCGTGAGGCGGCTTCACAACGGCTCTACAAAGCGAGACCAGATAGTGGCGACTCGGCCTGGATTAGAGTCTCCGGATCTCTTGGTCATAGAAATAAGATGGTGTAGGGTAATGGTTCCTTGCCCTATAGCCACCACTCCATCGTTTACGAGTTCGGTCTGAGATGGAAACGAACCACTCTGAGACTTCAGCAATTATCCGCCGCTTGACCATTCATCTTCGACCGGGCATCGTCATAGAACCGGCGGAATGCGAAAAGGTTGGGATCTTCAGAGAAGTGCGGGTACGCGGCGGTAGGGAAGTCGCCGATGCAAGCACCTCGTCGTCATCATCCCCTCCCGCTCGAAGTTGGTGACCTTAGGCGGCGCACAAGGATATTCTCTGCTTCCGTGGACCACGCGGCCCTAATACCATATCCCACCCGTTGCACTTCGTCCGCAATACCGCTCGACACTATCTTCTCCAACCAGGTTTTGACACCGACACTTGCGTGAACGACCTCGCTTGCGTGAACGACCTCGCTTGCGTGAACGATCTCGCTTGTTCCTTGATCACCGGCGAGGTGCTTTCCCGCACGGTGATATGAAGAACTTCGTGAACTGCTTCATCGGCGCCTTTGCGTACTTAGACTCGTTGATGAAGCAGCGGAACGCAGCTCTGGCAACTTCACCGGTCCAAAACTCAACGTGGATCGTTCCGTAAGCGCATATCGATGGCATCTTGAAAACGGTAATAAGTGAAGGTAGCGCGAGGCCAGAACTAGAAGCGGGTCTGCAAACGGCTGGTTTACGGGAGAGACTGGCTGGGATATGTGATAGAGATATGCTAGTGGTGACGCGCAATCGTTATATGGGTTTCGTCATAGACGGGATTCCAGCGCGCAGGAGACAAGTTGCCATCAAAGATAGACATCTTCCCGAGAGACGTGAAGGAAGCTGGGCAACCCAGAATATCATAGCTTCAGAGCGATCACAAAAGTCTTGGATAATGGGTTTTGTAAGCAACGGCGGGGGTATAAACTCGGATGATGTCGGATACCATTGCCTAACTGAGCAGACATGTTGGATCCAGCTGGCCAGCTGAGCATGGGTTCATCCCGCTCAAAGGTATAAAGAGTCAAAAGGATGGCGTTTCGGCACGAAGGCCTCGAGGGTGGCACTGGAAGATGCAAATTTGAGGCGTTCTCTTGCAAGAGCGCCAGGCAGAATGCCATCCCAGAATCGAAGTGTCGGGACAAGATAAAATGTTCAATGTAACGAATGAGTCGAGAAATTCCTCGTGATGGAAGAGGAAAGTGACCCGCGACGGAAAGAAGGCCTAAAATAATATCTAGCTTCGAGGCAGTAGTGGAAACCGGCTCCTGGCAACGAGGTAAATATGTCCAGATTACTCGCATGATTCCGTCCATGGAATAAATACGGGAGAATTTTCCTGGCTTTGGTTTTAGCGATTATCAGGCTACCATCAAGTTTAAGGCCTACTTTCGTGGTACAGCGCACAAAACCTAATGGCTAGCGGATATTGGTCTAGGGTTTCGCCATCATGTCTTTCACTCGCGAATGAGTTTTCTCGGTCGCCTTGTCCCACTTGGCCTGTGCAGTCTACCCGGAAATGTTAGATCGAAGGCGTCGACAAGAAAGAGGACTACGAACCTTCCCCTCTCCGTGGTGTGAACGAGTCAAGATCTCGGCGAGGACTACCTTGCATCGAAGGCAATAAGTGTTCTCAAAAGCCTTCGCAACAGACACCATTAACTCGAGCCCTTCTTCAAAAGCTTCAGGAGGCCACACCTAATCAGCGTTAGTAACCAGATAATCCTATAGACAAGCCGGGAACGTACTTTGAGTGGGACATAACACATGCTCTCAAATTAGATAATATAATTCGCACCCAAATCCCTCAAGGCTTGACCATCCGATGCTGGAGCGAGCTCACCCAAGAAAACAATCCTACTAAACTACAAAGCAAACGATGTCAACCAGTGCTTGATTCATAGGCAAAACGTCAACGAACGAAATATTGGCTAAGTGCCGTAGCATTGTCGTATACAACTCGGCGTTGATGTGGTGGCTCTCCGATTGGGAAATGGATATTAGGTTTGCGAGACTGTTCGAAAGTCGTCGGTTCCAGTCGATACCCTATCAAGTCGCCAAGAGCATCCTTTGAGAGCATCTGCAGCATTGTTACCAGCGTCTGACACAAGACGTAAACGTATGCCAGAGGTTGCAGCAGCTGGCCCTCCCATAAGGATTTTGCGCCGACGAAGGATATTTGGAATAATGGAGCGTAAAGATCTCCTTCCTGATATTCGCGTCGTGGCTCCAAGAACCGAGTCAATGCGGATTTTACATTCTCCTGCGCCAACGCGCCCAAACTGCATCCGACTTTCTAAGGAAAGGAGTGAGGTATACAAGGTCGATAGAGGTATCGGGATGAGAAACCTGGTGGGCTGGTTCATTCCCGGTCGCGATCCGAGGGTGCTAACTCGAGCAGTGTCTAGCTACCCTCGCGGCAGGCTAACAACTCTAACCAACGCTGGTCGTCTGAACATGCGCCGAATTAATTCCTATTCTTTTCTTTTTTTAAAAAACTACAGCTTACCAACGAAGTGGTCGTAGTAAAGTCCGGTCCAGCCGTGTTGACCCTTACTATGCTTGCCGATGGTTGACTGGACCGCAGCTTCGGGCATAGATGACACTTAAATCTCTTCAGCCCCGGGCTAAAAAACGGGTAAGTCGATGGAAATGTAAAAAGCGAGTACTACGTACTGCTTAGACTTGATGTGGGCCTTCAGAATTCTGCGGCTTTTCATCACCTTTAATTTTCCGTTGGTGCCAGTGCACACCAACTCAGGGCAGGACAACGACATCATCTTGAAACCAGTCTTGCTTGCTTCGGCTGACAAAGTCGCGCGGCGTCGGCTAAGACGGGGCCCTGTTCGCGAGACCGTAGAGGTATAGGGACAAGCAGGAGAAGCGATCATCGAACTTGGGGTCAATGCCAGGGCCGAAGAAGTTGGTCAACAAGAGCTCGGCTTCCTGCAGCATTACATTAGCTTATGAGTGTGATATCTGACGCGCTTTGTAGGCGTACCAAAGACTCTCAGAGGAACGCGTCCACCTGTCCTTCCGCCGCAGCCGCAAACCTGATGAACACGACGCGAAGTACGCATTCCGAAGGTGTTTTAGGTGTTGGATGGGCGCCTCGCCTTCATCGCCAAGCATCGGACCTTCAATTCGCGCAGAACCTGTAAATCTTCTAGGTATGCGTAGCATGAGAAGGGGAAACCGTGTCCCGAGTCGCTGCCGGTGTCTGAGAAGTGGAATAGCGACCAAACATGAGTTCTGAGGTTTCATCGTGGTGTCCCCTCTGCTCTCGTAGGTACACGGGGGCGCAGTTCGTTGGATGGGTCCACTATTGAATGTTTTGCGGATAGACGGCAAAGGAAGACCTTCGTTGTAAACGGTGCCCTGCCAGACGTGGTAGCAGACGGCGGGGCGTGTGAGAGGGGTTTGAGGGTAAACCTTGACTGGATAGATGTTGTCGGGTCACCTCGGAGAGTAAGATAGCTCTTGTCGTTGCGCTCCGAGGAGGGTGTTGGGGTAGGTGCAGTGGGGGACTCCATGTCCGGAGCCCAAGCCTGTATTGTCCAAGGCAGAGCGAGCTGCATCGAATGAGGAGCCAAAGGTACCAAAGGCGGAGCAACCGAAAGGAATGAGGGTAGGTGGATAGACATTGTTGTTGGAATCTGGTTAGGCAGTAGTGCCGTGAATAAGCAATATCGTGGATTGACCCTAACGCACCAGGGAAAGTGACTTGAATGCCTTCGGAGTCCATGACTTCAGGACGCTGAGAGGGTGCATTTGATGTAAAGGAGAGACGTGCGGACAGAAGCAAGGATGGGCTGGAAGTGCTAGCGAGGATGAGAGACAGACAACGATTGCAGTCATTGCGCACACAGGATTCACACTCAACGCGGATATCGGTTCGGACCCCTGACGCGGACAGACACCGAACCTTTTCAACCGACCCACGGCCAACGCTAGCCGAACTCAAGCTCAGGCTCAAGATTGGTCGACGATCGCCCATTAATACCTCACACATGACTGCATCAATGGCTTTCTTTCGGTTTCTGTCAGACTTCCGCGTCGACATCTGACTCGAATCGCTAAATTACGTCGCTAACGTATGTCAACAGGGCCAACATGCTCGAATTGGACGCGATACCCTCGAGTACCTTCGCCCGTTCCTCAGACCAGCCATAGTAAATGGCCAAAGTCTCCGACGATATACCTCTGTTCACGAATGGATCCTCAGAAATCCATGTCCTGGGTAGCATTAGCAGGTACGTCAATAGCTCTCCCAAGGGCTCTCCCAAGGGTGCTGCAGATTGCTTCCATGTCATCAACAACGATAAAGTCTGGTACGAAGATCTGAGCGGAAGTGGCACCTAACTAATTGTCGTGAGTCACACTTGGCACGCTCCAGGCATGGAGACTCAATCATGTTTCAGGTATCGAAGGGCCAGTTCGTATATCGCCGGACTCTTTGACTACGGCAAGCATTAACTCGATGCTATCTGTTCAGTTACCACTCTAAATAAATAAATGTATAGGAAATCTCCGTGAACTTCGCACGCCTGAGTGTGATACGTTAGGATATGCGCAACCTAGGCAGCCGTGCAGCTATCGTAATTGATGTTTGCCAAAACATGATTGTATGGCACGTGTCATTGTCTTACCAGCCTCTAGTCTTGAAGCGTTTTCATTCACAGTCTTGCGGCTACGCCGCTCCTACCTATCAGCTCGTCGGCCAGGATGGGCGTGTCGGACAGGCATGCTGTGGAAGAAGGCTTTGCTGAGCACAAAGCAAATGGTCCGAAGGCTATTGGGCGACCGCAATGGTTTATTGGGCCTCCAGAACGCACAAGATTCTGACGTGCTTCCCATATGCACCTTCAGCAAGGACTACCACTACAGTGAAGCCAGAGGTGTAGCGAAGTTTGACTGTCGCATAATATTGATGGCTGGTTTGTGCTCGGCGTCGTGACTACGACCCTGGCATCGAAGCGTCTGATGCTAGCTCTAGAGTCACTCACGGGCTTCGCGGTCGCACACTGACACTGAACGTACCTAGGATCTATAGCATTCCCACTGGATTGTACGACTTTCACGTATATCGTAGCTGCCCTTGTACAATGAACCTCCCTTATATAATGACACTTCTAACTTGACGAACGCACACTGTATATGTCAAAGGCCGCATGTATCCCAATTGTTCGAGTGCATCCCCTCTGATTCGCCTCATCCCTCTGCCCCGCATCCTTTCAAAAGTCCAATCACTTTGTGCAAGTACGCTTTCATTTGTAGGTAATCAATTCGTAGCTAATCAATCCATGAGGTTAATGAATGTCCTAAATCAAACCATCACGACCCCTCAAGGTTATCAACAACATCAAGTACTTCAATGGCGAGTATGTTTCGGACTGGGCTTCTATTGACACGTCTTCGACATATCGGGCATTGCACCTTGAGCAAACCGCCTTCCAAAAGTTGGATCACCCTCTTGGATTGCACGCGTTGAGGGATTGCGAGATTGTTGGTCTCATAGTACTGCTTGATGGCGTCCTTTGCTAGATGGCGAATACAGTGACTACAAAATGTGTGACCACAGCTGAAACTGGGAGACCATTAGAACCTATTCGTCTCGAATGACAACTATGCATACCTCCATGGCTTTTGCATTCGCTCCTTACATACCGGACAAGTTACGGCTTGAATTAGTCTTCCACGCATCTTTATCCCGATCATGAGAAATCTAGAATATGCCTGAGGAACCGGAAGAGAAACTCACATCGTTGTCAGGGTCAGATTTGACCACATTGAGTAAAGTTACGGCAGTATCGGAACTTGCTTCCACGTTTTTGGATAGGGCCTCGACTTCATGTTTTGAGTGGGTCTTAGATGGGGAATGTACTTGATCTGAAGTGGCTCCGACTTCCCCAGATGTTATTTTCGCGTTCTTCGCTACTGCTGGGGACCTGACTTCGTTTTCTGTGGGTGGGGCTCGAACCTCGTCTTTGGCCGTAGCCGTAGTCAATAAACTCAAGGTGTGCGTCATGGATCTGGTGAGCTGCGAGTAAATGGATAAGTAAAGCCGAGAGGTGATCTAATGGAAATCTCACTCACTTGCGCTATCTGGGTTTCCGAATCGTCAGATGTCTCAGGAGCATCTTTCAATCTAGAACGAGTGTTTTTCTCCAGAGCATAGCTGCGAGGCTTCCTTGCCGAAGAAGAAGGCTTGTAAGCAGAGGCGTCATAACGGGCTTGTCGAGACGGTGTAGAAGGCATCAAATTTGTGAGTGAAAGGATGTGGTCTTCGCGCCCGGTTTGTTGATACGGTAAAGCTAACATTGATCCAAACATGTCGCGCGGCTAGTACCCTACACTGACATTATACACACCGCACCCAATTCTAAGGGACCCTTACTCACAGCCGGCGCAACGACTCTTAGATTGTGTTGGCACTATGGTTAGCCAGTCGCCTATGATTTCCATCCCGAAGAAGAGCTCGTCAGATGTAGACTGGATCCCTTCAATCCGCAACCTCATCGCCAAATCGTATGGTATAAGTCCAGACGACTACACTGCAGAGTGTCAAGTGCTACAGCAATGCCGCAGGGACGCGGTCAAAGATGCCAACAGTAATGCAATAGGTATACCCACTTCTGAGACGGAAGTCGTCACATACTCTAACGCGACAAAATGTTTATTTTACTAGCCCATGACCGTTTGTCTCGGTACTTTGGTCAGCTCGAGTTTCTCGGTCTCCGGTTCCCTGAAATACGCATCGACTCCACTTGGAACGATGCATTCTCAAACAAGCAGATCTCCCAGACATCCCTTGCGTATGAGAAAGTGTCCACGCTCTTTCAGATTGCGGCTACACAGTCGGCAATCGCGGCTTCACAGAATAGAACAAGACCGGAGGGCCTCAAGCTCGCATTCTACTATTTCCGTGCCTGCGCTGGCATACTCACATATATCGCCGAAAGTTTTCCTCATGCCCCTTCCACCGACCTCAGCAGCGATGTTATTAGCTCTTTGACAGGCATCGTCATTGCACAGGCAACTGAGATTTTTCTGGAGAAAGTTATTGACGAGAAGACGGCTCACACTCTGATATCCAAAATCGCCTCCCAGACCGCGCACCTGTACACCACGTCGGCTAAGGAGGTTAAGGAGCTCGCGTACAAAGGCATCGTTGATCATAAGTGGGACACAATTCTTCAGGTATGCTGATTCCCTTGTTCAAGCGAGCTCAGTATACCTATTACTCCTCAGATCAAATCTAAGTACTTTGCCTCTCTTGCGCAATACTATCGTGGGATTGTAGACGACAAAGCCGGTGAACACGGCAATGCCCTCGTCCGTTTCACACTGGCCGAATCACTAGCTAATGAAGCAAATCAAGACGCGACTTCCTTCAACGCTCTCTATGCGTGTTCTGTGTCATCGCTCCCCTTTGATGTTGGCAGCGCCATTCTTGGCCGCACCCGAACGCATCTTTTCCTCTGTACGGAGCGAAGAAGTGAGGCCACATACGAGAATGACCTAATCTACATTGCCGCACTTCCACCTCACGATACGCTTCCCGCAATCGAGAAGGTGATCGTTGCTACACCGGTTTCAATCCAAGAGTTCTACGGGACACCGGACATGCGGCAGGTCATTGGCCTCGACATTTTCTCCAGGCTGATCCCTCTGAATATGCATAAAAGTACCGGCGCGTACATGGAGGAGAAGGCGGAACTCATCCGCCGCGAGGTTGAGCTTGCGGAGAGCGCCGACACAGAGATGTGCAGCGCCCTCGATGCGATCGGCGTCCAAGTTGGTTTAGCGCGCTTCAAGGTGATTGCGGATGGAGGAATCGACGTGAAGGATATCCCGCGCGACATGAGGCGGTGGAGGGAGGACATCGGCATCATGGAAGGTCGCAAGGGTGTCGACATGCTCATGCGGGAGCTCGGCAACCTCAAGGCCTCCGTTAAGAACACGCTTGGCTCGGTTTTGCATGACCTCGAGTCGCGAGACCACAAGGCCACACAAGTCGGGCATAACCACCTGTGTGCGCAGGACCGCTCTGCGTTATCAGACGGATCAATTCGCACCGAACTAAATTCACAAGCAGCCGCACTCGATGCTGCTGCTTTATCAGACGATCAGGTCATCGCGCTTTGGGATTCAGTGAAAGGGATCATTGGTCTTCTACTTTCTGACAATTTAGTGGATGTGTTCAGGTCGAACTTACAGAAAACCCCACAAATGGATGGCCTTTTGTACTTGGACCTGTCGAGCGATCCGTCGGATGAACGCAAACGCAGAAAGATCAAGCAGTGTATTGGAGAGATTGAGGAGCGCCTGAAGAAGCTGAAGGGAATAAGGTCCGAGCGCAGCGACGTGCTTAAGGATTTACGAAATAAAGTTGTTTCAGTGGCTAGTGGTGCAGTCATCGTGCTGAAGTTGTCGTGCTGATATACATTTTCAGGCTCAAAGTGGCGATGCCTTGCCCTTGCCGCTACCCAGTGGGCCTAGCTTCATTGCTAGTACCGAACTCGAAAAGTTCAAGTTCTATCAACAGCGGAGGCATGAATTTGATTGTCACCAGCAAGTAGTATTGCAGGAAATTACACTGTTGTGGAAGAACTTGCAGGATATGGAGACCCCTGGCCTTTATGCAAAGAGGTGGGTAGAAAGGGAGAAGCGCGTTAAGGAAGTTGTTCGGACGTTCGCAAGAGCACGAGATGGATATATGCAAGTTCAGGACGGCCTTGAGTGAGTACTTATCCTCGCCTGTTTTATTCAATGTCCCCCCTTACACCGTGATAGCAAAGGGATTCGATTCTACCAGCAGCTCGTTACCTTCAGTGAGACTCTGAGGCAAAGAGCGATATCTATCTCCAACAGCAAATGACGAGACTCGGACTTGGACTCGGAGGTTACTATTAATCCGGCAGAGGCAAGGCAGAGGCTAAAGTTGGGCTAAAGTTCAGCTTAATTCCTGGAGCCATGTACTTAATCATCTATATCTCATTTATATCATAGCGCTGATTGAGACAAGGCGCTATGGTAGTTAAGTAGTGTTTTGTGTACGTTCGCTTCTCTTACATAAGCCATCGGCATTGGCCGGTTTATTTACAAGCTGTTCGCTCTTGCTTTGTCCTCTCTCAGGCGCAGTCACCCGCGTGTGGTTTGGCGGTTTCAACGTCGCCCAAAGGGTTATCTCCAAGTTTCCAGCTCCCCAACGGGAGGCCCACCGTCAAGACCGCTGTCAAGAGCGATGTTAAGAGCGATTTCAAGAGCGCGGCTCCCCAAAGGGACACCCGCCGTCAAGAACGCTATTAACAGCGCGGCTCCTCCATGGGAAGCCCGTCGTTAAGAGCGCTGTCAAGGACGTCGCTCCCAACGAGTAGCCATCGTCATGATCAAGATCGCAGGTCGTTTTATCCCGGGAGTTAGTTCGCACCCACCACGGTGCCCACAACCTCCCTGCTCGGGCTGGACTGGAGGCTGTCAAGGGGTGCGGTGCAATGTTGCATGGCATGCTTTCAATCAGGGTGTGCGGCTTACCATCTCAAAGGCACACGCAATGCCTCTATGCTTACTCGGAACACTGACACTTCTCCGACTCCTCCTCTGCCGTGGCTTCTGTGATGAACGTGACCACCAACTGCACCAGCTCCAACGAACCAACAAGCGCAGGCCGGGAAGGAGGCTGCAAGCCAGCGACAGCCCTTCGTCGCACGATCCGTTTCCAGCTTTCTCCCTCTCTATGGCTACCCCCTCCCCCCGTGTTGTTCTAATCCCGATCCCGCGTCACCCACCCTATATATAGCCTTTCAATACTCCATCGCTACTTCTCTGCCGGTTTCATTGTCTCTCCTAGTTCGCGTCCGCACGACGCTTCCTCAACCCCAAGAACCCTGATGCATACCAGTCTCTTGCGGACCCTCTGCGAAGATGGGTCTCCAGCGCTTCGCGCATTGCTCGCCGAACGCGTCGCTTTCCATAAAGCACGCCGATTCACAGGCTATTCACGAAGCCAACCCACGCGCCTTGCAGCGATCCGGGGCTGACGGACAACTACTATAGGTTTCTCTTTTTTTTTTTTAAAAAAATCTTTGTTCGCTTTCCCTTTTTTCTTTCTAAGTCCTATGTTATGCGGCGACATGAACCCTCAATCATACGGGCCGGGACTATATTTAGTACTTGCACCAACAACATACACTCATTCGCAAAACTATTTAGATTTACACCGATACCGAATACCTACCTCTAGAGTACGGAGTCGAACGCTGCATAGTGTACATATCTAGTGCTTTATGCGGGATATATGTTTGATTTGTTTCCTCTGTGTCTCGCCTCGCAGTCCCTTCATGCAAAGTTTTCTGTTAGATTTTCCGTTCGAGCAGGAGTTGTGAAGCGCGCAAAAGGGTTTAAATTCAAGTATTAATTCAACCACTAGTGACAGTTGCAGTCCTGAGCCGAAAAGTAGCCCAAGTACTTCTGTAGAGGAGGTACAAACCTCTCCATTAATGCAGGTCCTCTGCCAACACCTTTCAAAAGCTAGCGATGGTGACAGAAACGCCTTTCCATCTCAACGATACCTTCCGAGTAGACGAGTGCAAGGAGGATAATATGGCCTACAGCAAGTAGCACGACAATATGGTGAAAAGGATATCAATCATGAAACACGCGCGAGCTGCGCCGAACACTGTCGACTCCCTTAGTGCCCAGATAATTGGAAGAAGGCCGGGAGGGGCTCACAAAACTATGTCTGTTTAGCTTATTGCGTGCGTACACGGAGATCTACACCTTGTCTCTTGCCTTCATCTCCAATACCTGCTTGTGTAGTTTCCATAGCACACGCCCGACAATGCCGGTTGTGGTCCCGTTCGTGATGATACATCCAAGAAAACGATGGTTGCGTGGGCTGTGCTGTGTCGCCGGCAGACCAGCCCACCTACAAGATATTACCTATGGGTCGGAGGAGTGGGCGGTTGATATTTTGATTATTTTGTATGGCAGTCATATACACACCCTCCAGCCGCAGACCACAAACGGTTCATGTAGCTAACGACAGCCTAGATCAGCACGCCTTCGCTGAACGAGACTGCAGACTCACACACACACACACGATCCTTGATGCGGAACACAAAAGCGTCGCCACGCCCATACCATTGTCCGTCTTGCCCAGCGTAGTCGACACGGAGTCGAAACGCACTGGAAAGGGTACACCATTTTGGCTATCCGGGTGGTTTGGATGGTTGGACTCGGCACCATAGGTCTTAACAAGTACGTTCCGACCCTCATGATAGACGGCATATGGCTTGGGCGAGAAGGGTCCCAACGCCCAGGTGCCAGGGGGAGAAGCCATCGATCACGGTAAACGCCTCGATGCCTGTGCTCCTTGACGGTGCGACTAACGCTGTCAAAAACAATCTTTGAATGAGGCCATTGCCATGCGGATTGAGCAGGTGGGAACGAGCGGTAATCTGAGAGAGCGGATAGTCTGGCCACGATACTCAGGTTCAGGCTGTAAAGATACCATGTGCACGTGTATGCACCTCAACCCAAGGCCGGTTGAAGCTGAGGCCGTTCTGGTGCTGGGCCATTAGAACGGCGAGCAGGTTGTCTGTCTGGCTCAAAGACAGATGTGAAGACTGTAAGATAGATAAGGACGAGAAGGATGGTAGTGGGTACCGCTCTGAATTCGAACGCGATGGTCGGTGGAAGAGTTTAACGTTTAAGCCTCGCCGATGTTCTTCGGACTCTTTCATTCATGTGACGGCATCGGTATACCATGCCTCCTATACTCGAAATCACATCCCCAATACCCAGGAATTTCTTAGAAACAACTGGGAGCTTGGACCTTCGCTGATCTTCTTGGACATCCAGAGGAACCCAAGTTTGACTTGAAGATGCAAATTTTATTATTCCAATAGCCGCGAAAACAAAACTATGGGCATATGATTGTAGATCTATTAGGACGAGCATTTTAGATGCAAACGGAGTAGAAATTGTGGCCATTATAGGTCAGTACATATATGATGGACAAGACGAAGTGAGGAAATCAATTCGGACCTAGCCTCGGGTCCCAGGCCATCAGGGGGAGCGAGTAGGTGTGTTTTCGGCACATAGTACCATCTGGGCTATTTTGCTGGCTGTCGATGCAGTCTCCCGTACCACTGGGGCACAGTCGTGCAAAGCCTAGAGGAACCTCTCGTCAGATATTTCTCGGTAGGCAGAGTTGAGGGTTTACAGTTGCTTTCAGACGAAACAATTCATCCTCCAGAATCTCAAGTGGAAGGCGCGTAATGAGCTTCTTCAAGGCGATGAGGCCAAACGAATGGGTGGCATCCGCAGCATCCGCAGCAGAGTCAAGCCATAGACTGGCTCGGCGCGGGCGTAAAGGCCATCGCGTATGGTCTTGGTCGCCTCTAGGACCTACAGGGCAGTCAAAGATAAATCCAACCAAATATTACGCCATTGCTAAGACACGCTTACGTTGACGTGGTTGGAGTATCGCCCTTGGAAACCCACAGTAAACTTGTCAGCTTCTCGACATTGACAATATTGGAAGACCAGAAAACTTGTTCTCACTTTCGATGGATCGAGTACCTTCAGCAAAGCACCAACACTCGATCTCATTTCTTTCTTTTCGCCTATGAAGTTCGGAATGATAGGACCAACCCTACGGTTTCGGATTATGAAAAGAAAGGCGGCGCTAGGCAAGGTAAATACGTCAGGGCTCAGCGGGAACGTTCTATACGGTGTAGGAGGACGGTTACTTGCTGGGCCAGTTTCTGTACCACCCGAACATTGTTGCCGCGGTTCTCCAACAGAGAAACGTGTTCTTCAAGCTCTGCAGTGCGATTCAGAACGTTGACAGCCTTCAATAGTGTTCCAGTGTCAGTGGCTACAAGGACATTAATAATTTGGAGCGGTCAGCCTTCGGTGACACTTGTTAGAAAACCCAGAGCGACATACCAGACGTGCTTTAACCACCAGCTCAACATATGTAGCTGATCCGGCACCTTGATTTGCTAGTGTCGCAGACTATTCTGGAATGCCGCAACCTGGCGGAAGATGGATGCATTGCGATTCAGAGCGATTCAGAGATAATGGGATGCCTACCAGAGTCTTCCTTTGGATTGCTCAGCTCCTCCAGATGACGTTTGATCGTGCTTTCAGCCTGCTCTGCTCGAGCCCAGAGAGTATCCTCGACAGCTATGTCCCGTTTCCCTTGGAGCCCGTTCAACAAGGCCTTTGACGCCGCCCGCCGCGAATCGTCTGAGCGGGGTGAGAATGAGGGATGCCTCGAGTGTAGTTCCGCATTCTGCCGTCTAGAAGGGTACGCTTGATGCAGTATGAAACTTGATTCCACCGGACTGGCGGGGAGAGGTGCGAGCGGCAGCGCGAGGGGTATCTGAGCGCAAGCGAAAGCAGGACAAGCTGTCACGTGCCAGTAAGTTGGGTTATATATCCCGAGCCGCGAATCCCGCGATCGCCATGGTACGTACCAGCGGTGCGCTTGGACAGCTGAAAATAATTAATGTACCCTACCTTTGGAAGTAAACAGTCTCTCAAGATGCGAATAAAGCAAGGTCGTACTAGATCACTTGAAATACCATTGATAAACCATCACTCTTCTTTCTGAGACATTCACCAAACAAACGCTTTAACTAGGAGATCGCTGAGCGACTTGAGTAGAGATCCAAGAATGCGATACCCCTCAATGGTGTATTCTATGCTATCAAACTCCGCCTGGTGTTGTAATTCGTGATCTTGGTTGCGTTCGTCAAAAGTTTCTGTTACATGTTCATGATCCTGGTCGTGTTCGTCGATAGTTTTTGTTACTACATGTTCGCGATCCTGGTTGTGTTCGTCGATAGCTTTTGATTCATGATGCTTGCGGTGGTCGCCGTCAGTTTTCGTATCATTGATGTGTTCATCGCTAATTATCAAGGTCGGCTGAGGCTGAAGAGCGCTAGTTCTGTTTCAAGGACTTGGAATAAGCCTGTCACTCTAAAAGGATGATATGTTTTATATCACGTACGAGTGAGACTGGAGAACTGTCATCCATTGATAATATTTCTTAAGAACTCCTGCGGAGTTTTGATAAACCTTGTAGTGGAACTCCGGTAAGTCAGAGAAACTGCGAGAGACCTGAAAACTGTTCATCATCACGCAAAGGTATTAACCGAGAAGCAACCGACCGCTATCTTTGACGTTCCCCAAAAGGTTCCATCCAGCTGCAACGCATTATCTGCGTACATCGAGCTAGAGAATCGAACCATTGCATGTTGCTGAACTAAGTGACCATTGTAATAACTCGGGTCCACCTTCACCCTTGGAACAAGTAGGCCGCCATTACAGATTATGCTGACGTCGGTGACAGTACCATAGCGCGAGAACAACTCGTTCAGCTCATCTTCTGTCGTGGCCGGGGAGAACTGGACGAAATAAGTCTGTTATCAAAGACAGACAACCAATGTTTGAGAAGCAGGCGTACGTTACCAACAAAAATATAAGCCTGGTTTTGTGCTTGAACTTTGGCAGCTACCTGAGCCACGAGGTGCGCTCCTATCATCTGGTATTCGTTCTCCTTGGCATCTAGTCTCCGGGAAGACTCCTGAGTATGTTCCTTTTGGGGCATTGTTTTGACGCTGAGTGTGTCCCCATGAAATTCCTGGAGATAGTAACGAAGGTCAGTTGTGTGCAAGGACTTGGTATAGAGACATGGATACTGGCCGTATTCAGGAGCGTCCCTTCATTGCAGGGAGATGTCTCAGGCTCTTGCTTGTAAGGCTCGTCTTCAGCGACATCGGAGGTGCTACCGTAGAATGAGGCGGTACCCAAAGAGGGGCAGCGAAACCTAGCCATCGCTAAGGTTGTTAGCTACCTTAGGAGACGGCAAGAAAAATTCCCGAAATCGGAATGGCGCGATTTATGGCCGGAGGGCTTGAGCAAATATATATATATATATATGGGATTAGACACGTACTAAGGTACCTATTGACGCTGTGCGTGTGGAGACAGCCGCTGAAACGACAACGACGTGATCAAGCTTAAGGACGGAAGCGGTTGGGAAGCGGAGCCCGTTGAAATAGCTTCGAGTCAATTAATCATGGACGGGCTTCAACGTACTACTTCATAATAGGAATTATCATTGCTGACGATTACTGCAGTGAGCTCAATTGAGTACGTGAAGTAGGTACGTGGTGATATACCGATGTTAGTCAAGACCAATATGATTAGCTATTTTAACACAGTGACAAAGAACTTAGAGCAGCAGTCGCGGTCAACTCATCTTCGTCTGCGTCCATCTCGTCAGCCTTGATCCCCGCAGAAGCCGTAGTCGCGGAAGCGGTGGCGGCGCGGCTACGCCCCCGACGCGAAGATCTTGTTGCCCGTCCCCTAGGCATCTTCGTGGGAGACACTGGCTCCCTGTCTGTGGCCTCCCCACCAACACTCGCATGCGTAACTCCTCCTGGCGTGGCCCTATTCCCCCTTTTTGTAGGCGATGGCGACCTCAGTTGAAGAGACGGTGCTGTCAACTTTGCAGTACGCGCACTTCTACGCTTCTTCATTTCGTGGTTTGAACCCTTCTCGCTCGGCTGATTGTCATCAAGAGCAAAGGTTGATTTGCGTTTATGTCCGCAGGCACTGATCCCTGGCTCTGCTGAGTCCACTGGCCCCGGTCCCGGCACGGGCACATGAGCAGATACAAGCGTGGGCACAGCGCCAGCAGTCGTGAACGAGCCAGGGACTCTGATACGAGAAGCGGCATTCGCTTTTGGGACGATATCTTCGGTTTCCTCCGGGACGCTTGAGAGCGAGCTTTCGCTGATGCACTTCAGCAACGCAGAGACATCGTTGACTGAGCGAGAGTAGAGCTGCGAAGGGTTGCAGGTGACGGAACCCGCGTTTCTTGTGACCGAGGGCGAGATTTTGGTTTCTTCCGCACGTGGGTATGTAGCGAGCCAAGGGTGCTCTTGGGCCATAGCGATGGGCATGCGGTTCTCGGGAAGGTACTGTAGTAAGCTCTGAATGAAATCCTGGGCTAACAAGGAAGTCCCATGTAAGAAAATGCGTACATGTAGAGATCCATGAGTGCTCACCGTCCTGGCTAGGGTGTGCATCCCGGAGAATCCCCCAATCAACTTTACGTTCCGCGATGCGGATCTTGATGTCATTTATTGTCTTGTCCTCAATGAAAGGTGTTTGCCCTGTGAGCATCGTGAAAACAATGACCCCCACACTCCAAGCGTCGATAAGGTGGTTGTACCCCTCCGAGTTCTTCTGGGTCACCACGTCCGGCGCGAGGTACGAAGGCGTACCGCACATTGTCTATAGTGACATCCATTTAAAAAGAAGGAAGCGGAGCAGTCGTCAACGGACCTGCATATACGTCTCGCTATCGACTATCCTGGCAAGACCAAAGTCGGCGACCTTAACGTTGGGGGGGCTCTCAGTAGTAAGGAGTACGTTTTCAGGCTTCAGATCACGATGAACGATGCCGAGAGCATGAACGTACTGTATCAATGTGACGTCAGAGATATAGGCAAGAAGAATAGGGGAGCCACGCACGGTCAAGGCGTCCGCGATTTGGTATGTGATGTGGCACGCCAGTGGTTCATCTACGCGGAAATGAGAAGAAGAAATAAAGGCATGGTTGTCTCATTACGCACTTATATAAGTATGGAGACAAATGTAATCCAATAAGTCCCCTCCTTCCACCAACTCGAGTACCAGACCTATTGAATAAGAATAAGCGACCCATGAGATGAAATGACTACCATATTGAACACTTGCTAATGGTAGACTCTTCGAAGAACACTTCCTTCAGCAGGCAGATATTCTTATGTTGAAGTTTCTGGAGGATGGATACCTCCCTTGCGAATGCAACGGTCATCTTATTATTTTCTCGCGCGCCGGAGCTTCCGCTACTTCCGGAGCCCGGTTGAGTCCGCTTGAGCGTCTGGAGGTTGATGATCTTGACGGCATACCACTTCCCTGTCTGGAGTGAGAGCCCTCTCACGACGGTCGCAAAGGAGCCTTTGCCAATCTCGTGACCGATGTCGTAAAACGCGTGTAAACCAACTTTGGGCGGACCCGAGGCCATGTGGCGGTAGGCCATGTGGCGGTAGATGAAGCCTGAAAAGGTGTGCGTGAGAGAGGAAGATAAGCTTGGAGTTATGAATGGCGCACGGTAATCTTCCAAGGGGCGTTCGGGTTGGGCGACGGAGTGACCAAATGCGATCTCGTTCCCATCTTTCAATATACGGGACCTACCTTTCCCAATGCTGAATCCGTTGATCTATATAGACGTATTTTAGAATGGTCATATTGAAGTGAGAGCTAACCTACCCAGGTGCCGTTGTTCGAGGTGTCATACACAGTAATGTGCGACTTCTCGTCCAGTCTACTATCCCAACGAATTTCACAGTGTTCATTGCCTTGTTATTTTATTAGCACTCGAAAATATTAAGCCGAAAAGGGATCAGAGGAAAACCACGATACTAACTAACTCTAAGGCCCGGGAGGACGACCACGTTTTTCTCCGGGTTTCGGCCAATAGTGATGGCCTTCTGCTCCGTGCAGAACTCGATACTCTTGAGCGCTGGAGAGCATGGCTGGAGGACCCCCCACACACGTCGTTCAGTGCCCTGTGGGTCAGCATGAGCTAGCTGACCGGGGTCTTGCTGGGTCTCCTGCTGAGTATCCATCGCCAGGACGTCAGACCCGGGCGCGTAGCCCGTGCGCTGACTCATGAAGTCCTGGGTGGTTATTTTATTTTATTCGTCTCGTAGGCAGGCTAGTCGACCTGCTCACCTTCGACGTGTTTTTTAAAGGTGAAGATCGATGGGTAGGTAACTGGGTGATGATCGTAGTACAAGCTTAAGCGTGATGGCGCGATGGCGCAATAATGAGCGGTTATAACGAGGCTTGGGTTCTTATTTACGTGCGCTCTACCTAAGTAAGTACCATGTGCTGATCTTGAGTACGTCTACCAGCTACCGAGTGGTAAGTTACTATTTGATTTTTGATTTTTGATTCTAGATTTTTCTGTAGTTAATGGATACTATATTATTACGTAAGTTTAACCACTACTAGAGTTCATCGAGTCTAAACAGAACCCACGGGCCGCTTTTGTGCATCGGGAGGTCAAATAATTGAGGGAGCTTAGCCCACAAATCCTGGCGTAGAGTCTGTGCGTCCCTCTTTGCCCTGGACCTGCACGGAGAGCATACTCCGTCGGTAGCGTAATCTTCAGTGATAAATGCCTTCAACTCACTCAAGACGTCCGATGATTGAAGCGCCAGTTGGAACTTGGCCTCGATACCTCGCCTGTCGCATCGAAGATCACAATCGGCAAAGCGAGAGGAATTTTGAAATTGGAAAGCTTTGCTTTCCATAAATCGCTGGATGTGTTCCCGACCTAGCAGCAGGCGTTTGAAATCGTTTCTAGTGAGGTATGACCAATTCGCGGTCCGGCCACCGTCTTCGTGAACCTCGGCAATGTTGTCGGAGACCCCCTGGTCATCCGCCTTGGCAGCCCGGTCGCAGGATATCCGGGTACGAGAGAGATGATAGAATGCAGCTGGCAAAATGTCGTAGAGGCAGAATTCGAGGGCAAGGGAAATAGCGGCCCCTGGTTCCGGGTAAACATCGTCGTTGTGCGGTAGCTCGTCCGGCAGGTTTTCTTCCATGCGGCGCGAATGGCGAAGCTCTATCTCCCCTTCGAGCTGGTCCCACTCTGGGAGTGAAGTCGGCCAATCCGCTTCAACTTGATGGACTAATCGGAGCCACACAGAATCGATTTGGTACTTTTTTGCGAGACGAAGAATGCCTTCAATTTTGCTTGGAGTTTCAGGGTCATAGCGAGTGAGTGGAAACATTCTGTTACTTTCGTATTAGCCAATGCACGTTATCTCTGAAGCGACGGACTGCTCACGAGGCATAATAATAGAATCGAAGAAGGCTACGGACATCTTGGGGCTCGTCGTACATCCGCACTATTGGCCTTCCTTTGTACAAATTGCTTGAGTCGGTAGAGTCGGCCGGAAGATCGGGCAGAGTGAACATGTCGTCGAAGACGGATGAATGCATGGAAAGTATAGATTTGTGTACGCAAAAAAGGAGACCCCCTTCGCCGTGCAAAGGGGCTGCAGCAACCACCACATTGCCGTCGTTAAAAAACAGCGATGTGTCTTCTTGGAAATGAGAGATAGTCGTTTCCGACATGCCTGGTGCTTTTCCCTGAAGGTAAGGCTTGATGCAGGCGGAAGGTAAAGGAGATAGGAAAGGAAACAAATTTTCTACGCTAGAAAATCCTTGGTGCCATGGGGTTTGATCTGAAAATGCCGATGTAGCTCCATGACTGAAACTCATGTGACACGTACGCCTAGAAGGGATCACGATATCAGTTTCTTAAGGTAGTATAAATGAAAGCAGCAGCGGATCAAGCTAGATATACTAGAGATGAGCAGCGCGCCAATAATTAGTAACTTAACGCTCAGCGCGCCTTGAGCTTGAGCTTGAGCGCTTGAGCTTGAAGCTTGAAGCTTGAAGTTGAATTCGTTCTTTGAATGTAAGATTGGATTAACGCCAGGGCTGGATCGGGTGCGCATGCGACAAAGCCACCTATATTAATAAACTCCGATGCCGACGCTTGTGTTCTTCGGATCTAACCGCCGGTATTTACCCGACCCTGGTCCATGATGGGCTGAGTTCATCCGCCCAGTCCGTTAGAGCATTACACGTCCTCCACCCTCCTACGCTGGTCTGATGTCAAGCCCTATCTCTTTGACCAATACGGGTGGAGGTCAGGAGCTAGCACCTCCGAAGAAATCGGAGAGACCGAAAACCCGATCCAAAGCCAATTATATCCGTGCTCAAGCGCTCATACAATACACCTGCGCTCTACCATTTAAGACCACTCACTCAAACAATCACCAAAGCACAAGCCAACGCTTCAAGAAACTCACGCATGCAAGTCTCAGATCTCATCGCTCGTACAAAGCCACCCCTTACTAGCCCCTATCTACTCTGCTGGCTTATTGATTACCTCATGGACCCTCGTGGATTCAAACCTTTGGCGAAACTGCGCGCATGTGTCCTCCAGTTCTCGCCTTCCAAGTTCCCTGTTTTCGTATTGGGCTTCCTTGCCTTCTTTATACCTGGGGCGATCACGAGATTCCATATCATGCTCGTCAGTAAAGTCATATCGAGCTCGCCAACAATGCGCTCAAACTTCTATAGATACGGCGAGGACGTGAGATAATGCGGCAGGGCCTTGGAACATTCCAAAAGGTATGTTCTCCACCCTAACTCTTTGCATGGTCGTTCGTGTCCAGCGCTTGAGTAACATTGCAACCCGCTTCTATAGGCCTAGGGCGCTATCAACCGCCATATAAACACCTCCATTTCCTCGACTTGCTATGCGCAACGTCGACCATCTCCGCCAGATCCCTCTCCCCTCTTCGCCCTGGGAAGACAGCATGTGGGTTCAAACTCGGGCTCGAACGCAAGCTCTTACCTGGATTTTTGCTTATTTTTTACTTCGGATCTGTTGCACAGAACCTGGAGAAAACCGTACTGTGCGTTTTACTTGGTAGGATGTGCGACACTTGGAGTTTTCGTTTAAAAAGGCGATATACAGTGAGCTGTGTTCAACCACACGGCACCTCGACGAATGATAAACCCTGTTAAGTTCTGCCAGGCGACGTTGCTGTCATCCATCTAATCGCTGAAGCGTCCGAGATAGAGTCAACCCTCATCACTGTGGACATCGCAGACGAGCTCTTCGCGATCCAGTAAGTCACACCAGGGATGCATGATTCCTCGAAACTCTTGACTTACTCACTCCTCAGTCCTTCTGAAAATGGAACATTATCCAACTATGTGCCGAGGGTCACCTCTCTGCGTGCCCATTCACGCGATATGAATTTTAACGCTGTTCCCCGATGATCATCCTTCCAGCTTATTCGTCGCTTGACCACCGACGAGCTCAAGGTGGGAACACTGGCAGATTTTCCCCGTCGGTGCGTGTGCTTGTCGTCAAAATAGAGCTATATCTGATGATGCATGAAGGATAAACTCTATGACTACACACCGAAAGTCAGGAGGACGATACACGAAGTGATGACCAAATCAAATTCCGCACGAGTACTGAGAGGGTATGTGTTTGATCTGTTCTCGCCGATGAGGCCTTGACTCAATATAAAATATTTACGTAACTTTAGCGGCACTCGAAGGAGGTGCATCTTGTGCATGTCTTTCGTGCGATACCGAACGAAACTCACGATCCCCCGGAAAGTATTTTCATGTCGTCATTTGCCAATCTCCCTAATGGTGCGTAACTTCGCGCAAATGATCCAAAGCCAATACTGATTCTATGCAGGTTCTTCTATCCGAATACGAATTCGGCGCGGCTTGTTCACGTTGTGGACGACAAGCCAATCCTTGTCAACTGGGTTTAACCTGGTCCTGGGATAGCTTTAAACCTGGTCCTGGGATAGCGCCGCTGCGGGCGATCGTCGACGAGCGGATCACGGAGGGTGTTGACGTGAATCTCAGAGTAGTGTGACCTGTTTCGCTACTCATGTGCATCTCGCAGTCCGATCTACTGCAAGTCAACGAGGGCCCATCCAATATCCATTCGTTCTGAGGAATTTCAGAGCGTGTAATATCGGTTAGATAACAACATTCAATGGCAAGTACTTTCCGTAGTTAAAATGAGCAAAACGAGCATTAAACGAGCATAACTAGTGCGATGAGAGCAAGCCGCTGGACGCGACGGCAGAAGCCGTGAATCACGTGTCCCCACTTTCCCTTAGCTAGTCCCTGGTCAACAATGAATCCCCGCTTCTTCCGGATTCCCCGTCAACCTCCCTGGTCCCGTTCTTCGCCTTGCCCCGGCGCGAACAACTCTCAAGCCCCCATGTAGCTCTTCACACATGCTCGTCGTCGAACAAGCCCTTTTCACCCAGCTGATGCGCCAGCCGGGTCTTGTTGACGGCGTCAAAGATGCCAGGTACGTCCGACACCGTTCCATCGGAGAACGGGGAAAAACTGATGGATGGAAACAGGAAGCGAAAGCTCATAAGCAAATGTCTGCCGAACGTGCTGCAGCAGGCGCCCGAGCTCGCAGCTCGCCGAGGACTCGAAAATGTACCAGGACCTCTAGATGGAGCGCAGGTTCGGCTGGACGATTTCGCGGGATGAACCAGGAGACGGGGAAGAGTGTCCCAACGTGGGCGCTCAAGGTAGAAGGGCTGCTTGAGGTGTGTGCTGACCTTTCTGCTTGTTTGGCTCTAAGACTCACGGAATGGTGCAGATACCAGACCAACGGCCGCAAGACAAGGTGCACCCGCGCAAGTTCTCGAAGTTTATCAAGTGTCTGATTGTAGAGCTGGACCGCGACCCGAACGTGTATGCGGACGGGAATATTGTGGAAGTACGTCGCCCTGCGCTTGCTACTTTCGCTGAAGGAGGTGGCTGAGGGTGTGATAGTAGCCAAGCAGCCGAACACTCAGCCTCCCCTTGATGTATATACCATTCGGCGGACGGGCGACGTGCCCACAAAATGTAGGTGGCTCATGTACCTTGCGTACTGCCCTGAATAGTTCAAGGGTGGGTCGTAAAGATAATGGTGCGACTTTGCGCTCATTCGCGTCATAGGGAACATCCTTGGTATCAAAGAGGAGAGCCGGCTATGCGCTATCCAGACTCTATATATCCAATATCCACGGTCTACAGGATAAGACTGATCGCTGGCGGATACGAGCAGACGATGCTCTGAAAATTTGTACGCCCGCTCCAGTCATTGCACGCTGAACCCGACTGACGTGGTTGGAGATATTTGGCGGAGAGGGACGATGTTATATCATCTCCCGGAGCTGGTCAACCGATACCTCCTGCAGCCAGACCCCGTCATCATCCACTCCATTGATCTCACCGTACCGCCACCAGACGGAAGACATGACACTAAAAAATCAGATGGCGGCATCCATCCAGGCGATCAAGGAGAACACGTAGGACCTCACCAAACTTGACGACGAGATAAGTGCCCACCGCTTGCTTTTGGCGTGCGCCATAGAAACTGACAAACATCTGATTGAATCTTCGTGCTCGTCCAATTTCTACGAAACTCCCACACGACGCATGCGTTCCTGCAGAACTTTGCCAAGGACCCGGTGAAGTTCATCCGGACTTGACTGGAGTTGCAGTCGCTCGACCTAGGGAGCATGCTCGGGAGCGGGCCGAGTGAGGGCGCGATGATCCATGCGGAGGGGCTGGGGCAGAGAGAGTTATTAGGGCTGCCATGGGTGAACAAGGCGGTCGCGGTGCACGAGAGCATTCCTTTTTGCTCCATTCTTTTGCATTTTTCTGTTTCATATCTTATGTCCGCGAATGCTCACATCGTACAATATAAACGTACAGTGTAAAGTCATTTTACATCGATGTAATATGTCCATGTACTTTTACATTGCGAACCTTTGGTTTCTCTGCAGCATGAATCGGCCATCTAGTTTGACCCGCTCGTTTTGAGCAGCAAAGCGCCTTCCAAGGACCCGGCGACGAGTGTTGCGCTTACTCCACTCGAAGATTCATGACCGGCATTCTTCTGAACGATATTCGGTAGGTGATGCACGCTCTTTCTCGTGGTCGTTTGTTGACTAGACGTGATCTAGTGGTGACTACTTATCGAATCAAAGGTGGGCGTTAGGCCCGAGTCCAATATTTGTCCTAGTTTGTTCGGACCCGCGCTACGCGATTGGAAACCCCGGATTCCGCCGCTTTCATTACACCATATCCCCGCGCCCATAGAAACAGTAAGCATATAATGTATATCCTGTACTGTGAACAATGTTCGACTGAAGCCTATTACAGGACTTTCCCACCCGACGGAGAGATATCAGTTCTTTGAGACATGAGAGACATGACTCACAACGAGGGTTGGAATCGGCGAAGGTATCGAACCATTTATTAGCTTGCAACGAGAGGCGAACTCAAAGAACGCGGACTTCGTCTGATTCCCTTATCCAGGTCACCTTCCCTGCATTCGACCTCCATGTCAGATTTCACGCTCTCCCTGCACGCTATCAGCATTTCTGTAGCCCACTGGACCATGGGTTATAGAGGACCCGACAGCAACTTCAAGTTCCAGGAGGATCGAATGCGTGCCCGGGCGCAGCCTAACTCTTCGAAGGCCTTGCATACATTGTACGGAGACATGGCGCTTCAGGTGGTTACGGGTAAGGCGATTATCAAGAAGATACGGTCCCTGCCTTCACCATTCAGACGAACCCTATCATCGGACTTTCAGCTCACCTTCGAGCGTGCTATTGATTTGGTTGGGGCAATTACGGAAGAGGTCCAGTTTTGCGAGGCTATGATTAAAGAGTATGCACCACTCACTCCATTCCCTGATGAATAGCGAGTATGCGACGCTCTTGTCAATTGATACATAATAGCATACCCGCCCCCTAGGCAATACAGTCATGTTCTTTCCTTGCCTTCAATTGAACATCCAGCGACATATCTGGCCTCGTCAACTCCCCCATCTATGTTCGCTTCGCATGCACCTCTACACAAGGACGATGACCTTAGGAGCAAACGCTCTATTAGGGATGGATGACTGCGTGAATTAACAAAGAAAGTTACATACAATGGTGTCAAGTTCGTGCTTAACAGAGGACGCGATTAAAAGACACATAAGAGTGCTGCTTAATGTCAAAGAGCACACTTAACATGAGCTTATAATCAAGAAGTGCTACTTCGCTCCTGTATCTTCCTCTTACCCTTGACCTACACCCTCACTCACCGCCTTCACCGTCTTTGCTGACTCTTTAGCCTTTACTTTAGCCTTGCGTTACGTAACCAGCATCATGCCCTACTACGTCATCCTTATCCTGGCTGCTCGTCTCGTCGTCCGAATAGGGTCCCTCGTTGCAATTTTCGACCTGGCTACTAATTCATAATCAGACCCTTAAACTTTTAAAGCGAACAGAGACTGCTTAAGAAAATAACGCACAACAGACGCCTCCTCCAGATCCGGCGCCGTCGGGCAGCTTCTTTGGCACCTCGCCCAGGTCCGTCGCCTTGTGGAACAATTGCGGCCGGAATCTTCCTGTGCGCAAGCTCGAACTTGTCCTCGCTGACGCCGAGCTTGACGGTCGTGTCTAGATCCTCACGCGAGACAAAATGCTCGCCCATGCGCTTATTACTACCATTGTCCTCCGCGCTCTACATACCCAATAAGTCAGTTGAGTTCATTTCAAGTGGTAATAGTATGACACACTATGAGTGGCTTGACGACGTATTGGAGAGCGCGGGGATGTAGTTCGCCGTGCCTCGGACTGGTCAGATTTTAATCGCCATGGCGCGGAGAAGCAAGGGAGACGGAAATCATGCATCGCGGGAACGAAATGGTACGTTGCGATGCATACCCGCCGCGAGGCCTGAAGACGTTGGCTGGGCGCACTGCCGAGCACAAGACGTATAAAGGCATGAGCGACCAGTGCTGCTACGGTCTACATAAGACATCAGCTACAACGCAGACGAAGGGCAGGGTTGGACCATTACCCATGTCATCCCTTGTCGACGACGTAGCTTTGTCCACCAATTACAGCTGCTTAAACGTCTTCTCAGGCTCTGCGAGTGAAGCCTAATAAGGGGCGGGAGGATGACGTTGGGAGCTGGGAAACATACACCACACCTAAGAAATGACGACGCGATAAGTGAGATGCCAGCTGAGGATGGGAGACAACTAAAGGAGCTTACCGATGGGCTGCTTATAATGGACAAGATCTGGAAGAGCTTTGAGATCACAAACACGGCATAAGGGCAAGTACCATGCGACGATCGTACCTTCTTCATGGCCTAGATAATGGCTCTCCAATAAGCACGGCGGACACCAAAGCGGAGAAGGACCAAGAGTGATTCAATATAGGAGAATCGAAAATCGAGGGACGATGCAGCTGAAACCGAGTGCCAGTGTGGGTTGGATCATGAGAAGCTTATGTCGATGAGTGCACGGAAGCCTTTGCTGAGCGCTGAGCGCTGAAGCTTGAAGCCCCTCGAAGGTCTGAAATCTTGGGAGCTGAGCGTGGAATACAAAGTCACGTGCTCAGCAAGGCAGAGATAGTACTGCTTTTGCTTTATGCTTTAGTTGCGCATTAAATCGCAAAATAAGGGACGACGTCTTTGAATTCCAGGAGATAAACCTCCGTGATATATATCACAAAATAAGAACTCTGGAATGCTGCACACCGACAACATATCTTAGCTTCAGCGCAAGTGATTTACAACATGGCGGAACGTAACAAAGTAAGCAGTCTCTAGTGACCCTCAAAAGTGCGGTTTGGAGAAGCCGCGGCCCTGATTATGCGTGTAATAGCTACTCCAAGTCCTCGTCTGGGTGAGGGACCTCTGGTGAACGAAGACCCCTTGGGTGCTGAGGGCGCCAAGGAAAAGGATAAGGCCAAAAGCTGCCCACATAATCTGCGCCAACGATGGACGGATTGCTGATTCGGAAAAGGACGCTAACGAAGAGCGCCACTTGAAGATGAAGATATACTTCGACAAGCTGCTCTAAAACAGGTCAAGGATTGTAAGATACATCTACGGAATGAATGAAACTCACTATTTTAAGAACGTCCGCCTGCAGCACCTGCGAAATGCTCTGTTTGATGCGCGATGTGGTAGTCACGGAAACGTCGTTGAAAAGGGAGAACACCGAGTAGAACTTCACGAATGCGCTATACGTTGACTGTGGGGACGATGCCAGCGAGCTTTCGCAAGTGCGCACACTTTCATTGGGGTTTGTATGCGTGCATGAAACAGGTAATTCAGGACTCTCGACGTCCCATAGAGGGCCACGTCCAGAAAGTGCCTCGATTGAGAGATGGTTGTTGTCGGTATGCAAAGATTGCAATTGGCCGTCCATAGGTGTCACCAAATTTTGCCTTGCCAGCTCGGCACGAAGACTTACTTGCGCAAGATCTTCAACACACAGTAGATTGCGCAACTCCGATATCTGCTCGTTCAAACCGTCTAGCTCTGCATGGAAGTCGGCAACCTGCCTGTCCATCAAATCCGAGAGGTGGGCGGTTTGATCACGTATGCGAGCGAGTTCCTTGTGCATGAAGGACATGTCATCAGAAAGCGTCTCCTTGCTGTCACGAAGGTCCAGCTGGGCTTTCCTTAATTCCGATAGTCCTGTCTCTATTTTCGTGATATGAGCATCCTTAGCCTCGAGACGCTTGTCTTGCACTTCAATTGACGAAGCTATTTCAGCTTTTATTATATCTTCAAGTTTTAGCGCTGTGGCTTCGCAAATTTCTGTGATGAGTTTGACATCTATTAACTAAAGTGAGAGCGCTACCTGAATGATTGTCTAAGTTTTTCTCAAAAGCACTTTGAAGAGCGTCCAGTCTTTCTTGAAGAGTCAAGATGTGGGATTCTTGCATAGTAATTGTGGCTGCATTGTCATTCTGAAGTGGCTATTAGGTCAGTAAAGTGTGGACTATGTCCGAAGAAGCTTACCCCAAGTTGCGACAGGACTTTCTGAATCGCTGAGGTTTGAGCGGTAGTTCTGTCTTCGCATTCTTTTATCACATCTTCTAGTTTCTCCATCTTAAGCTCGGCAGTATCCAGGCGCTCACGCGCGTTCGAAGGCGTAGCCCGAAAGAAAGGGGTGCAGTAGCCGTCTTCGACTGTGACAGGAATAGGTGCGAGAGCGAAGGAAGCAGTCAATGGACTTTCCTGAGGAGGTCCATCCGTAATCTTCGCGCCTGAACGCTGCTGAAGGCAGGTGTTTGAAATTTCGCTACCATCCTCAGAGTGAGGAGTGATAGAGTCGGCCATGATGGTGTTCGCTCAGCAACTCTCGATATGCATGGATATACAAATTAATTATAGCATAAATCAGCTACTTAACGGATCCATAATATTGCCATAAATACCTACCGCAGCCGCGATGTCTTCATATGACTAATATTAATGTACCCTATATTAAACTTCTTAAAGTGATCACGAACATTTGGGGACAGCCGGGCAGCCTCGGGCCGGCAGATCCACCTGTAGAGTAGCACTTGATCATGAACTCTGAATCCCTTTCATCCGTGGGCCTGTTCGTTGTTAATGTCGAGCGCTGAACGCTCAAAAGTTTAGTTACTGAGAGCTGGCGCACAGCGCTGAGATCTGAGACCTAGGCGCTCTGTTCGGCTTGCTTGTAGCATAGGCGTAGCTGATTATAAGGCAGCCCAGGTAGCCACGTGGGATCATCATCCGGAGCGTGATGCCAGCACTGCCTGGTCAGGCCTGACTGCCATCCTTTTCGCATCCGCTTTCTCCTGACCCATTCCGCCAGAGCCACCTCATCAGCTACTCAAGGTAAGCTCTCATATTTTTATACTGACCTGTGATTAGATAGACGGCTGATACTCTGCAGTAGTCGCTCAGCTATATGGTATCCTCTCAAAAGAAGGGAGTCGATCCTCAAGGTCATAGTACCGATGTACGGCTCTATTTTCTCCCTTTTCTGGGCGATTCTCTGACAGTATGAACAGATGCTGAAGGATGACAGCTTTACCGCTCTTGCAAGAGCGAGCCATAACAGAAAGAAAGCGGAGAAGCTATCAAACGAGTTGGAAGATGAAGAAATTACACGTCTATTTACTCCGAGCACAAACCGTCAGATTTCCTTCAGACGTGCACCTGCCTTCATCGCGCTCTTGACAGTCGTGCTTGCTCCATGGTTCTTTATCCCGAGCTACTCTCTTCACTACTCGTCCCTGGTATTAGGCGGCTTGTCAGACTCCTTCGCCTCTCGCATGTTCAATTTCGCTCCTCGGTTTGACGCCCTGGAGGATGCATTGGAGAACCTGGAATTGCGACTTTCTTACCTGGAAGCGCATTGCATCTCCACTAGCTCTGTGGACAGATACGTTCGTCAAGCATTGGACCAGCATTCCCTTGCCTATCTAGGCCGAAAGGATTACGCGTTGGAATCCCATGGTGGTAGGATTAACTATGATCTTACCAGCCAACCTGTTAGAACCAGCGTCTGGCATATCCCCCTTCTATCGAGCTCGCAGCCTACACCTTCCCCCGAGGTTGCCATCGATGCAGACAACGGCCTTGGTTCCTGTTGGCTTTTGGAAGCGACCTCCGGGCAACTTGGGATCACCCTCGCGCGACGGATCAGGGTCTCCCATATCACACTCGAGCATGTGCCACCTCAGGTTTCAGATATGAGACTCGCACCCCGTCAGCTATTGATATGGGGGATGGTAGACGACGAGTCTGCTGCTCATCGAATCCGGGAAGCCTCCATCAAGTACCCTCTTTCGTTAACCAACCGCCTCCAAACCAAGCCTTCTCCGCTAATTTCGGCAAGCCAGTTTTTTGTTCCCTTGGTTTTGTTTGAGTATGACATACATTCCGATGATTTGATACAATCCTTCTCTGTTATAGACGATTTTACATTACTGGACGTCGCTTTTGAGACCATAGTAGTAGATATATTAGATAATTATGGCGGGGGGGAAACTTGCCTGTATCGTGTTCGCGTGCATGGTGAAGAAGCTTAGCCGTACGAACATGCATTGTTTGCTCCTCGTCTTGGATTATCCATCAATTTATAAGCAAGCTAAATGTATAGCCATTTGGATACGCAATACATGCTTTTTTAAACGAGGCCTATCGATGTTTCTCCGCTTCCTACTAGTCCCACTCCCTTCGCCTCCCACCAGCACCGAGTCCTGCCTTGAAGAGAAAACTCTGCGCCATGTCGCACGTCGACATGTCTTGCTTTCAACAAGACCCGTGGTTCTTTTTGATCATCATGACAATGTAACTATTGCAATTGGTAAGAGGACAATGGTAGTATATATGAAAGGTTAGATCACGTTCGCCGACAGTGTCAATCTATATACTCACTAGGGACCCTGGAGCGTGGCTATCGAAACCTCCAGTTTTGAAGCTGATTCAGCGAAACGAAAATTTCTAACGTATTCCTTTAAATTCAATTTAAGATAAAGGTCTGCTTGGTACCGGTACCTAAAGGGAAAAAGTGAAGCCAAAGGAGTGTCATGAAGGGTGAGACGTACGAAAGGCTCGAGGAGTACTTAGCACCTGCCACAAAACTCGTGGGCGCGATTTCATGAATGACTACCTTGAAATGATGTCCGAGTTCTGTGCAAGGTAGGTTGTAACCGGTCCGCGGCATGCCGACTCGCTCACACCGTTGACGCGGGCGTTTTGTGTGGAAGGAGATATTCCAGCGTAGTTCTTTGCCGGCTGTGTCTCACTTTCTCAGCAAGAGTGATAGTCGGTGAGCTGGATAAAGAGAGCTCCGGGTATAGCGTTGGACTCGTAGAGCCCCGGTCAGGCGCGCCATCTAGTAGGAAAGGCCAGCTTGAGCGTATGCAAAGTTACTTTCATCGCTTCCTTGAACCTTTGGAAGCGGTCGCACAAGGCCAAGGCTGCAAAGGACTTGTGCTCGAAATTATGGGGAGACAAAACGATTTGGCAGATGTAATCAGTTACAGACGGTGTGTCGTACTTTTGCGCGGCTTCAACTATGTCTGCGATCTCCCGAGGCTCGACGGTAGATGTTGATATCCATGTCACCCGATAGCAGCAGAGAAAAGCCGGAGTACGGTTGTGCTTCCTGCGAGATACACGGTCTGGGGGACATCAGAAGGCTGCAGGAGGCTGCGCATGTCCTTGAGAATGCTCGATGGGAAGGCGAGGAATGTCCCGAAGACCCGAAATTCGATTATCTGAGGGGGTCAGGACAACGTTGATTTCAAGGTCGTCAAATGGGGCTTTCGCCTGGCGAACCGGAAAATCAAAAGTCGTAAATTGGCAGATCCTTCAATCGTTGTCGAGCGAGGGTGATGTTGGATTGAACCGACCTTTCACGGCGTTCTATCCTGACCTGTATGGCAAAGTCGAAGTATAAAGCATGCTGTTTGACGTAGCCGATGACCAAGCTGGCACGCCCCCGGATCTCACCGCCCTTGCTGAGACACCTGACGAGCATGGACGGGCAAAGTTGCTGACACTGGGGGAGAGCTAGATTTGGGGGGCGTTGTATAAGAGCTGCTTAACGGACTGTATGTAGTACTGGGAGTCGACCTCGCGTACCTTGACGAGCATTTTTGGGATTTCTCCTATGTCTTGACGTCGTCGAGTAGAAGACCGAGGGACTGAGCTTGCGATCCTCGAGGGCCCCAAGCGAGTAGCACGACTTGGTCACAGAGAAGACATCGATGAACACCCCATGGTTGCCACGGGTATGCTTGAACTTGAGGCGGCTAAGGTGGAGGACATCGGCAATGGTGTTGTTCAAGAAGTCACGCGAGACGAGCTTGTCGACGTTGGAAGCTACATCGTCATTAATTTAAGGCGGCCATATTAGGCAAGATTATGAACATTCTATCAGTTCACCATTTGTACTGGCTGGATCATAAATCTCATCTTTTTTTCTTTCGAATTCTTGTCCTCTCTCCGTATCGATCGTCGAATCGCCTAGGCTGACAATGCCTGCCGCTGGTGGGCCAGCCCGCAGAGACAAACTCTTTCTTTGTTGCTGCTCTACGTGCAAAACAGGAGAGCCCGTACTCGACAATGACGCTAACGCGGTGTTTGGCGATTGGGTTCCCCTAATGACGCTTCGTCGCCATGACCTCGATACGCAAATGCAGAGTGCGGGGCTTTCCAAAAGTGCTGCTCCTAGCGAATCAGCAAAATCTCAAGCTCGAAGAACCGAGGCAGCCCTGCTCGCATCGGCTTTGTGGAAAGAACCCCACAGAGAAGGCGATCAAGGACTGCCGGTGCGGTTGAGTGATCTTGACGAGGACGATGATGAAGAACCGCTCGTGCACCCTAAAGACCATTCTCATGATATCGAGCAATCCGTGGTGGGGGGTTTTCTATATCTCATACGTATACGCACTGATTTCTGTTAAGATCCACGAATCATTGGAAACCCACTCAGCATCCTTCAATGATATCACCGAGGATGACCCTGAACTTACACGAGTAAATGCTATTCATTAATCGAGCGATCTTCGTATTCTAAACTTTGCATAGCGTACTATCAAGCTGATTGGAATGATTAATTCCGAATTAGACCATACAGGACGCGCTTTCAACAGCAGCTGTCTGAACCTTGTCTTCAGCCAAGATCATCCCGATCATCCCGTTCTCTCGTCAGATGAATCAAATAACAATTTCATTGTTCATGAAGCTTGGCTGAGAGATATGCTGACCAAGCTAGACGATCTTGATATCGGGCGAAACGCCGACGTCCAGGGTAGACGTCACGCTCTCGTACAGCGGGTTCTTCGCGAGCTGGACGACCTCGAGGACCTTAAACAGAGTCAGTTTTTGACCCACCAGGTTGAGGATAGACTTGCACGAAGAATAAGAACTCATTCAGGTCCACGCTTTATATCAACCGGTACGCTGTTATTATTCCATTAAAGATACAAGGTAAAAAGACTTAACCAGTCGAATTTAGCTCGGTACTTTGATCGTAACCCCTACCTCAAAAACTCTGCACTATTCTTCGGTGCATTCCTCGTCGTCGTTCTCCATATCTTGGGAGGAGTTTCGCGCGCCGACATAAACTTCGTCCTATCAGCAATTAGAGTCCTCATCGTTTCGGTCTTTTGGTTCAAGAGGCAGACACAGACTGGAGGACCTCTCACACGGGCTGAAGAAGATTTCCTAGACGATTTTCCTCTAGATTTGCGGACTGCTCTATCTAGATTCGATCTCAAATCGGATCAGACCAAATATGCTTGCTGCCCCAAGTGTTTTGCACTCCAACCACTCCCGCTCCAGTCCCTCACCTGCTTGAATAAAGACGTTGATGACCATATCTGCCACACGTCTCTCGTCAATCTTACTCTGGGAGGGGAGCGACTTCACCATAAGCCAATAAAAACATTCGCCTATCAGCCCATGTCCTCCTGGTTAGCTCGCTTGTTTTCCAGGCCCGGGATCGAGGAATCTCTTAGTTCTGCTCCATCATCTGATGGCATCTGGAGGGATATATGGGATGCGAACGCTTTAAGAAACCTTAGGTCTGCCGACCAATCCCTCTTCACGCACGCTCCCGAAGGCTCTGTTCATCTCGTCTTTAGTCTGTTCGTCGACTGGTTTAATCCCTACGGGAACAAACAGGCCGGGAAGCATCATTCAACGGGGGCCGTGTATATGGTTTGTCTAAATCTACCCCCCCATCTTCGCTACAAACTTGAAAATGTCTACCTGGTGGGTGTACTCCCTGGCCCCCGAGAACCGTCTCTCGATCAAATCAATCATCTGCTGCGTCCACTCGTCGACGAGTTACTGGCACTGTATAAAAACGGAATTATACTCGACCGAACTTATGCATCCTTCAATGTGCTCATCCGGGTGGCACTTGGTCCCCTGATATGCGATCTTCCCGCCGCTAGGAAAACTGCTGGATTTGCAAGTTACGCGGCTGACATGTTTTGCTCGTTTTGTCGGTTATCTAGGAAAGACATCAGCAATCTTGCCAAAGGGTCTTGGCCACGGCGTACTGAAGCTCAACATCGGCAAGACGCTGAGACATGGAGGAACGCGCGCAGTCGGAAAGACCAAGAGACTATGTTCAGTAGACGCTATGTGCGGTGGTCTGAACTCCTGCGCTTGCCCTATTGGGAAGTCACAAAATTCACCGTCATTGATGCGATGCATAACTTATTTTTGGGCGAGCTGCAGCATCACTGTCGAAACGTGTGGGGCATAGACATCAAGTCAGGCGAAGCGGGCCGAAGCAAGATTCAGCCACATACCCCCAAACAGCAGGGCGACGAGCTGAAGAAGGTCAAATCTGGGATAATCGCCTTGTCGAAGAACAAGCTCAGCAACATCCGCAAAGGTTACATCACTGCCATCGCAGCCTTGAACGGAGTGAATGTACCGGGTTCCACAATCACAAAGATGGCGTACATTTCCGCCCTACTTGACTGGGTGAGGTTACAGTCATATTGGATCGCAATCAGCTAATTAAACCTTTATTTCAGCGTCGAAAATACCCGCAGGCCGAAATTATCTTGCCCGATGTTATGGAAGAGCCGACTCAGGACTTTGTCTTGGTCGGATCTGACACAAACGCGGATATATCAAAATACAAGGTGCTTTCGAAAGAGGTTCTTCAGTTGGTTCAGGAAGATATGCGCCATACAAGCCATCCTACTTGGCTGTCGCGGCCTCCACCTGACTTTGGTAATCTCAGTCACGGAAAGCTCAAAGCTGACCAATGGCGGTCTGTGTGTCTCGTATCGCTGGTGATAACCTTGGTCCGGATATGGGGGGCTGATGCACACGAACGTGACGGAAAGCTTCTCCGAAACTTCATTGATCTCGTCATTGCCGTTGACTTGGCCACTCGTCGTACTACCTCGCCGGAGCGTATTGAACTCTACAGGATTCATATGACACGCTACTTACGCGGCCTTCGAGACATCTTCTCCGATCATTCTCTTGTTCCCAATCACCACCTCTCGCTTCATCTTGACGAGTGCTTAGAACTTTTTGGCCCTGTTCACGCTTGGTGGTCGTTTCCCTTCGAAAGATACAACGGAGTCCTCAGGGACATCAACGTGAACAATAAACCAGGTAAGCGCTCCTCAATGAATAAAGGCAACCTCGGACTTAGCCTCCTGCAGATGAAATAGAACTCACGTTCTCAACCCACTTCAGTATGGCCTCAAATTTACGTGCTATGATTGCGAACATGTCATTCCCCGAGGGCAAATACTTTGTTCGTTGCCGTGACCAGCTCCTCGCAGCATTCTCCTCCATTTCGACGCGACCGCTTGATAGATCCATCCTCGGGGACCGATGTGAAGATCCAGCACAGGCCGACGTTACCAAAACACCAGGACGGCTGACACAGCTAGATGAAAAATGCTATTCCACTCTTCTTACGCTGGTCAACCAGCAATCCGGTCATAAATTTCGCGCTTGGCACACTAGGGAGCGTGGAGACGGAAGTATACTCCTGGATCGCGACGTTGCACTGGTGCCAATATTAAAGGCGAAGACTCTGAACGTCACTTTATCCGCAGCTCGCGACCGCAATGCGCATTCTGCCGGCAACTCCTATGTTTTATTCCGATCTTCCTGCGCGTCGCCCAAATTACATTACCATGCTGGCCAGATTCACTCCATATTTTATCACACTCGTGTCGAAAACTCAGTCAGCAAGACTGAACCTTTCTTGGTCATAGGAAAGTTTCAGAGCCTTACCGCTGCACACACCACTCACGATCCCTATCGTGGTTTCGAACATCTGAACGCTTGGCTATGCTACAACGAGAAGGAATCCCAGGAGTTTGTGGTGAGATTGGATGATGTAGTCTCACAATTTGCGTCTTTTGTATATGCACCACCTGGCATTGACCGAGACTGTATTGTGGTTAGGTCTCTAGACAGGGTACGTCCTCAGTTTGTTTTTACTTCTATTACCTAACATATTTGAAGTCATGATAGGCCTGAACTGTATGCAGAGGAAAAGGGCGACACTTCATACGAGAGGAATGCGATGTTATTAACGCGGCATGCTGAACGAGAATATAAAAAAGGTTCTACTGCGAAAATGAAACATGACCCAACCTAGCTACATTTTGAGTGTTAGCGGGGTTGCGCAAACGTTTGCTGCGTTTGCTGAGGCCGGAACGGTAGCTGATTATCGAGTATACCTCCTCGACGGTGGACGCGGGGCCGTAGATGAGCGTTGTGCCGGAGTCGATCATCGCTTCCGCTGAGGAGCCCGTCAGTGGCGTGATGGAGTTGCCTTGGACGGTGATATCCTGGCATATACGACTAGTTTATGGAAGTTGCGTGTGGTATGAAGGCAGAGGGTGAACGTACCAGAGATGTTGATGACCCACCAGGTCGGTGTTTCGGTGAGATTGTGGTACTCGATCGAGCCTGTGAAGAGGCTGGAATTGGTGTAGCCTAGCACCCGAATACGTGAGCACGACGACGAACGTCAAGAAGAATACATAGCCCGGCAAACGCACCCATCGTAAACGATCCTCCAGGCTCCGTGTCGCTTGCGCTCGTGTGGTTACCAAACCTACCCACCCGGCGATCAGCAATCCGCCCATTGACAGGCTACACGCATCGCCTCCGAGCGCCTGCTTCCTAAGCTTACCGCGTGAGCTGCAGCGCCATCAGGGGCTCATCCCACTGGCCCGTCTCGACAAGATCGAGCCAGAACGGAGTGCCGGCCTGCGCGAGCGTTTTCCACGCGGAGCCCATTAGCCCTTGCGCTTCCGTAGAGAACAGTTTCGCCGTCGGTTTCGTTCTGATACGTGATCGCGCCTGGGTGATGTATGGATAGCGTAGGGAACCATCAGCATCAGTGTAACGAGGAAGTAAAAGATGATCGACAGGCGCGCATCGACGGCCGAGGCCCTCCAATTATTCTCAGCGCAAACGCGAACATGGTGTGGGAGCTGGTGTGGGGGGAGGTGGTGGACACGTACCAACCTGCTGGCTTGAAACGGTGAAGCCGCCCATCTTGACAGTGTCCTGCACGAGCGTGCCCTCGAACGCGCCGCTGCCGTATGTATCCTCGAGTGAATCGAGGACGCAGATACGTCGTAGGTCGAACCTCCCGAGTTGCAGTTGGTGCAGCTCGAGCTGGGCACCCAGAGGTCGTTGCATGAAATATAATCAAGGGGGATCAATGAGCAAGGATGAACAGTGTTAAGAGGAATGGGTGGGTGGTACTCGCGAAGACCCCTTGTCAATGACGACGTTGAATTCTTGCGCCGGTGTCCCGACAGAAACGACGTCGTAATACCTGATCCTGTGTTAAGACGCGACGATGGGAAGCAACGAGGCACATACGACGTGTCCATCTCCGCGTTACCCAGCCTTCATTCCATGTGAGACGCTATATGCATTGGTGGTATAGAGAGGTACATACCTTATGCTGCCCTCTGCCCTCTTCCTCCATCGACCCACCTGCACAGCTGATCTAGCGCCCAGTGCTTGCGGAGGGTCTCCGTTTCATGAGCGATATCGGCTGTCTCGTGTCCACCTAGGCGGCATGTACAACTGGAAACAACAGCCAAGAGGCATACAGAGAAGAACCAAGCAGAGTCAGTCTCATGACCGGAAGGACTCGTCAAAGCTAGGGAAAAGGGAGAGGGAGGAGGGTAAGAGCGAGAAGGACGGTCCGGGAAGACACCCTGCGATCTTTATAGAGGATGGATCAGCAAGGCGCGGCAGTGCGCAAGTCTCCCGCGTGTGCATGGGCGCGCAATTGGGCCGGATACAACGCACCGAGGTGCATGAGTGCTATTCGCTGCGCGGGCGCCAAAGTTAGCGCGGATAGCCCGCGCCGATGGGAACCGCTTGTTCGGTGACTGGTTGAGTGGCCGTACAACAGACACATCCGTGAGCAGATATCTGTAACAGTACTAGTATAGTGGAGTCGCTCATAGGGAATATTTGTAACGACAACAAGAGCTGCAATGATGAGCGAAGTTATTAGTGCAGCTGGATGTTAATTCGGCAGTGTATCCCGGAGCAACGGCCCGGGATTGGTGGGTGTCAGTGGATGCCGGAGAAGGGCGTAAGGGCGGTAGTAGCCATGCGAAGCGCCAAGGTAGGGGTAAGGGAAGTTCACGGACGTTCAAGATCTCTTTGTTTTTGAGGAGGGAGGGATTGGGACGCGTCAGAAAAGGTGCTGTTGACGCTTGAACGCTTGAACTTTACGAGATAGACTCGGAGAAGGCCGACGCATGTCCAGTCGCAGCTCTCTTCCTCAGCGTGGGACATCCAGCTGTGCCCTTCGAAGTACATTCGTATCCCTTTGTAAACACGTTACTTACATGTATGTGAACGAGCATGTTCCCGAGAGCTATCCTGTTTGGGCGCATGATCGTGGTCTCTCTAATACGTGGTCGCCAGTTGCAGATGTAGCCGCCGTTTGCTCATCCCGACGCGACGGAATACTCTACTAGAAAATCCACTATCGAGTCCCCGCTCACGCCTAGAACACTTGGCTCCATATATCACAGACCCACATGCCGACTCCTAGGCCAGCTAACGAAGTAACGCTTTGGCGGTCCCACTATAACATCACCGACTTTCGGTCCCGGATCGGTTTAAGTCTGGAGCAATACACACAGCTATATGTAAGTTCATGATGCGTCTAGGCTTTTCTTCTCCTACTTATGATACCGTAAAACTTGCGCTTGCTATATCGCAGAGCGTGTGCCGTAATATGCTACGTGATCATCCCACCCTGTGTGATAGCATCTTCGACCCGTCCATGAAAAGTGTACTAAAGGATGCGGTTAACGAGGTATGTTATGTGCGCAATTTGTCACATCATTTACATAAGTACGCATAACAATAAATCAGGCAAACAAGAATCCCAGCGTCGATTGGCTAATAAAGTTTCAGGACTCATGGCCCTTCGAAATTTTGCTCAAGAGGATTATGAATCAACGGATCGAAGGAAAAATCAGGAACGGCAAACGCAATCATACGGAGCCGTGCAAGAAAGGCCAGTATCCCAATTATCTCTTTCAGTTACTGTTAATCCTTATGCAATTAATCCGTTTTGGTACCCTCATCCTGTCAGACGCCGAAGGGCGAATCTCACCCAAAGACGAAGGCGAGGACGAAATAGAGGTATTTATTGATCACCCGCTGATCAGCTACTTTATGTTATACTTAGTTAATTCTTATTCAGCACGATGAGGAGCCAAATTATATGGACGATAGTGAGTGGTCACCGCTGGTTAAACACTGACCACACTAATCGCGCTAAGTTCAGTTACACACTGTAAAAGGCGTCCATCTCCTACAAGCGCGCAACAGGGCATGATTGAGAGGCAGCAGGGTACCATTTCCGAACAGAGCTGTGAAGCAAATCATGAAGCTGTATCTGCCTTTCTCCGTTCGTGCCTGGGTAACCTCGAAGCCCTGCTCCCGGCCTTCATACAACACGGAATAACAAACAGAGCTCAGATCAACATTCTCCTGAGCCTTCCTGCTGGCGATCGCGAGCGGTGGATCGAGAGACGTCGTGAAGCTCTGGGTATGTCTGATTTGGAGGCGACGGCGCTACAGGTCAGGTGCAACCAGGAGCAGTCTAGGATGTCCACGCTCTATTATAATCGGTATTAAGTGGTACGCCACTGACTCTTTGTAAGACGTGATGCGAGGCCAATGGTTTATCAAGTGCATTCGAATTGTCTTCCGGATATTGCTGAGGATACTGGGCATTGATCACGCTTGACATATCTGATCAGGAATTGCGGTTCGATTCTCAGTGATTGTCCGACTCGGACAGTCATAGTCAACCCATAAATTGTTCTTGGAGAACACAGAGTAACTTGACGTCGAGAGCGCCGAAAAGCTAACACGGATCTGTCGTTCTAGTCAGCTCATGCCTAATGGATACTTCGCTAAAATCTGGACTGGGAATCCATTGGTTCTCACGTCCAGCTCCTGAATGATACCACCAAATTTGGGGAGATAAAGCGTGCCTTCGCTCCTTGCCTGAGGGCAGGAACTAAACCATATAGTACGTATCATGCTGAGTTCAATAGCGAGCCAACGGCCTTCAAGCAGCTAATCACCGAGGTGCTGCTGCTGACGCTGAAGTCCACTGGGCATACGAGTGCCGTCATGAGGATCCAAACGTTTTTATCGTAGTCGTTGGCTGGAAATTGATCGAGGTGAGCTTACATTCTAAGATGTGTTGGGTATACGAAGGTCTAATACAAAAGGCTGAAGAGTATGGAATTGTAATATCCATGCGCAATGAAACCCTGAAATACGAATAATCCCATCCAAGCCTTGAAGCGAGACCTTGACGGAAGCAAGTGTGCCTACCGCCTCATCAAGATGGTAATGCTTATGAAAAAAACTGGGTTAGCATGATGACGACAACTATCAGTCGAGCACGCACCTCAATACAGTCAAAATCTCGAGGCTGACAAGACGACCTGCAGCTTCGATCCCACGAGCGGCCGACATGCAAGCACGAGACTACGATACGTTAATAGCTGATGGGGGAATGAATTTGGAATGAATTGTTTAAGAAGTGCGAACTTGAGGTCAAGACGTACGCACAAAACTGCGGCTATGAAGCGATGCGTTCTAACAGTTTAACCCAGGAGGTTAAACTTTTGCTAGCGAGGTCGCAATCTGCCTCCGTTTGAGTGATAGGATGCACGTTGCGTTACGTTGCGCTGCACGAGCGTTGTCGGTGCCGCGCCCTTAGAGACGACGTCTTGACATCCGACTGCAGAGGCGTTGTACTATAGGGAACATAACCAGTCCGAGCACATGATGGCCAGCAAACGCCGTCAGTGTCTGGGACCTGAACAAGGAAAACCACGCACAGCGCCAATAATAACCGCTTCCCTTCCCTTATCCTTTACGGCACCGGGGTGCAAGTCCAAAGAGTCCCGCGCTGTCCGTGAAACTGTCCTTCCTCAGGACCCGTAGAATGTACGGAGCGCCATGCCCGTCGCGATGGCGAGGTGCTTGAGCGTCACCTCGTTGCCCGCACGATTGACGACAACAGCCAACACTTCTTCTTGTCAGGTGCAGACGTAGGTTGATTAGAAGAGTCGAGGTGGCCCACGAGATACATGGGACTCCGCAAAGCCTGCGAATTTCGTGCGGCCGATGTGCTGAGGGAATTTCTGAAGATAGGTTTGGTAAACGACTGGAGAGTAGTGAGGTTAATGGGGTGAGCTGGGATGAAGTAGGAGCGTTGACGTACACGAGCTGAAGCAAGAGAGCATGGTGTTCCATGGCAATGTTTTTGTTTGTGTAAGAACGATATGACATGGATTTCACCGGTTATGCTAGACATTGTCGACGCAAGGCACCTTCTCGATAACTAATGCGCGAACGCCCATGCGACGAAACCCCGCAGCACCCATCAAGCCACACCAGCCACCGCTGGCTGAATGATACACATCAGCCGCTCGCCCAACGGGAATCACGTATTCACTCACCAATGAGCACCATAGGATCATTCTCGATAGCCTCAATCTCCTTCTCCCTGTCCTCCTGCACAGACTGATCCTAAGCGCCTTTAATGCACGACGGAAATGCATGTAGCGTAAAACGTACCACATTGACGGTGGTGCTACGCCAACCAACTTCGACGGTCCTCGCCATCTGGACCAGAGTTTCCTGCCGATGTTCATCAACGAAAATTCCCCACTTGTCTAGAAAAACTGCAGAGTGGTTGATCACGTATTGACGAAAACACTGAAACCGGGGGGGTATACTGCCTTTCCAGGTAGGAAAGGTTCGTGGTGATTGTCCTGAAAGAAATAAATCATATAGGTGCGGAGAGATATATTACCTTCGAAATCAGGGACCATGACAGAGTGGAGTTGATAGCATGCGGAGGATTCCATAACCTTATGGTTTCGAATCATAATCGTCAAGGCCAATGGGCTAAGCAGAAAACCTGATACCTACCAGTGTTCCCCGCAAGTATCCGCCCCGCGCTGTTGTACATTAGTTCAAGCTGTGTTTGTGCCGTGTAGCATCGGTTGTAAATCCGCGTGGAAAATATTGAGAGTATACATATTGCGGGATGTGCGATGGGTCACAAGGCGTAAAGGTGTGTTCCGTGAAGAGAGCTCAAAGTGGAGGGTGACTAGTGACTGGCGAGGTCAGTCGTACGTGCGCACCGAGCAACGCGGGTAGCTACCACGTGACTGAGTACAAACACCGAAGTCGTCCGCGTATTAATTACATCCCGCGTAGCATCTTTGAATTGCTCCTCCACCAGCATTGCGACAAGCCTTTATCCACGCCGTCGCTTCTCTATCATCTCCTTCGCTGTTTCCATATGCCTCAAGTGGCCTACTCGCGCTCTTCGAAACTAACTGGTGCTCATGCTAGCGTCATAACCTGCCTCTGCCTGAGTCCTAATGGGCTTTTCCTCGCGGTCGGCTCTCTCGAAGGAAAGGTCTCTGTTTGGTCGACAAAGACTGGCCGCCTCTTCTTTGTGGTAGAAGGACCCGTTCCTGCTCTATCTTTAGTGTGGAAACCCTCGTCCGAATATGAATTTTTCATTGGACAATCAAACGGCAACTTAGTGCATGTTCACATTCGGCAGGTACGCAACAATCGCCTGGAGAGTTCGTATGTCCACTAATTTTGGAGTGATGGGATAGCGTGAAATATATGCAACTGGATTTAATGCTCACGCTGATGTTCCTATCGAGTCATTAGCCATCAACGAGTGCTTTCTAGCAACTGGTGGATGCAACGAAGTGCATGTTTGGAGGGTGGACGAACATCGTAAGCCTACCAAGTTGCTTTTCGACAAATTGCTTGCAATCACTTACTGTAATTCTGTAGTCACTATTTCGCCGCTATCTCAGCTGCACAAGAGCCCGGCTATCAAGTTGGATGCGCAGCGTCCCGTGCTGATAAGCGGGCTGCATTGGATCAAGGGCTCGCACTCCTCTAATGTCCTCGTTGTCTGCTACGTATACCATGGTGCTATGTAAGTTGTCCTATAACCACTGACCTCCCCGGATTATGATGTTGATTACGTGCGCAGGATATGGGATCCGATCACGAACAAAATGCTTCGATACCTACCGCTTAACACAATGATGTGAGTTTGTGCGCTATCTACTTGTCTTACATTTCACAAGAATTCTGCTTACTATCTGTTACCTAGTGGGGGGATTTCTATTACCCCTGATTCCAAGTTCATAGCGATTTCGAACATGACCGAAGGGTTTGATATCTGGGACCTTGATGCTGGGAAGCACATGGCTTCCTATTCTCACCGTTGCGAACACACTCTTCGCGTCCCGGTCAAATTCGTGCAAAAGGGCCAAACGCTCCTCGGCGGGAGTACGGTTGGGCGTCCATGCGTCTGGGATGTTGAGACCGAAGTGCTTACCCAAGATCTTCGTCACGGTATGTGGAGAACGTGTTTACTTGATGCCGTACTTCTCTCACTACAATCCAGAAAAGGGGATTGTCCTCGCCATCGATGTAAGTTGCCTAATCTGATCCGGCTGCTAGCGTCTTTTTAATTATAGTAGGGTCCAACAGGTTTGCATGATCGACGTTGTATCATTGCTGTTGCGATCAACCCCCTTGAAGATGATTGTTTGCCGTACGTTCAACTCTGGCAGGGGCGTGACATGAGTACGTGATCCTAGCTGGTCTGACTTCATTCGTTCTCTCTAACACGCTACTCAGAACCCTACCTGAGTATGCTCTCTAAGATTCAGAATTATAATAAGCATCGAAGCACAGTGAGTGACATTTAATTTTGTACCCCGTCGCTATTTTCTTAAAACATCAGATGTGCTCCTATATCGTGTTTATCATCGTGGCCTACGTTATTGCCTTCTCATTTTGGCTTTACAGAAATCCCCACCTTTTATCGCAGTTCTTACGTTTCCGTATTTCAGACTGATTTCTTATACGTCTCTGTTCTGTAGTGCCTCGTTCCTATTCATTGTACTTCGCTTTGATCTCCTGGGTTTGCGCGCCTTCGACGGACGGTTTTATTTGTATGTATGACATGTGTTGGCAGAGTTCTATTCTGGAGGTGGAATGATAGACGATGTCCCGTTGGCGTATTGCTTTCTCCATGTCCCCTCCTGCACCAACGATAGGCTATCTCCTTTGGTCATAACCACATATCGGTCCTCGTTGGTCCGATGGCCGTAGTTGATCCTCTGCCAATCCGGTGTGCCGTCATTCTCGACCGATGTACAGATCCACACCTGGCAGCCTTCGAAAGCCCGGTGCAAGAAACAATCACCCACGTGAACGTCGCCCTCGACGGCGGGCGGAAAACTTATCAATTCCACTGCCCGGGATTCGAAGTAGTGAAATCCGCGACCTTCCCCCGCTCTGAACCTTCTACCAGTCTTTCGGCCCGATACCTAGCCACAATGTTAGACGATAAGGCTAGGATTGGACGAGCGCAGAAATTACTAGGATGCGAAGGCCATGACAATCTATGTGGGACGAAGGCCCCAGATCTTCTGCCGCTTGTGCGACAGGGACAGAATGGTGCGACGGTGTACTTTCGCGTGAGCTAAAGCAATATTAGCCAGTGACCATGATGCATTAGGACGCAGAAATTTACCTAGACGCGCTTAGGGCCTTGGTACTACCGCTAGGTGAGTCGTGAGGCTTTCTGAGACCAGGCATTAGAGAAGTTGGCACCATGCAATTGGATGAACGAACCCGGTAGTTTCAGACACCCTCGGATGGTTGAGACCGGGTGTGATATCAGCTGTTTCACTGAAAAGGGGCTCAGCGCTAGCTGGTTTATCGAGGAAGGGTTCATTTTCAGCTGGTTTATCGATGATCGATTCAACTTCAGCCAGGTTGTCGAACTCGCGTAAAGCTTCGGCTTTTTCATCAACGGTGGGTGAGGTTTCAACTGGCTTGTCTGATACACTGTTTCAGGGGCAGCATGCGTGATAGCCCTATGGCAAGAGAAAGGCAAGCTCACCCAGGGAGCTTCTTCAAGGAGGTTTTAAGCGGGGACGGTTTTTCGCCAAACGACCATACTATCGTGGCTCTAGCCAAATTCTCTTCCCTAGCAGCGTCGTCCCATCCTTGCGGTAAGGGTAGCTGCAGCAGGGTTGGAGCTTCCTCGTCGCTACTAAGCGGCACACCGGTTTTGAATAACCATTTCCTGCGTAAGTCTAAAGGTGAGTTGGATTAGACCGTAAGAAACGATTCTAGCAAAAGCTTACCGCTCATGGCCCCGTTCTGATAAGATTAATTCCTGGATTCCAAGTAGTCTCCCCTAGCTGTATCTATAGGCAGACCCAATGACTAGATAAAGAAGATGGTTGTTCTTGATATTCGAGAGGAGATCCGAAGGGTTGCTGAAGGGCCATATCTCGATCGCAAGACCCATCGTCCAAATTTAAAATAGATCACGTTCAGGCCACTCCTATTGCTGGCGCCGGCGCCGGCCCAATACCCGATCGCAACAGACAAAGTACATACGGATGCCCCCGAATCCGACGTGCCAACCTCTGAAACCACTAGCGAAGTCAACACATCAAGGAATTCGAACGATTATCTTCCTTGTATCAAGTATTGTGCTATACCTACGGGAGACTACTAGTGAGTCGCTTATATCGTCGGAGTCACACATGGCAAAGAGGTCGCCCATGGCGTCGCACAGGCGGCTATATGCGCATTGCTACAGTGGAATGCGCTTTTGCGTGAAACTCGTCGAGGTCCACCACCGGCAGCAGCCCCTTGCCCCAAGACAGAGGCCATGCCCCAGGCGACCTTCCTGAATGTCCCGAGGATCACCACACGATCAGGTCGATCCCGCCGGCGAGCACATCATCAAGTCGAGCGGCCAGAGCAGCTCGCGCGTCATGTCCTCCCCACTGTCTTGTCAGTCGCGATTTGCGAGCTTTTCTCGGCGATAAAATGTATGTCAGCTTTCATTCCCTCTTCGCGCCCCTGGTACCTACTTACGTGTGTTCCTTCAGATCCATGGTTTCATGCGCAAGTTTAACCTGCGCAATGTCGATCCCGTGATTGATGATCCCGATGCTCAACAGGAACTCTTCCCCCGACATCGTGGCTACCTCCCCGCTTGTCAAAGCCCCGCAAGCGCGATACCCAAGAGGCACCAACCATACCCCTCCCCACTTTGCTATCGGCATGGGCACCGTTCCCCTCACCGTCCCCAACACTGTCGGCCACAAGTCCACTCCCTCAATGGGGAGAGCTCGCGGCTTCTCAGCTCCAGGCTCCTCCACTCCTCTCAGCCAGGGAGGTGCTGCCGTCATACCCTCGTTCCACTCTGCCTCCCCTCACTGTTCCATCGGACCCACCAGCGTCTCTCGCCCTACTCCCACCACCAACACCTCGTACACTTCCAATTATTCTGGGATGCTCATTCACAACGACCACTCCCCCTTCGTTGTCTCCGGACAGCCGCCCGACAACCGGACATTCGTTGTCGTCTGTCTCGTCGCTGCCCTATGAAGAGGCACATCACCATGGGTATCACTCGATGGCCCATGACGACTATTCGCGCCCGGGTTCCAGTCACCATCTCCCCCGGTCTTTCCCGTCCTCCGCCGTCGTGGAACAAGTATGCCCGCTCAGCATCCGCCGTCCTCGGTGTCACAGCCAGGTGATGAGTCCCTACTCTTCGCCTTACGATCATTCAGACCACCCATCCACGTCCCCCCATCCTATCGATGACGGTAGCATGCCTCGCGTTCGTAGCATGATTCAGCTGCCTTCTGCCGACTACAATTTCGGGGGCGGCGTCTCTCAACCAGAGTTTGCATACTCGGCGGGGGTTGGTAGTGCGGCATCCATTGATTCATTGGATGCACGTGGTGCATGGGGACAGCACCATTCTGTCCGCCCTTCGACCAGCACCTAATCGATCTCGGCTGCATCACATACCTCCCCTTGGTGACGGGTATGGCCATGGTGGGACAGGGATCAACAGATGTGAGTAACCTGTTAGTCCTGCAAGTCTTATTGCTTATGTTCATATCTGAGCTCTAGTCTCTCCCGACTTCGGCTTCGTGCCCATGAATGAGCATATGCCTCCCCATTACACCAAAGCGGCTGGCGAGCTGTAGACCTACTCTTCCTTGCATTACATAGGATTCGGCACCTGGCTTCTCATCTCTCGTTTTCCGGTATTTGTTCATTCTCTTTACTCCCGGACTTGTCATCGTTCTTTACATTTCTCACTGCTCACATTGGACTTTGTCTTCGCATCTTATTCCCTCATAAATACCCCCACCATCGTTCGGTTTTCTGTACATCTACACCCTTGCTGCTCACAATGTACTTTATTCCACTTCCGTGAATGTTACCCCTTCCTTCGTTGATATAATCCGCGCCCATATGTCCTGTGCAACGCCTGTAAATGCATCAGGAAACTGTACCGCATAATGCACGCTCTTGTGCACAAGGTCGAGCCTTCGAGGTGTCGCCGGTGCCAGCGAGTCGAAAGGAAGTGATCAGTGTCATTTTTCTCGTTATCCTTTCTCAAAGTCGTTTCTGCAATGCAGCTAGCACTCGTGGCTTTTGGCTTCCTTGAACCAGCCGCGATATTTGGACTCGAGAGGCCCAATGGCACCTTACTGTCTTCGCTGAATCAAGTATCCGGTCCGCTTCCCCGATTATTATGCCCATCTGAACAGGTATACCACCAATCTCCGAAGAGGCCCTTCCTCCTCAAAATATTATAAATTAAACACTGATGGTCGCTAGTTGGCAATCATACATATGGTGTATAGTATGTCACGGTGGACTTTTTACATGACAATATGCACGTTGTCTCTTTTGCGTGTTTTAATTACGGTCACTACAAGTGGACTCTCGTGGGCCACTGCAGATGTCGTGAGATTGTCATCTCTTCCTCGTGAGACGCAAGCAACCTAGCACGATCTTCTCCACTCTTAATACAAGTAGCTCGTGCTCCGCGTGGCGCTTGAAATTTTACTCGGCACGCGAAGCCATCGGCGCTATCTGCTCCTCCTCTGCCTTCACACTGGCACTCTTGAGCACAGCCTCTTACTCGCCCTTGAACCTCGCGACGTCGTCCTAGTGGCCGTTCGCAACCTTCAGAAGAACGACTGCTTGCTGCTCCTTGAGCGCCTGGAGTCCTGGAACGCCGCCCTGTGCTTCGCCATCGCATCTGAAAATTTAGCGTTTGTAAGCTTCGCAGCCTCCTCACCCATCTTCTCAGTCTTGTCCTCCGACTCCTCCCGCAGAATTGCAAGCTGCTGCGCATGGTAGTCCTCCTCCATGCCCGGGAGGACCTGGGCTTACTCCGTGCGGAGCCTCACCATGTGTTCTGCAAACGCCCGCTCCATGCACGCAATGGACACCGACGCATCCCACACCTTCTCCGCCATGCGCAGCCGCAGCGTAGTCCTCTCTCAGCCGCTCGAGCGCCGCCGCGGACTCGGCCGCCCGCTTCTGCATCGCCTCGCCTCGGTGATCTCGTTGTAGTACTCTTCGAGACGGCTCATGTCCGTGCTGATCTGTTAGTCCTTGGCCTTGAGCGCCTCCACTTCGATTGCTGTGTTGAGGACTTCTCGAACGCGGCAGAGTGCTCGATTCGGAACTTGAGGGATTCCTTAGCTTCCTGCGAGCGACGGTCAAGTGCCTCCTCGTGCTCCTTCTGCAGCTTGCCAAATGCCTCTTCGTGCTTCTAGTGAGGCTTCTCGAGGGCAGCCGATGCTTCAGAGATTTCGGAACGGAGAGAGGTGACGTTAGACTCGTTCTCTTCCTTGAGTGTGGCCATAAGCACGTCCACCTCCTCGCCTTTGACTTTTAAAGCCTCTGCGTCTTCTCCCTTCAAGGCTCCAACGGCGGCAGCATGCTCGGTCTTGGTCTTCTCGATTGTATTTCAACAGCTCGGTCTCCTTAGCCTGAACCTGCTCGAGCTTGAGCGCGGTATCTTCATGCTTCGAGCGAAGGCCTTCGAGCTCAGTAAACCTATTGGTAGTCTAGATGGAATGGAAGCATAACCAGAGAATGCATGACATCAGCTGAAGACATGATACCGGTGTCTCACCTGATCGCAAGACAGCGTCGTGGGCGTATCATGCGACCGCTATAAGGCTTGGGCCAGTTCGGGCTCGAGCTTGTTGACCTTGTACTGCGATTCTTTTTGGGCCATATACCTACACCCGCATTTTGTCAGTTTTTCTGTTAGACAATGATGCCCTGAGCGAGAATGACACCCAACGTGAGCTCATTGAGTCTCTCCAGCGACTCGCCCACATACATCCTCAGGCTCCTCCTCTTCCCCCCATCCCCCTCCTGCCTTTGACCATCAACCCCGACATGCACCTCCCCAGGCCCAATCACTTGCGGCTGCATGCCCCTCACGGCCTTAAACCTCGCCATCGTCGCAAGCGACAAATATGATGTAATATCCTCCTGCGCCTGCGCCTCAGGTGCCTTGCTACCGACGCCTTCGTAAGCAACGCACGGCCCTTCTCGCGTACCAACGGCTCCAGACCCGTGATCTCCGCCTCGCTCTCGCTCCGCACCTCCTGCAGCCGCATAATCTACTTCTCCTGCTCTAACGCGAGCGAAACGGGCATGTTTGGGCGATGGTGCGCGAGCCCGAGACGAGGTGGACGTTCTGTTGCTGTGCGACGTATGGCTAGTGCCAGAAGAGCCTTGCGAGCGAGCTGACGAGAGCTCCTGCGAGAGTGACCTCGTGTGGAAAGACTCCGCGGAGGGCGGGAGGAGAAAGCGTCGGCCCGGCTTCTCGGATATGTTAAAGGGATGGGCGGTTTCTTCAAGAACGAGTTCTTATCTGGGTCACCGGGTTCGCAAGCTTCACCTCCTGCAGCTGCGTGGCGGTCGGGTTCGGGTTAGGTGAACTAATGAGCGTGGTTGCGACAGACGCGCTTGGACGACGGCGGCGTCTACTGTTGACCTTCTGGATGCTTTCGAGGCTGCCATAGGCTTGCTCGACCTCGCTGATGATGCCATGTAGCCGTTCAGGGCCCTCCTTCCGCTCCGTCCGCTGCTCAAGCTTCACTTTCTGCGTCCGCTCTTCAAGATCCACCTCCATGCGACGCCGCCTTCGGAGAGCCTTGCAAGGCGCTCCTCCAACGCCTCCGCCTCGTTGCGCCGTTGCTCGCACTTTCTTCCGAGCTGTTTGACCTTCTGCAGCAAGGAAACAACAGAATCATCCGAGTTCGCAAGCTTCGCATCGAGGTCGGCAGAAGACCTTCTCTCTTATGAGTCAACTTTTTCCAGATCGCGTACATACGTCTGTGCAGCTCCCACATCAGCATCTCGTTCGATGAAATAAAGAAACATTTGAAAGCTTGCCTCGGTCGATGCCTCGCGATCCATTAGCTTATCAAACATCGGTCACAGCTCCTCGAGATAAAGCTCCGTCGCAGAATACTGTTCAGCCATCTGAACGAATACTTCCTCCTTCTCCTTCATGAGCGTGTTCGTCACGAGCGGCGCGAGCGGTTGGGCTCAAGCTCAGCCTCCATCTTGTTGATGGCCTTCTCGTACTCCACGATGAACTGCCCGACAATCTCCTCGTACTTAGCAGTCCCACCCATGGCGCCTTGCAACGGGCGGTACTTCCGCATCAAGCACGCCAGACGCCAGCTCTTCTGCCCTGCTCGGGTACTTCTCGCGGAGACTCTTGTAGCTGTTCTTCAGCGCCGTCATCTGCGCTAGCATGATATTCGACGCGCAATTGTCCAATGCCTCGCGCGGGGTTGAAGACGACCCCGGCGACGACGCAGCGATCGTCGCCTTGAAGATGTCCCTTGAGCTCCTTGCGGAGGCGAGTGACCGTGTTCTGGGGCCACTCGACGTCGTCACACCCTTCCTCCTTCTCGTTCGCGACTGTACAGTTCTTGATGCTTGTGCGAAGAGAAGGTTAACCTTGGTCTGAGACGTCGACGTGATTCAATCTTGGCCTTATCGGCGGTGTCGTTGATACGCTGCATAGCGTTGAGGTACTAGCTGAGGTCGATGTCAGACTCATTATTGACCCATTCTGGATGTGGCTCGTAATGATAATGTCGAAGTTCTACCCATTAAGTCGAGTGACCACCGTTAACGATGGTTGTCTCGCGATCGAATGCGACCTGCTGCATCTCCAAGAATCGAGAGATTGAAGGTTCCTGTACTAGCAACAAGGTCATAGGCGGCGATAACTGAGAAGTAAACGAGGTCAAGACCGCAAGCGGGGGCGGTAGCGACAGGCTTGTTTATGGCATGCCGGACTTTAAGGCTGGAAATATGACCAGCATCATCAACAGCCTCTAACAGCCTGCGGCTGAACGTTGCCAAGGTACACAACGACGGTGATGACGACTTGGCCAGTAACACCTCAGCGTCTCGATCCGCCATCGACGGCAACTTTTATTTACTTGACCTTCCCATTCATGTATTGCTCTGTTGTGTCACGCATCTCGCTGAGGACCACCAAGGTCTAGGACCTCGGTGGCAGGGCGACCGGCAGGGCGACCGTTAACGTCTAGAATAGAAGATCAAGGACGCGTGGATGTGGTGGAGCAGCAAAGTACTCACCAATATTTGATGTCCCCAGGTTAACCTCCTCATCCTTGATACATAAGGTCACGCAATTCCTCTGACACAGCATGACGAGCGCTGGGAGCATGTACTTTCCCGCTGTCTAGGGAAATCAGTCATGCGCCATTAAAGTTGGGGAGATGGCGCACACCGTGAGACATTTGGTACCTACTTCAATATCTCTATGTTTAAGCTTCGCGCTGATCAACTACTTTTCCCTGAGTTTCTTGTGCACCTCGTTTTCAGGCTCTACTTGTGACCGTCTGGGTGAGAGAGATGTGTGGTAATCATGAGAAGGATGGGCAAAGGTCAGGGCACGGGAGATACTCGGCGGATCCTGGCGTGAGTGCATACCACAGATCTAGGTGGGGATTAAGTAACTCTTTAATGCCAGGTATGTACTTACTGGTACTTACCATAGTCGTTATATGATGTGACACCATTGTCCGGGTTCAAGTGAACAGATGCCTTGCCCAGCTCAATCTGCGTATATTGGGTTGGCCTTGTGCATACATCCCCGAACACGAGCGCCCCATGCCGAAAATCTGAGGCAACTTGGAGGCAACATTGACAATTTGATAGTAATTAGGGCTCATACAAGATAGCATACGAACTTTACGCTACGTGAGGAGCCCGAACCGCTAATTGCGCCCCTGCACGGCTTGCAGCACCGATCTCCACGCTCCTTCTCCTTGTGTCACCCGCCGCATGAGGTCACGGAGCGCTATCCCCGAGCCCGTTGTTCGTTGTGGTCAAAGCGTTTCTACATTGACTCTGCCCGGTGGGATTGAACATATATCCTTATCAGAAAGAGTGCATGTACTCACTTGGAAATTGGCAGCGGAAGGTGTCGTGGAAGGCGTCGTTTGGCCATGACATAGGCACGGGTACAGGCGCTTATTTTGCAGACAACGTCGAGAGGTGCGGGAGGTCCTTGGATGGCTGTATCGTTGGTCATGCGCACAGATGGACTGATACTGATAGATGAATTGAAGACGTGCTGATAAATTTAATAAACAAACTTGACATATACCAATGTAGGCACATAGAAAAAAAGGACCTTGGGGCCGATGTCGTCCACGCTGATCCCTCAAATATTGTTCGTTGCAAAGGTTCATCCGATCAACGAGATAGCGAAATATTCTCGTGCATGCTCCACTTCTTGTTCGATGAATATCGGTTTTTCCAGTCCTACTACCCTGCACGCGAGCTTGCGATGACCGCGACCTTGCGCGATTCAACGAGAGGCTAGACATCGTCAACGGGACCGGATAGGGCCGGATGCATCGGATGTAAGTACTGTCGCCGAAGTTTACCTTATTAGCGAGGCAAAAGTCGTTCAAGGATGATGTCATTTGGATGACCAAAAAACAAGTCGAAGATGGTAAACTTTTCTCACACTCTTGGCGCCAAGAAAAGGTACAGAAAAGTTTAACTTTTTTCACAGTCGAAGAGGTCGGCGATGAGTCATCATTTTTCACCCCTTTTTGTGTGGTAGGGGAGCTACACAAAAGGATCCGAATTCCACGGCCGAAAAGGCCGCAGAAACGATTAGCATCATTGACACGTTTTTGCAGATCAAAAAGGCACCTTAAATGTTACCTTTTCCAAATGCAAACATGTTAACGTGATGACTTGCTTTTCTAGTCGAGAAAAGAAAGGAAAACATTTAAACATTTGCACGCCTTTTATCCGGATAAATAGTGATCCAGACATTATAACACTTCTACGCCTCTTTGATTCTAAATTTGGAAGGGGGATTCTCGGCTTTGTCTGCAGTGCATGGTCATCAAAGTAGGGGCCGCTCCAGCCCCTTCGCCAGCACACTTTCCATCCCAGGGTTGTACAACTTGACGTTCTCCTTCATCCCAATGCCCACCGCAGCCAATCCATCCAGCACAGGTGTATACACGCTCGGATCTGACGGCCCACGCACACCACGCATGCGCACTTTGCCGCTCAGAATCTCGCGCGCAGCGAACGCGACGGGCAGACCCACGCAGAGCGACATGGCCGACGCCCTGGGCGTACCGTACACGACCAAGTCCGCCGTATGGCACTCCTTGACGTCCTTCTCGCCGGACGCGACGACTTCGTGCGACATGACGACCATGTCCCGCTCGCCCGGCGCGTACGCGAGCTTGTGCGCCAGGATCGTGGCGAGGAGGTCGATCGGCAGCGTCGGCTGCTTGGGCACGGGCGGCAAGCGGGAGGCGGCGCGGTCCTTCGAGGGCGCGATCTCGAGCCACTCCAGTGCTTGGAGGAGCTTGCTGGCGTCGTCGATGCTCATGATATCCCGGAAGGCGGACTCCAGCGAGCTCGGCTTCTTCGAGAACTTCACGCCGAACGAGCTCTGGAAGACCTGGCGGGTTAGGTCGTTCCATGACTCCAGCTGGATCTTGGTCTCTGGCGTCGAGCTCAGCAAGCCGATGCCTTTGAAGAGCTGCATGAGATCGGCGAAACCGGGATATCTGTATAACAGTGTTGGATTTTATTCAGCGAACACAAGATGAACCGTACCTCAAAGTGCCACGAAGCATAGTGGACATTTCCTTCGACTTAGGAAGGTCGTAGGTCTTGATGTACGCATTGCTATCGCGGTTGGCCAGCCCCTCGAACTTGAGCGTGTTGGAGATCGGGACATCAGGGAAGTAGCGCCGGAGCAGCTCGTCGGCAAAAATATGTCTGGGCTGCAGCAAAAATATTACAATCTGGAAAGCGGATTATAGTGGTTTTTGATAGCTACCTTTCCGTTTAATTTGAAGACAGCCGAGTTCTTGGCGGCAGTCAGAACACCCTTCGGACTCCAGCTGAACTTGTATCCCAGCGGTACATCAGCGTGTTCAGGAGCTGGAAGACCACCGCAGAAGGATATGTACGATGTGACGCGCTTATTCTCACTCTTCAGCTTGTCCAGAAGCGAGTAGGTCGAACAGTGGTCAATGCCGGGATCCAGGCCGATTTCGTTAAGGAGAAGGACGTTTGCAGCTTCCGCTCTGCACGCGAGTATATCAGTTGATTTTCACCCACATAGGCAGATGTATACATACTTGTCGTTCAGCTCCCGCATCTGAGCAGAAATATACGAGGCCGTGACCATGTGCTTCTTATGCTGAATACACAGCTCCGCGATCTGAGGATGGAATGGAACGGGCAACAAGCTGCAATGTAGGTATGAAAATCAGTTGCGATTCAGCTGGCGCGTAAATAGTACTAACCTAATAACGAGGTCGGCCTGAGAGATCAACTCTCCCACTTTCGTTGCATCTGATACGTCAAGTAGCTGGCTCTTCGCATTCTGATGATGCTTGGTAAGATTATCTGCTTCGCTAAGCAAATTGCTAGCTGTAGTGAATCCGCGTGCATCAGACACAAGCCGTAGACGTTTCCTCGATAAAAACTTACCAACAATCATCTCAACATCCTGGTGCTTGCACAGCTCATCAATCGTAGGACCAGCAACCATCCCGCTGCCCAACAACAACACCTTCTTCTTCGGCGTATTCGTCACAGCAGCAGACGCGCCCGCAGACGCCGTCTTACCGCTCTCCGCCCGCCACTTGTTGACATTCTCCTCCAGCCACGCATGCTGACTCTGCAGCACGCCATGGCGCGCAACAGTCGCCCTGTTAAGAGACTTCGCGTGCTCCTTGCCGTTCTTCTCGCCCTTGTACTCCTTGATGAGCGAGCGCAGATACGGCATCAAGACACCGCAGAAATGCTGCGAAGCGTCCAGGGGCAGGGTGGTGGGGAGGATGTCGACCGACATGATCTGGACGCTCGGGAGATGGGCCGGGAGGCCCTCCGGACGGTGGTTGAAGAACGGCTCGGAGACGGTGGATTCGCGTGGCAAGAACTCGAGTCCGCCCTATGGAATGGTTCAGTATACAGGGTCTATATCGTAGAAGCGGACTCTTACTTGGATGTCGCAGCTGATGTCTCCAATGCAGCGGAAACGAGCAGGGCCAACTTGGTTGGCAAGAGTGAGAGCGGTTGCAAGTTGTTCATTAGTCATAAGGCGAGGGAAGGATGGTTGCCAGCCAACGCCATTAAGGAGGAGAGTAAGGTACGGTGCAACCTGGGAGGTAAACCTCGCTCGTGAGCTAGACATTCATCTTTTATACAACGTATACGTACCTTTGTGTCAAACTCCGACTTGTATTGGTCGGGATTACGATAGTAATGGTCACGCAAGAACTGACCACCATCGGGTCGTGTCAAGTAATCTTTGGGCAATGCATGTACAAGGTAGACCTGCAGAGTGTTAGGGCGAACAAAACCATACGTCTCGACAGACCTACTTGGTGCAAGTTCGTATCTATGGAAGTTCTGAGTAACATCTTCATTGCGACTCAAGAAAATCCACGTACCCGGATTGCTCACGAGAGCAGGGAGATCTTCCACTTTAACATTTACAATAGGTAGGTCTTGCAGTATCGACAGGCAACCTTGAGTGACCTGTCCAGTTCTAAAGAGTCACGTAAGAAAACTAGCTTCGCTTATAGGTCGCGAGAATTATCATGCCCAGTAAGACCGATAACGAAAGGACCCAAGGATTTGGGTGTACCATCCTTCTTTATCTCTTCACCAATCCCCTTTAATGCTGCTCGAATAGAGGGTATCGAAGGGTGGGTATGAGGCCGAGGCGTGTGCTGATCATTAGGGTTAGGACAATTCAAGATTTTGGGTTAGGGTTTAGATGAGCTCACAAGGAATGGGGATGCAATCCCCATCTCAAGGTGCGCCTGCGACATGGCTGAAAGGGACTCCAAGGCGCCGGCAACTGCAGACCGTATCAGTAAGGGAGCGACTTGATAAATTTCTTACTTGCCTCCCGCGAACCAACCGAAGCCAACGGTGCGCTTGCCGTCTTCGCCAGTCAATAACTCGTAGTCGATTAGACGCGGCAACAGTTTGGCATCCTCGCCTGTTCCAAGGAAGCGTGATAAAAGCTCCATGTTGTATGGCTGGCCCTTGATAGTATGCGAGAACATGAGCTGAGTCCTCGCCATGGGCTTCCCCGAGTCCGAAGCAACCGGGGTGGTGACCAGCTCGTTCAGAGGGGTCTCCTTGATGCCAAGGATGACATGGGCGGGCTCTAGAGTAGGGTGTATTGTCGCGCCAGCCTGCAAATCAGAAGAAACGGTCAGATAACAGATTGAAAATGACGCGGTTATAAGCAAATATACAGGGAATGATGCAGGTCTCCAAGGTCCTCAAGACGTAAAACCAATGCACTAGAGCTGTCAGTGGATAGTTACCTTTACGAATTCGTCGACGGGGAAGACGCGTCTATCACAGTCCTGGACGAGGACGCGAACGCCGTCCTTCTCGACTAGCTCACTGACAGCATCGGGGGTGAGTGGGCAGCGACGCTCCCAGATCCGTGCCGGGTCTTCGCGCCGAAGACCGAGGGTGACTTGGGAGGTGGTTGTGGACGAGAGGCGCAAAGAGTGGTTGAGTGTGCGCTTGGCCTGCTTCTTGAGAAGCGAGCGCGAGGATTGGCGCAGGCCAGCTGCAGTGGACATGGTCGTCGTCGTGAGTATCGTTGGGGAGGTTCAAAGAGAGGTAGAGATGGAACGAGACCAGCGGGGATGGCAAGCTGGCGGCGGAGGGAGGGGAGCGAACACAGCAACGGCGAACATGATTTATAGTGGACTGGATGATCCGAGCCGAGTATGGATGGTGTCCATGGCGTTCAGCGGGACGGGCGGGTGGATGATAGGCGGTGTAAGGACAAGATACGGAGACGCATCACAATTCAGACAGGATCTTCATCAAGCAATCACTTGATCCCCTTACCCGTGTGCCTGCCAGTGCCAGTTTCAAGGAACGAACATACTTAGCAACGACGCCAAACTACGCCAGACAAATGCAAGAGCTGCAAGACGCCAAGGCGCTCTACTCGCTAAGATTAGCGTGAACACGCGACCTACAGAGCTCTCTCTAGATCTACAGTGGTCACGCAGCCGATCCTAGCCTCCAAACAAGGATCTCGTGTGTTGATCTCCGACTTCTGTGGTGGAAACCTCAGGTCACTCCCCTTGTTTTTATGTATTCCGAGCGTGTCATCCCCACATGTACAGTTTGTGCAAAGGTTCTGCGCGCGGTTCTGTATGACATCAACGTCATGCGAGCTATTCATGTACGTAATATTACGCCAAACTTCGCCAGCATTCCCGCTTCCAAGCTTTCAGAGATGTTTAGCCCTCGGCTTCCAAACAGGTCTCTTCGTATTGGCTGTGTATATCTTGTTCGCTGAATACTGAGACTCTTGAGGAAGCAAGGATAGTCTCGGTGGGGCTCAATAGCTTCAGTTTATTTTTGTACCATCAAGGGGGAAAAGCATCCAGTTATCATGGCCTGATTACTGTACTCAAGGTTGATAGCAAATTGACCGTAAATCTCCGTCATGATGTATTTCATTCATAGAAACGTCATATGCATAGTCGGTACCTTCAACTCTCCGTGGTAGGAACTGTTGAAGGTCGACGTCGTCACCCACGAGGGAAAATGCGGTGTCAAGATCTACAGTAAACAGGGGTGTGTCCATTTATGGAAGGTTGCCGTGCCTGATCGCACATATCTAACTTTTCTGCAAGCGGTGAGTGCAATCCACCCATCCGCCCAAGCAAGGCGCATACAACAGGGGTTGGGGCTTTAAACCACCTCTTTTCATCATGGCACGCGCAAGGAATGACAAGGGCAAAACACCATCCACCGTAGCTCAAAAGGCCCCAGCAAAAGCGCCAAAAAAGCAATCCAAGCCCAAAAACGCGCACAATGACAAGGACTTGCTCAAGGAACAAATTAAACTCTTGGGCGGGAACGATGAAGATCTCGAGTTGCTGAAAGATGTATCAGGAGAAATCAATGTCTCTGGAGATGGTCCTGAAGACGTGAGTTCACTAGTATCCATGTTCTCTCCTGAAGTTTGATCCCTGGTCGCTTTTCTAGCCTGCACTCGCCAAGGACGTTGCAAAGCTGCTCAAGCAGCTGGGCTCCAGTAGTATCTCTGGCTCTACAGAAAGAGCACCAAAAACCAAGGTAGTGGCAAGTCCTAACGCCAGTGATTCCACCAAAAAGCCTGCCAAGGGCGACCAGAAGAAACCCAAGTCGAACGGCAAGGCCACTGCTGAGCGCTCTGAACCAGAACCAGAACCTAAACCCACCAAGAAGCCTTCAGAAAATGCCGAGAAACTTGCACAAACCGCCAAAGCCATGGAACCATCTTCACAGTGGTATAACAGCGTCCCCGTTCTCTCCGGCGCTCCAGGAAAGCCCCCATCGTCCGACAAAGTCACTTCCCTCTACGATCGCGCTGCCTCCCTTCACTCCGATGCCGTCACGTCATATCAGTCCAAATCCTCCTCCACCGTCACCTCGTCTAGCTCCGAGTACTCCTTCCTCCAAAAGATCTTGCAGTCCGGTACGCTTTCCGACAGGCTGAGTGCCCTCACGCTCCTCGTGCAAAGCAGTCCGCTCCACAATACCAGGGCGCTTGAAACGCTCAAGGGCATGGCTGAGCGCGGTAAGGGGAAGGGAGGGCGAGAGGAGAGCTTGAAGGCGCTGAGGTGTATCGTCGATTGGTGGGTAGGCGGCGGAGCGCCGAATCGCAAACTAAAGTGAGTTTACTTTCATTCGTATTATCGTATCTTAAATATAATTACAAAGGTACTTCCGGGACCACCCTCTGTCCCATTCCGGCGTGACTGATCAACATCTGCTGGTTTGGTATTTCGAAGATTGGCTGAAGAAGTATTTCTTTTCCGTGCTCAAGATTTTAGAGGTATGGCAATGCACGTTCTGCGTTTTAAGATGTTGATAAATTTGAATTAGAACCTATCCCTTGACTCTCTAACCTACGTTCGCACTCAAGCTCTTAGCTTGATCTCTACTCTTCTCCGAGAGAAACCTGAACAGGAGCACAACCTGCTGCGCCTCCTCGTGAACAAGCTTGTGCGTTTTCCCTTTTAACAAAATATATGTATTGACCCACTTTGCTTCTTTCTCGAAGGGAGACTCAGAAAAATCGATATGCTCTCGAGTATCATACCATCTTCTCCAAGTCCTCCAAAGCCACCCTTCGATGAAGATCATCGTCGTCCGCGAAATGACCTCCCTCATTCTACGGCCCGTGGGGTCGACCGCGACCGGTATGCCCCCTCCCGTGAACACGCTCATCAAGTTCGACGACGACGGCTCAGCGCCGAAGCCGAAGGGGGACAAGAAGGATGCAACGCCGAAAGCCGCGTACAACGACCACGCTCGTTACTACGCCGCTATCACCTTCAACCAGATCGTCTTTGGTCCTGAAGACCGCGACGTCGCCATCCAGGTGATCGACGTATACTTCCAGATGTTCAAGGATCTTCTGGGTGAGGGGAAGAGCGACGATGATACTCCAGAGGAGGTCGTTGAGCCAGAAGAGGACCCAGTCAAGCAAAAGCGCAAAGACGCCGGGAAAATTCAACCGCCTAAGAAGAAGCGTGAAAAGACCGTGGTCGGCGAAGGTGGTTTTACGGAGGTGGAGGATTCTCAGTCAAAATTGATCTCTGCTATCCTCACTGGCGTTAACCGCGCGCTGCCGTACGCGAAGTTAACCGCCTCAGACGCTGGGTGAGTAAATTGATTTCTCCCAAATTTTAACTTTCTCAATATTGTTGTAGACTTAACAAGCACATTGATACGCTATTCCTCATCACCCACACATCTACCTTCAACATCTCGTTGCAAGCGCTTGTCCTCATCCAGCAAATTTCCTCTTCACTTTCGTCAGACGTCTCCGGCGCTTCATCTTCCGCTGGCTCCTCCCTATCCAAGTCCATCACGGATCGTTACTTCCGCACCCTCTACTCTTCATTGCACGATGACCGCTTGACTTCGTCGTCCAAGCAAACGATGTACCTTAACCTGCTATTCAAGTCCATCAAAGCTGACGACAACCACGACCGTGCCAAGAGTTTCGTCCGCCGCTTCATCCAAGTACTAGCGAGCGGAGGCGGAGGCAGCATAGAATTCATTGTCGGTGGACTGTATCTCCTCGGAGAACTGTTCAGTACCGTCCCAGGGCTGCGCGAGATGACCAAGACCTCTGCGTCCATGCAGGAGGACGAATCAGAAAGCCAGTACGACCCCCGAAAGCGGGACCCGCAGTACGCGCACCCGTCGTCGACACCACTATTCGAGCTGGTAAGCTTCGATCTCGGCTGTTTCATTATCATTACTGATAACCAATTTTTATTTGTAGCTCCCGCTTCTGCGTCACTATCATCCGACCGTGTCTCTCCATGCACAGCAACTGCTCAACGCTCAACCCATCACCTCGAGTGCTGATCTCTCATTGAACACCTTGTCGCATTTCCTCGATCGCTTCGTCTACAAAAACCCCAAGAAGGTCAAGCCCAAGGGCGCCAGTTTTATGCAACCTGCGGCTAGCGCAAACGACAAAATTAGCGTCAAGCTCGTCAAGGGCGAGGTAGACAGTGGTCCGATGGTGAACGACGATAAGTTCTGGCGCAGAAAAATCGAGAATGTACCTGTGGACGAGGTAAATATGAATCTCTACCGGCTCATCCGAGTCAGCTAACGTTCCCTGAAAGGTATTTTTCCATCAATATTTCTCGCGGAAGAACCAGAAAAGCACTCGTAGAACGGACACGGGCAAAGACGGTGGAGGCGAAACAGGAGACGAGGATGAAGAGGAAGACGATGAGTCCGGGGATGACGATGCTGCTAGCAGTAGTGCTGACGAAGACGAGGAGACCAAGGCCGATGGCGGAGAAGAGGATGATGATGAAGATGAAGAGGGAAGTGATCTGGGTGAGGATGAAATTTGGAAGGTACGTTACCATACATCTCAGACATCATACCTTTATACCGAACGCGATTTTCAGGCCATGCTAGCTACCATGCCACATGAGGATGGCGACGAAGACCTCATGGAAGACGACAGCGATGACCTGCCGTCAGATCTGGACGACTTCGATGACTCCGATGGGGATGCGCCAAGTGTCGATGTGGAGGACGAAGTAGAAGAGGAGGATGAAGATGATGCTTCCGCGCAGGATGAGGACGGTGCTGCGGGATCCGAAGACGGACTCTCAATGGCAGAAGCCTCGGACGACGAAGATCTGCTGGCTGTCGACGACATGCCAGACGGGCTCATCGAGTATGATGGGTCTGACGCTGGCGAACAAGAGGGTGAGGGTGAGGAATGGGGCGGATTCGGAGGGGCATCGTCAAAACGGAAGCGTGGTGGAGAGGACAAGAGCGGAAAACGCAAGAAGCGACAGAAGTTGCCCACCTTCGCATCATACGAGGACTACGCAAAGATGATCGAAGATGGTCCCGAGGACTTCATCTAATTTCACTAGTATCTCTACTGGGTATTACAGGTGCTATACAGACCATGGCTGGTTCTATTCAGCCCATCGTCCGAGCGACATTACCTGCTCAACCTAGTAAAGCGACGCATGATCCGTCAATGCCTTGTTTAGCCCTTCCCTCTTCATGCAATTTTCAAACTTGAAACTGGCCGCAACTTCATCCAGCTCCTTCTCCGAGAGCCCCTTGAGTGTGTCCGCCCACTCCTGGACCATGAACTCCGCGACAAGCATTGTCCTTGAGAGTCGCGCAACCCTATTCTCAACGCTCCAAATCGGAGGATACAGGTGCTTGTTTGCTTCTGGAATTTCCCGCTCGACGAGCTCTAGTATGGGCTGGTAGATGTGTTTGACATGTTGGTCATTTGTACCCCACGCGTCGACTGCGAGGCGGAACTTCCGAGCGAGGAACTTCTCGAAGCGTTTCATATACGGCGTCTCTTTCGAGACGTACACCATGCCTTGGTACCCAATGTCTTTGCACAGCCAGATAGACCAGCTAAGTCGATCCTACACGCAATCAGCATAAATGATTTCACGAGCTATTTTGAAGGGGGCAAACCTTGTGGTAAATTTCAAGCTGGTCCTTGAGGACGTTGTACCGCCCCTCGTTGATGTCGTCCGTCTGATCACCGTCATACTCTCGGCGAGCATATACCGGCCCCCATTCGCCGTTCCATACGCACAAACCTCGCTCGTCCATCCACGCTCTTTTACGCTTGTAGACATCCTCCAGCTTCTGTATCTGCTCCGGTGAGCGTCTATACGGTTCTGGCGTTTTCGGGAACCCGTATATGGCGTACTAGTGAATGCATGGACTTCAGCTTATCACTATCTCGATAAAAATTCGATCACCACATACGTCGTGGATTGCGTAAGCATTGTTAGACCAACGCTCCTTTGCATTGTCTGGGAATGCAGAGAAATCGATAGCATACGTATTTCCATCGAGGAATATGATATGGTGCGGGTCCACAGGCCGAATCGCTGCATACAGCCTGTCGTAGACTTGAATAAGACCTGCGCCTTTGGGATCAGCTGGCTCGTTCATGAGGTTATAGCCAGCGATCCATGGGTTGGTGGCATAGTGCCGAGCAACTTCGGTCCACAACCATACAAATCTGTCCTGAAAGTCCTTGTGCCTCCAAAAGTCTGTTGACAAGTAATTAGCAATCACATTCTCACGAGAGGTTCATGTCAGCCTGACCTGCGATATGGCAAGCAGAATCGCAGTGCCAACCGCCATTCTGACCACCCGGGGCAGTGTGCATGTCAATTATAGTGTATATCCCATGTTTAGCGCAAGCCTCGATGGCTCGGTCAAGATGTCGAAAACCATCTTTTTTGAGGACCCTGGGATTTGTATCGTCTTCAAAGTGACGGTAGCTGACGGCGATCCGAATACAGTTAAGCCCAAGAGACTTGAAGAACTTGGCATCGTCCTCAGCGAAGAAATACTCAAGGAACTAAACAAGGCGTATATAAGTAACGATGGTCTTGCAAATCGCAACCGATTAGGACAGACTCGCCTTGTCAAAGAAGTATTCTGACTTCTCCTTCCCAATGGTTTCCGCAAGGGCGTCACGAATTTGAAACTCGCAGCCAGGATAGCCTAAACACCCATCAAGTTGTTAAACACTTGAAACCGGGAACCAGACCGATTTTCAACGAACCAGTGATGAAGTTCTCCATCCTGCATTTCAATCCCGTCAGAGGTTATTACGAGGTTATGGACGAATGCACCTACGTCATCCAGCCTCCAAGTCCGGCGCCTCGTAAGACAACTTCATTACCTTGGCCATCGACGATAGCGGTTCCAGACACCTTGAGGAACGACATGGCCGTAAAACCGGGGACCCAGTCAGTAGTCCTCCACGGGTCTTGTGTATATAAAAACCATCGTACCTCGAAGTCACCTGCCAGGCCTATGGTCTTCCGGACCGCATGCATTACCCTGTGCTACCCCGTTGTGGGGAAAACACCGACAAAATCCCGCTGTGCCATGCAACGATAAATCAGTTCAGGCGCGGATTCTCAAGAAACATATTCTCCAGTGGCGCGAGACCTGCAGGAGCCAGAAACGCAAGAGATCTAAGAATATCAATTAATTAGCATTTGATCCCACCAAAGTGACAAGAACCCAGCGGTTTTCGACTTCATAATCCAGACAAAATAATGCCCTCCGTTTATCCTATATGCAGACATACGCCAACAAGATGGTCCTGCCTGAAACGCGTCAGAGAAACAGGAGCAAGGCCGAGGCCGAGGCTGTAGAGGTCTGAGGGAACTGGACTGGCTCCTCCACGGAAACGCCCAGTCCCGTTTACAATCCTCCTCTCCTAACACCATGAATGAGACATCAGTCAAAATCCCAATCGACGAGCAAAGGAGATATTTGAAGGCGCCCCAAGAGGGACGTAGCCATCCCACCCGTACGTTCGCAGTCGCCCCCGAGCCAACCACACAATCATGACCGTCATATCCACTTCTCTCAAGGACGATCGCTCTTGCACAAAGTCGGATGTCGAAGACGTGCTCCATAGTCTCCTCGCTCATATCCTCGCCAACCCGAATGAGTCTGGCTTCACCAGCCTTTTCACCGACGCGGAGAGGCGCACCCTAGATGAACTCTTACCACCACTCTCAGCCGCTCGAGAAGGGAGAGATGGCCATGGGCACCAAGTACTGGACAATCCTCTGAGCGCCACAACATCCGAGCAGGGCAGTGACTCCACCGAGGTGAGTTTCTTGCCCACATGCAGCTGTCAACGGTCCACCTGAGTCAGATGCAGCCTCTGACCTCCGACGGACAGGCGACGCTGTCCATGAAGCGCAAAGCCGTCAAGAGGCGCCGACAGCGCGCCGAAAAAGCGCGTCTCAAGGCCGAGTTTCACGATTGGCAGACAGAAACAAGTGTCTGTGAGGACGCATCCGCGCAACGGCGGGACATTCAAGCATACATCAATTCATGTCTACTCCGTGCCCTATGACATGCAAATAATGAGCCCTGTAGTACGATATTGTGCATTATCACCTGTTCTGGAACCGCTCCCTGGCTTCGTGGTTCCGCCTCGTGTCTTCTGCTACGAGCTTGGATTCCAGCGCGTTCCAAATATTTTGAGCATATTTTTGGCCCTCCTATAAAATCCAAATTTAGCGAAATATACCAGCGTACGAAGCGGCCGTGTTACTTGTAAGAGGGAGTTCATCGTTTTCATATCTGTTGTTTGCATCCCTATGAGTCTTGATGATCGTAGCGAGGCTTTCCCGCCGGCAGAGAAAGAGAACATGGCATGTAGACGCAGTGGAACCGATATCTCTTCTTTTAGTGTTGCGTCGAGGAAGTGAACAGAAGGTAACTGCGTGTCTTTTATGAGAAATGCCACAATAATAAGAGTACTACTACTCACGATGTTCAGCGTGACGCATACAGGCCATGCCTCCCTTCCGTCAAGGCTTTCTCCCTCGTCCCAGTAGTCGGTCAACTCGAAATCCGCCTTCGTTGAGACAGATCTTTTCGTCCGAGTATCGAGACCGCTCTTTTGTACCCCGTCGTCTACCTCCATTGCGTCGTCTTCGCGATCTCCTTTCCGTCCTAGGGCACGATACTCGACGCTTCGTGTCTTTGGCACCTTCGTATCCCATAGTGCAGCGCGTGCAGCCATAAAGATCGCGTCACAGACGTTGCCCGCATCGGAGTACACGACCACATCAAGGTGCACGGCCCAGGCCTTCTTGCCCGGCACAATGGTAAGGTTTTTAGGACGCAAAGTCGGATGAGCCAAGACACTATGCAAGACTGCTGTCAAATCGTGCTGGAGGTCATCAACGGCGTTTGACGAGAGATGAGGATAGGCAGCAGGAGAGCTGGCTTCGCGAGACAAGGATCCAGAGGGGAGGAGAAAGGGCATTCGTTATTCAATTCGCCATAGATCTGGCAGACAACACACCAAGAGACTGCACCGATGATCCTGCCTTCGACTTCCGCTTCATCTACGCCGTCTTCATCGCGATCACTCGCGTCCTCCACCTCCAGTTTGATTGCAGCCACCACCTCAGTTCCACCGCCTCCATCGCGCTGCCGGCCGATGTTTACTCGGGCACTTCCATTGGCAAGAGGGGCGACGCCAGTTTCGAGGGCAATATTGCGATAGTCTGTCAAGTCACGTCCGTCGATTCTTTGCGGCGAATCGGCAAGTAAGGCTTGCTGGATGTATGATTGTTCTGCCTTTGAAAGCAAGGCCATATCACGTCTACGCAATCTTCCGTCGCCTCAGCGCAAAAGCATTAAGGCAAAAATCAACATACGGGCTGAAATGGTAGCGAACTTCAATAAAAGTGGTGTAGATGTGCGCGGTAAAGAGGCAATGTACAGTGTAGGCCGAAGGAGTAGTGTTTATAGGGACAAGCAAGAAGTAAGAAGCGGGATTGACACGGACGCGCATCAACGCGCTGAACCGTAATACCACAGTACCAGATTGCCGACTGTCGGCGTGACCCTCATGCATGATCCCCCACTAAACTGGTCGAAAAAATGAACTTATCAAGAGTATTTGTTACAATTCCCTGGCAGAGTATGTTTTCAACCCTCCTGAGACCAAAATTCAACCACAGTATCACAAAAAAAATCCCCTGAGTACACCGAAGGGGAGTCGAACCCCTGCCGCTTGCTTGGAAGGCAAGCATGATAACCGCTTCACCATCGGTGTGGATGTGTTCTTATGTCGCGTTGTTTATATGACTCTAAAAAAAACCCTGATTAGATCTGGACGTCATTGCCCTAGTCGATCCAAGTGTGCGCTGCTGGGCTACGTTCCTTGTCCTACACAATCAAGTGAATTGAGATGGTTTATCCTGGTACTTTCTCCATCTAGCATAACAATGCTCTTTGGCTCTGATCATTACCAGCACAGCAGCACGTTATCAACACCTTCACCAGACTCATTCACCTTCTGCCCCCCACGGAGAAGGCAAAGGTTTGTGCTCGGACAACGTACGGCTATAGTTACCCCATGTTAACGCGCATATATGCAGCCCCATGCGATCCTCCTCGCAGGTGAAGACACATCCTACCGGCATGACACAGACCGCGAGCTCTCTTTTCGCCAAGAATCCAACTTCTTCTATCTTTCCGGATGCTCCGTGCCTTCCTCGCACCTCCTCTGCGTCTACGAAGCCTCCACAGGCCTCTCCCAAAACCCCTCCATAAGCCTCTTCCTCCACGAAGCCACCATCTCCGATCTCATGTGGAGCCCCGCCCCGCCCACCAAAGAAGACGCCAAGTCCCTCTTCGAAGCCACCTCCGTCGAATACACCGACAAGCTCATGGACACAATCCAAACAGTGGCCAAGATCCCCGATATCCTGTTCCACACCCTCCCGCGCGGCTCGCCCAAGTTCCCCGTGCTCTTGGAAGAATACACCGGCGCGATCCTCAACACTGACGCTGCGATCTCGGACGCGTACCTCCTCACCGCCCTCGGACGTGCCCGCCTCACCAAGGACGCGCACGAGATTGAGCTGATCGAGCGAGCGAACCAGATCAGCTCTCGCGCGCACGAGGTCGTCATGCGCGTTCTTGGCGCTGCCGTCAAGGGCAAGATCCAGCGAGAGGCCGCCGCGGCGAAGGGCGAGCGCCCTCTCCTCCCTGGCGAGTGGCTCATCGAGAAAGAAGCCGAGGCCGAAGCAATATTCGTTGCCAGCTGTCGGCGTGAGGGGTTGGTGCTTGCTCATCTTGAAGATTACCCCTATTGACGTGACAATGACAGGTCCGTCCACCAAGCATATCTTCCCATCGTCGCAGCAGCATCACGGGCATCGACGCTCCACTACTGCTGTAATGACCGCGACTTTGCTTGGGGCCCCGTTGGAGCTCATGATCACAAGAACCACAATGCATTGGCGTCCTCGGACAAAGACCTCAACCCCCAGGTACTTCTCATCGACGCTGGCTGCGAATGGGATTGCTATGCCTCAGATAGTGAGTGAACTGGAAGACCATTCAGCAAACAATGCTCATCACTTGGCGCATACAGTCACCCGCACCATGCCAGTAGGCAACAGCGGCAAATTCACCCCTGAAGCACGCGCAATCTACGAGCTCGTCCTCGAAATGCAAAAGGTAAGCCCCCACCAGTTTCTTTGTCCTCATTACCAACGGCCTCCCGTCACTGGCAGCTGTCCATGGAAGCCCTCCGCCCAGGCATCCACTGGGACGCGATCCAGCTTCTCTGCCACCGCACGCTCGTCCGCGGCTTCCAAAAGCTCGGCATCTTCTTGACGTCCGAGTCACCTGGCTCAGGCTCGTGGAATTCTGAGGAGGCCATCCTCGCGAGCGGCGTCAGCGCCGCGTTCTTCCCGCACGGCGTCGGCCACAGCCTCGGCATGGATGTGCACGACGTCCCGCACGCGAGCAAGCCCACGAACAACGACACGATTGGGAACGAGCTCGGCCATTCGTCCTTCTACCAGTATCTGAGGCTGAGGCTGCCCCTCGAGGAGGGGATGGTTGTAGTACGTCGTCCGCAAGTTGCGGTCCCTGATTTGTCGAATTGATTGTCGTTTTCTGCAGACGGTGGAGCCTGGCTGCTACTTCTCTCCACATCTTCTGGCGTCCGTTCGGGACTCGAGGCACATTAACCACGAGGTGCTGAAGAAGTATGAGAGTGTCGGGGGTGTCCGCATTGAGGACGTTGTGCTCATCACCGCTAACGGCCACAGGAATCTGACCACTGTCAGGAGCGACGTTGCATGGGTGGAGGGTGTATGCTCTGGAGAACTCTGAGCTCGGAATGAACCCATAACTTGGACTGTACGTTAGTGTAATTGAAGCAATTAGTCACTGTACTTTGTGCAGCATCTAATGTCCTCGCTGTCACCAGCTGGGCAAGTACTTTGAGTCAGAAAATCGCCCGAAGAATTAGGAGCGCAGAGATTGAGAGTCGCGCTAACAGTGCGGATTGGGCTCTATGGGGTGTATTGCAGGTAATATCTAGGTGTAGTGTCGAATAAACAGATGTATCGCAGGGATGCCAGCTACCGGAGCGAACTGAGATATTTCTGTCAAAAACAATCAACACTGAACTCTCCTCGAAAAGGAACCACCTTACCGACTCGGCGTCCGCAATAGCAGCCTTGAATGCGCTGACATGCGACCAGCAGTCGAGCGGCGTACTTGGATTCGACCTTTGGCAAGGATCAGACCGACGCTTTCACGACATGCAAAGGAACGCACTTGTAGCACTCAAAAACAGCGTCACCCGCAGCCTTCACCTCCGGCAGATCCTCCAGCGACTTCCGCGCCTGGTACTTGTCCACCTTTGCCCTCACCTCCTCGAGGTCGCCCATCACCGTCGCACTGCTCTTGATCTCTAGCTCGCCGCCCTCCTTCGCCTCTCCGCCTTCACTCTCGCCGTCGGCTTCGGTGCGTGACGAGAGACCCGCGCGCTCACGGTCGAGATTTTCCTTCTCAAGCGCGCTCTCAATCTGCTCAATGACGCTCTGCTCCTCCTGGCGCAGCCGCTCGAGCTCCGTATGCATGCGCGCGCGAATGTGCGCATCTAGGCTCGTCTGCCGCTCGGGCGTCGTCTCGGAGGACTCGGCACGCGAGGCCAGCTGGTCGACGACATCCTGCGAAAACTATATGGGGCCGAGGATGGGCAGCCGTCAGCTTTTCTCCCTGGACACATAACATGCGTATTTCTGCGCACCTGAACGGGAGTCTCGTTTCTGAAGACGACGTCGTCGTCGCCTGGTTTTGACTGGGATGCGCCCATCGTGAGTTGTCCAACGTCCGCGTCCGGCCGCGCGCGGATGCGTCCTCTGTCGGAATCGGAGCTGCACGTCACCGTCGGCCCGGCATCGTCAAATGCGGCCAACCCGGCCGGTCCGTGTTCTTTATTTTTTTCCTCCCGAACCCCGAACCTGACAATGACGACACCTCCGTAAAACATACTTCATGACATTTGCGATACAGTTGCATGGCGAATTCTGTCTGTTTGATACATACGCTCTGTGTCATCCGATCTCGCCGCTCGTTAACCGTTGAACACGACAAGTTCGGAACAGCTCGGAATCTCCAGCGTTCTTTCGAGTCGCTACCAGCAACGTCTTGTTCTCACATCGGTCCGCTTTAGATGTGCGCTTAGACACAATCCTCTGCGCTGATTGGCACGTCATGAAAATATGACTTCTCGTATCCTCCTCGCCCAGCGGCGTTCTTGATCTAGGCGACTAGGCGACTGGACCACTCCGACCCGAACTCGAATCACAGTTCCCTCTCTGAACGTAGCTTCCTGCGGTGCCGCACTCCTGGCAAAGACGTCTGCATTCAATACGCACACGCACATGAGGCATCCGCAACCAACAGTTATGTTAAGTTGCCGGGCCCCATTTCAATACCAGGTGTACCTCAACGGCAACTCTGTCATTATTGGCCAGGGGCCTCATGGATGAACCGTTCGTCAGCCAATCACCCAATCTTCGCTCCGGAGTCTGGACCAACAAGCGTCTATTCGTACGTAATAAATTTAGCTCTGTCCGCCGGAGACGAACAGGACGTCATTCCGAATTCCTGATCCACCAGTCTCCTGCGGCCGCCCGAGCAACAAACCAGAGCGCTTACTAGAATGGAGTATAGATCACCGACTTCAATGTAGCGCTCGCCTAGTTGGGGAAACCGAGGCAATTATAGGACTGATATGAAGGCCAAAGTCCGATTGGCAAACCTAGTAGAGCTGCATTGGTTTCAGTACACCGGTTTAAGGCTTTGCCTTTCGCTTTCTCACTTTGAGGCGGTGACATCGGACTTCGTAGGGCTGATTCAAAACCCAGGCGTCGTCGCAGCACCTTGTGGGTGTCCATGATCCGATTACTCACTTCTCTGGTTCATTGCGGCTCGTCTAGCACGAAGTCAATGTCGCAGCCCATTCGTTGACACCTACCAGCGTATTATGTCACCGGAGGACCTTGCATGTGGAAGACCCACTCTTGAGAGTCTTCTCGGACCAACCAAGGTACGGCTTTAGTTGTGCCCGACCGCGTCTTCTCTCGCTCGAGTTGCCAACGGTACGAGTGGACGTGTTCCCAAGCCTCATCAGATCCCATCGTTCCCGCTCACAGCTGTCCCAGGCTCTATTATGGAAATTCTCTCCGTCCGCCACGATCCAGCTGTGCGGCATCAGAACTAGCCACACTGAACGCCTTCTCCAGTCTCGTGACTAGACGTATACTTTATTAACAATCAACCAGGGTCAGGGATCTCCTTTCGAACTTCGCTCAAATTACTGCGTACTAATCTCACTTCCCATCCTCCAGGCACCCCACCTCCCCCGCACTGTCATAACGATGCACAAAGTCTTCTACATACGGGAGGTTGTCGATATGATTTTTCGGGAGGTCCGCGGTTGCCCCTGGACAGAGCAGCATCCTACGCGGGCGCTCGCGATTCTGGCGAGAACATGTCGTGCTTTCCACGACGTTGCCCTAAACATGCTTTGGGAAGAGCTCGACGACCTTTCTCCGTTGATTCGCTCGTTACCTGAAGACGTGTACTCTAAACAGTCAAGCAGCAAGGTCACCGTAAGTACAAGTCAAGAATCGTTCCCGGACTGCGCGCTTACTATTCACGACAGGTCTACCGCCTGAGGAAAGCTCTCAACCGCAGCCACTGGGCTACGTTGATGAAATATGCTCGGTTCGTCCGTAGGCTGGGGTCAACACGGAGCGACGACGTCGTAGTCGACGTGCCGTTCATGCAAGCGCTATGTCACCCGCCGTCAAGTGGGCCACTTCTCGAAAACCTTCGCCACATGTGCTGGACAGACAGTCGGCGAGAAGCATTCCCTCTCATCCGGTCTATTGCGGGCTCGCGACTCGCCTCTCTCCGTCTAGAAACGTATCCCATGCGCTGGGGCTCTTCCGAACTCAGCATCCTTACCACCCTTCCGCACGTCTTCCCCTCCATGGAGCTCGTGTTTATTCCCGAGCCCTACAACATCCATGAGGCCGCAGAACTCACCGAAGTCCTTTGCGGTTGGAACCAACTCCAAGTCGTCACCTGCGGAACGCTCACCACACGCGCAATATTACACTTTGCCCGGCTAGCCTCGCTCTTCAAGCTCTCCTTCCGGATGCCCGAGACGCCACCTGACTTTTCGGTCCTCTCCATCGACACGTCGGCCTTCCATGCCATGAAGGAGTTTATGATTGACACCCCAGACATCGACGTCGTCGAGCTGTTCCTCTGCCATCTACACGTCGCGCTTGAACAGATGTCCGTATATCCTGCGTCAAGGACGTCGTCTTCCTCTCTACACTCCTACTTTACGACCCTCGCCTCGCACTCTTCGGTAGAACACATGTCCTCCATCGTCGTGCACCAGGTATTTGACATAGAACCGCCACGACCTACTCCCGACCCCCACGCCATCACCCTCCAGACTCTATTCCCTCTGACCAGCTTCCCAAACCTCACCTCCATCTTCATCGACATCGACTGCCCCATCAACCTCTCCGACGCGTGCCTAGACAGCCTCGCCAGCGCCTGGCCACACCTCGAATCCCTCTCCCTCAACGAAACCGGCGGATGGCGCCCCCCACCCGGCCACAACACCATCGGCATCACCCCCCACGGGCTCCTCCCCCTCCTCTCCAAATGCCCACACCTCACCTCCCTCTCCCTGCACCTCACCACCGCCTCCCTGCCCGCCTCCGTCTCGTGCGCCCAGCGCCCAGGGCGCGGCACCGCCAACGCGCGACTCGACGCGCTCAACGTCTGCGACTCGCCCATCACACACACCGCCGTCCCCGCCCTCTCCGCCTTCCTCTCCGACGTCCTCCCGAACCTGCACAACATCTTCGCATGGCACTCGGACGTGCTCGTCGCGCACCCCGACGCCGGCTCGTACCGCGCCACGTGGCGCGAGGTCGAGCTCAGCGCGCGCAACTTTGCCCGCGTCCGCGAGCAGGAGAAGCGCTGGCACTCTGGCGAAAGGGCCAGTGTCGATGCGCCGTCGCCGCCGTGTTCTTCAGCATCAGGGTAGCGACACGGCTGTTCCTGCCAGTGGTTATCTACAGTCCTTGGAGAAATCCCACTAGTGTCAACGGACAAATATACCATCCGATCCAAGTTTTCATGAATGGACAGCTGCAGTCCTCCTCATCATGTAACATGTACCTCACCAACTCTGCATTGCTGTACTTTTATGTCGACTCTTTAGAACACTGGAACGCTTTAGCTTCACTTGAGATTATTTACTTGTTAGCAGTTGTGCAGGTTGTTGCAATTGCGCCGACGCCTTCCGTAGCGATCATAGTGCTTATTGTCTGGTTGTACGTTTGTGCCGTAATATATGTTGCCTTTCCTTTGGGACTTTTTCTCTTTCTTTTTGTTTAATGAGTCTTTGTTCTTGCCACTGGGTGTTTGATCGTGAGCTTTAAATTTGCTTGAACTTGAAGGTGCTCTGGTGGGTTAGCCGGCGTGGTGGCTTTCTTCGAGTTGCTGACTAGTGATGGCCCCTACTAATTCGGCTTGATCCTGTCAAGCGGACCCATGCTCAAAGCTGAAGTCCACTGGAGAGTCAATGTACGAGCGAGCAAGGGTTTTGTCTATGATGATCATAGCCTGTGCTCCAAATACGTTCCGTAAACCCTAGAAAATCCTATGCAAATGTAAATCTGACTCCCTATGCAATTTGATTTGTAAAGTGACTATGAGGCGAATAAATAATGCATGTACGAGTGAGCTTGGAGGGTTTTGTCTATATCATAGTCTGTTCTCCAAATTTGTTCCGTAAACCCTAGAAAATCCTATGCAAATGTAAATCTGACTCCCTATGCAATTTGATTTGTAAAGTGACTATGAGGCGAATAAATAATGCATCCAAGGACAAAAAGCAACAACGCCATCGATACCACGTCAAAAAAAAAGCGTATCCCCCAAATTCACACTAACCAAGCCAACCGCGCACAAGACAAGTGACGAGCAAACGCAAACGAGCGATCACAATCGACAAGGACCAAATTGTACTATACTAACTATGTGTTTATATACGTATATGTGAGGTATGATGTAAGTTATCAGTTGAAACAGTAAACAGTAAAAACAGCGACAATGAGTGACCGGCGACCAAGAGGTGATGCATAAAACGATATCGGAGGAATGATCAAATAAAAAATGAGAGTGACGGCGGCCAAGAAGCTCTATATGACAGCAACAGCAAAGACAAAGAACGAACGCGCTGAATGAATGTGGATGTGGTGTGATGCGCTGACTCCTACCGCTCATTCACAAGACCAGCAAGATACGCAAGAACGGCAGGGTCAGACGATAACGCAAGACGCTTGCAACGGAATAAGGGCAAAGGATGGAGAAAGAACAAGAACGAGAACCGCAAGACCCAACGCCCCTCAAAACGGGAACGGCTCGTCCGTAATAAACTCGTCGTCCGAGTCCATCTCCTGCCCATGCTCCACAAGATACATCGTCCTCCGCCCCGCAGTCTTGTTGTCATCGTCCGGATACACCGACGCGTCGTCGTCGTCATCCTCCTCTTCCTCCTTCTCATCGCCCCTCCCATCTCCTCTCTCAAACTCCTCGCCCTCCCGACGATCAGCGTGCCCGTGATCATAGTCGTCCCCGCGCTCATCGCCGTCCCGCTCGTATATCCCCTCGTCCCGCTCATCCAGCTCATAAAAGCTATCCCCCTCGTCAAGCGTCAGCATCGACGTATACCTGCTCTCTGGATACGCCGACGATGCCTTGCTCTCTCTCCGCGAATACGACGCAGACATCGACGTCGCGCCCGTATACCGGCTCTCGGGATACCCCAACGAGTGTCCCGACCCGGACGACCCTTCACCCGACCCAGATGCCGACGTCGATCTCGACAACGACGACTCCGCCGTCCGCGTCGACTCCCGCCGAGGCACAGCTGCGCCGGCACTAGCACCGACACGAGGAGGTGCGCGCACCTGCACACTCGGCACAACATCAAACTCATGCTCCGTATACGCAGGCGGATCCGACAATGGCAGCGACCCGCTCCACCCGTAGGGCGCGTCCAGCGGCGCCGAATACTGCTGCCTCCTCCCCTGCCCCTGGCCCGCAGACCCAGGCGGCACAGGCAACATACGCTGCGTGCGCATCTGCGTCTGCTGCGCCGGCGCGCTCCTCGGCGGCGCCAGCGTATCGCTACTCTCATTCCCAATCCCACTCCCACTCCCATCCAACACGCTATCCGGACGCAGCATCGCGCTTTGCGGCGCCGACGTCACACCACTGCGTTTACTGTGCGACGCCACTGACGCCATCAGCGGCTGCGACTGCACGGACATGGGCGACGGCGGAAGCTGCGGCAGCGGCGAGCTCGGCGGGGGCATCTGCGGCGGCGGCAGTCTCGGGCGCATCGCGGACCCGCTCCCTCCCCCTCCTCCACGGGGAGACGACACTGCCGGCGCGCCTCCCGCCGTGTTTGGCGGGACCAGAATGGGGACAGGCGGAGAGATACGCGAAGAGGATGGCGCAGTGGGCGAGGACTTTGTCCGCTGGCGAGGTTCGGCAGGGGGAACAAGAGATGCGGAAGTAGAAGGCGGAGACGCGTGGGGTGAACGCGTGGACGAGAACGACGGCGCGAGCCTGTCCTCAGACCCTGGACGCGAGTGTGTCGGGAACGAAGGGCGGCTGGCTGCAGGCATCTCCGGTGACGGGCGCGAGAACGGATCGCTCTCCACAGAAAGGTTGGGCGAGCTCGGCTGCGGTGGGCGCAACCGTGGGTCTGCAAAGGAGGGCAAAAGAGGAAAATTGGGGAGGGGAGGAATAGCATCGGGCTTGTTCTTGCGTCTAAAAAACGACATCGCGCCCTTGCTCTTGCCCTTTTTCGAGATGTAGGCACCGTCGGACAAGTACCCTTTCTCGCCATCCGTAGAGGTACCTTCATTGGAGCCTCTTTTAGACTTGACAGGGGACTTGGGCTCCTTGTCCTTGGGCTCTTTGGACTTTAATAGTTCCTTCGACGCCTTGGACTTCAATAGTTCCTTTGACGCTTTGGATTTTAATGTCTCCTTAGACTTGGTTCGCCCTTTGAAGAAACCCCGAGAGCTCGTCAATCCCTGTCCATCGCTCGTATATCCACCTTCCGGTTGCTCAGTCTTTTGATCGGGCGCCAGCTGGCTCTCCCAAGGCGTGATGCTATTGGTAGGGGACAGAAGAGACGCCTCATCGAGCGGCCGTGAGGCTGCCGAGCGCGTGGAACTGTCCTCACTGTCGTGCTGACGCGTCGAGAACTGTGAAGAGAGTGCCGGGCTCGAAAGGGGGATAAAGAGCTCGGGGGAGATGTCTTTGAAATGGATGCCGTGTGATTTGCGGCGCGAGTCGGCGGTGGGAACGTCGGCCGTACTGGTCGGAGGAGAAGCATACGGATTCGCAGGTACAGTCAGGTGGGACAAAAAGGGCGGTGGCTTTGACGGGGTACTCGAGTCGGATGAGGGAAGGTGGGAGGGAGTCAAGGGCTGGCCAGCGGAATATCGCGATCGTTAGCGCCAGTGGCACCTAGATTAGCACGCGCTGAAACAGACATACCGAGTCCTGTCCCTCGTTCTCTCTTTCCACGGTACGTCGATCCTGGGTGTGCAGTTCCTCCTCCTCCTCCTCTTCGATCTGGCCCTCGAGTGGAGCATTGAATATCCAGTTCGCGACGGTGGAATCTGGGGTTATACCGAGCTCGAGAGCGGTCTCAAAGACAGAGGCGCGAACGGCATTAGAGTCCCTGTTGAGATTGGAGTTGCCTGGTTTCTGAGGGCGACGCCTCATGGATGGGCGGGCACCGGGACGCGCAAGAGTCATGGCGGATAAAGGAGGGAGTGGGTGAAAAAAGAAGGGGAAAAAGAGAAAGGAATGGGGTTGATGAGTTGAGGAAAGCTACTTGTGCGGAGCAAGGACGTGGTAAAAAGATAGATTAAGAGCGGATGGTTAGTAAAGCCCTGGACAGTGGTTGACCATGCGACGAGTTGAGACAACTGAGTGTCAGAGTAGGTGGGTAAGAATCACAGGCACAGCAGGGTCGCCGTGATGGACGTGAATGGCAGTGGGGGGAGAAAAGAAAAGCAAGGGCCAGCAAAGGGAGGGAGGCTGCAGGTCAATTATGGTGTCTTCGATGCCCGACCCGTCTGTTGTTCTTCGGTTAACTGGCGCCTGTTCTATAAAACTTGTCTATGGCATGTTCTCGACCGACCGGCCGCTTTACGCCTAAACAGGCCAATCGGTCGCCTCCTCCGCGTGGCTCCATCCCGCTCGATCATCCCGTCCGCCCCCCGACGACACACAAACCGTCATTTCTCCGTCATCAGGTCTTGCGATCGCCCATTTTTATGCGTCTAGTCCCTCGGCACCACCCTAAAAATGTAGTTGTGTGTCAGCAATCTTTACATTCATAAATTCCACCCATGTTTCACTCCGTCAATCAAGGCTTTGCAAAGTAATACGTGCCGCTCCTCACTTTCTTCTCAGTCACTTTTTTGGCTCGCCGCCCTGCCCTTAATGCGGATCCCCCTGCCGCGTCTCAGTCCGACGGCATCCCACTCGTCTCGACGTCTTCCATTTCGTTGTAAGCCATCAAACTCACCTAGTTTGTCACTACGATCTCCTACAGTGACACTCCATACCAGGCAAGCACAAGCTTCGCCAATAGTTGTTTCCTTCATTGAGAACGGAAAGAAAAAGAAGCTCGGAGACCGGCTTCCCGTCCATGTGCGCGCCTTCGGACGTCTAGGAAACCGAGCTTCCGTATCCGAGAACGGGTGGCAACCGGCTCGAGCTCATAAACCTTGCACTGATTATCCCGGGCTGTTTCATGGCCCTCATCCGGGCCCGATGAACTTCCCGATGTCAAATGTCAAACGACCGCACCGACTCTTCCTATCGATCCGATTACTGTAACGTGCGTGACAGCAAAGGGAGCTCATTGCAACGACACGCTGCCTGCTGCGTAGGCATACTCAGATAAAATGCGTGTCATTGTCCTCGTAAGAGGTATGTTCATCATTATCCTCAGCTCAAATTCATCAGTTATATATACCAGGTGAATTAAAGCCAGAAATATTCAGGATACACACATGCGTCCAGCAATACTGCTATCCGCACGCTGACTCTCCCTATCTTCAACATGTGTGGACAAGTAGCTGTCTTCCTGAGAAGTCGTCTCATGCACACGACTCTAGTGTTTCCTAATTTTCAAGTGTTAGACCAAGCAGCCTAGTTGGTGAGCGCGTGGAGAAAGGTAGTGCAACGACGGAAGTTCAATTTGACTCGAACTTGACCCATCTTTCACGCCATGTTCTCATTCACAATTGCTAATATGGTTTCTCATGGATGCATTCTGTTTCAGTGAATCCGAGCCCACTTACCTCGCACAATCGTCGTGGCTCCTTTTCCACCGCAACGATGTGCTAGACGATCTTGTCCAGGGAAAGCGAGATGCTGACTTCCTCCTCCGACCGCCTACATCTGCCCAAGTATATGCCTACAGAACGATGAACAACAAACTCGCAAGCAGTGACCCCGAGGAGAGATGGACGTGTAAAAGTTCGTGCCTATCCAGCTATGACCTATGTACTCCAGACCCGGCAATATATCCGAGTGGACCGTGATGAGGCTCTCGTGAGGTCTCTGCGAGGGCGATCTCACTGCCTTTCACGCCGTATCTTTGCATCAACCGCCGCCAGCACATTTCAGACCCATACCTCCATGATTGAAACGATCCAAAGGGAAAGTTGAAGGTGGAAACCTAGTATTTCCTAAAGCTGCGCTCGACCTATTCGAGCGCTGGATCAGGTTCAAAGGATAGTATACTTAAGGGACGGAGGTCCATCTGATGCCCGTGGTTGCTGAGGCGGACTTGCTTGCGCAAAGCCTGTTTTAGAGAAAGGTATTCTCGGAAACCGTTGGAGCGGCGGGTGGATGCCTTCGACTGGCGGCTTTGGTATGATGCAGATGGACCACATGCACAAGGCTTCATCTTCATCTTTGGACTGTTGTGATACCCATTTCTTCTTCATATCATTCTCCATTGAACTTTTGGTTTGATGATGATCAACCTTTGCAATAGCGCCACATTGTCTCAGAATAGATTCAAACACTTACAACTCACGCTTGGTGCCTACTTTCCGGGATAATGCATTTGTATCTCATGAACCTTTTTACTCACTTAGCTGCTGTGGAAATATTGGATTATCGTCTCAAGCTGAACCGTTTCAAAAAAATGATCGATCACGGTATGAAGGTCGAATTCCATTGTCAACGTGTGCCCTTGGTAATCCGAAATACTATGTACATAAAGTGTTCATTAACTCTATTGGAATGCGGGGCTCGTCTCTTGCCTGTGATGGGCACGAACACGGCGTCTCGCATTTCGGCACGGCATGGTACAAGGTTTCCCACCTCATATGCTCTTCGTAATGCATAGGCTCCTCCAAGCCCGATGCCACCAGCCTTGTAACATATTAGCGCCAATAATCGTGGATATAAAGATCTCGCTCACCAGTCGCCATTTGTGAGCCACATCGGTGGATGTCCTCCCCTGGCTCGCATGTCGTGAAATCGATTCTTTCCCGACTTGCAGCGCTCAGCCCTGGTGGCCGCCTGCATACAGCCGGCCTTTTCCTCAGCGGAAAAAGAGCGAAGCACCGTCGTCTCATGGTGCAGCCCTGGAAACCTGAGACCAGCGTCAGGGGAATCTAGAATACAGTTCAAGATCTCGCTCAAAGTGGTCCCTCCGCGAAACACGATGAACTCTTCTTCCCACGGGCCGGTGTATACGAAGTAGAGGCCGCCTTTAGACAGAAGCGTGTGACTGGTGAAACCATCAAGAATTAGCTGAACTCGACCGAGAAACTCGTAGGAATGTGAAAGCTTGAAGGCAAGATCGTCCTTGAACGGGATGTCTTCACAAAAGTGGCTCCTGACACAAAGTGATTCGCGGTCTCTCCAACGCTCTGAAAATCTGGGAATCTGGGAACTGGAAAGATCAAGGATGCGTTCCGGGAGTAAACGCTGTTCATAGTCGAAGGCGTTCATATCAATAGGGCGGTTCCACTTTGAGGGAATAACGTCAAACGGTAAGCGCGTCTGCGACAGACTTAGCGTACAACGTCCAAGAGAAGTTTAAAGCGACTTACAGTCGAAGCCAGCCTCTGAACTTCGCTTAGTGGAATCAACGGCATAGTGTCACATTCAAAAAGATATGCGAGTGGGGAGCCGACAAGGTCGATGACGGTAATCTCTCCGGCCAGGTTACCAACAGCAATAATACCCGACGTATCATCGAAGGCAAGTTGCGGGAGTGCAGCCAAGGTAGGCAGATCATCGGATGGTTGGACTTCCACCCGCTCAATATACGGCGACTTAGAGTGTTTAAAAAGAGAGATCTCGAAACAATAGGAGTCGTCCACCCAAAGCACCTGAGATCCGGACGACCCAGCAGTCAAGGACATAGCACATGAGGCAGTAACTTTGTCGGGATCTGAGATGGAATAGCACCCACTCGCGTCTGAGTCCAGGCTGCGCCGCAGCGTGCATTTCCAAACACCAGCTTTTTCGAGCTCCCCTGGATAATCCTCTGTTGGATAAAAAGGTTTGATCCAGGAAAGCTCGGATGGTGTAACCATCCTATCGGAACAAAGGGACGGGAGATTCACGGGCTGTATGTCCTTGAAGAACGAGACTTCCTCCACTTCACCGCACATCAAAGTAGAAAGGGGTAAAATCTGAATCATGTGAGGGGGAATCTCTGATGAAGGAAGCGAGTAAAGTTTGACGTTAACTGTGCCTACGGTCACGAGGAGGCTATCCCAGATGCAAGCCTTGAACCGGGTTCCCTGATGTGAGCGTGAATTAATAAATATTAGCTGCGGATAATCTACGATTTGCTCACCTTTTCGTCTGGTACCTCCTCGAGTGCGTAGAAGGTCCCCGTTTTCCAGAAGATAAGATGGGGAATAGCAACATTCTCCTTCGTTCCGCAAATAACGAGATCATCGTGTAGGAGCATGACGTCGGTATACCCTGCTAAACTCCGAACCTCACCGAAGAACTGTCTCCCGTCTAGTTCACACAGGGCGAGGACCTGTAGAGTTGGAAGCCTTCAACAAAGGTGAATGTGTGACAGATAAAGTCAGAGGGAAAGTGTACCGGGTATCTACCCCCACTATCACACACAACCGTCCATCCCGGATTTCGGCTTCTCCACTCGTGACAGGCCCAGGCAGATAGCATCCCGTAAGCGGGACCAGCCCATTGGTCCCAAGAGCCGCCAAGTCGTAAATCTCCAAATTACTGCATAGAGTGTCCGACGAAGCCACGAGGAGAAATCGTGACTCAACTAGCCTGAGCCATGTCACCGAGCGCTTGAGATCCAGTCGCCAGACTGACTTCATCTTGATGGAATGGTTTGTCCATTCACGACAGAGCCAAACGGCTCGACAAGTGATCGCTTCAACCTCCTTGTAGGTCAAGCGCTCGAAGTCATGAGCAGGCCAAGGAGGAGGGATATGAGCCGTATTAATCAGTTCATGTAGGAGTGCAATCCATAAGTGTTTGTCGCATGTAGCATCTTGAAGCCATTTGCAGGTCTGTATCATCGCATCACAGATTGTCAGCACTAAGCCAGAATCACGTCAAGAGAATACCTTACACTTCGCAAGCTCAGCACTGTGAATATGTTTGTGTGTCGGACTATCTGGATAAAAAGTTCTTGAGGTATTCCTGTCCAGCGCGTTCTCATTGCTGTATGCTGTAAACTGTTGAGCGAGGTCGAAACGACGTCCGCGTCAAGTCTGACAGTGCACAGAGTGACCGGCGTGACTAAGGAATGGTGTCATCTACTCACGGGTTTCAGCTTATCTTCAGTCTTGAACTGCTCGGATGTGTTTAACTGGCGACCCCTGTCTTTTTGTGACGCGTAGTATCCGTCTTTGTATGCTCGCACGTGTTATGTACTTCCCGCTCGATCATCCCGTCCCCTCCCCGACAACACACAAACCGTCATTTCTCTGTCATCAGGTCTTGCGATCGCCCATTTTTATGCGTCTAGTCCCTCGGCACCACCCTAAAAATGCAGTTGTGTGTCAGCAATCTTTACATTCATAAATTCCACCCATGTTTCACTCTGCCAATCAAAGCCTTGCAAAGTAATCCCTGCCGCTTCTCGCTTTCTTCTCAGGCACTTTTTGGGCTCGCCACCCTGCCCAATGCGGACCCCCCTGCCGCGTCTCAGTCCGACGGCATCCCACTCGTCTTGACGTCTTCCATTTCGTTGTAAGCCATCAAACTCACCTAGTTTGTCTCCTACAGTGATACTCCATACCAGGCAAGCACAAGCTTCGCTAATAGCTGTTTCCTTCGCCAAGAATAGAAAGAGAAAGAAACTCTGAGACCGGCTTCCCGTCCTGGTGCGCGCCTTCGGACGTCTAGGAAACCGAGAACGAGTGGCAGCCGGCTCATAAACATCGCACTGATTATTCCGGGCTGCTTGATTGCCCGAGCCCGAGTCCGATGAACTGCCCGACGTCCAATGTCAGACGACCGCAACGACCATTCTTGCTATCGATCCGATTACCGTAACGCTCTATGTCTACCAATGAGGTAAGGCCGCGCAGCAGCAAAAGCCCGCTACCGTATGGTGTTACCCCAAATATTTCAAGTCGTGTCCAAAAACATGCGGGAAACACCATCATATCATATTTAGGCAGGGCTAACAATGTTATTCTAACAAAGGAGTATACGACTAGTTAGCAGCAGATGAACGAGTTACGAGTTGTAACAGAGGTCTTCTTCTTGATAGGGGAAGGGGAAGGAGAATGCACAATATCATCAGCCTTACACTTACCCTTTCCAGAAGATGAGCCGATGCTCATGAATGCATTGCTGATAACTGCAAATTCACAACTAAATACACTGGTAGATCCAAAAAAGAGTTGACAAATGTTAGAAGCTATGTCATTGGAACTAAGTTCTAGGAGGTCCTTATTGTTATATGTCACATTATCATGAGTCAACCCAACAGAACGTATAGTAGTATCTACTGGCATATCGTCTGAGGGTGAGCCACATTGACTAGCATCCGCTCGGACAGGCAAAAGTCCATGGTCCGCATGAACAGGCAAAAAATCGAGATACGCTTGAATGACTATTAACAGAGATCGACTGATTGGAAAGGGTGGAAGGACCTGGGTCCCCGTTTGAAGGAGTGGGAGTACATAGGCGTGAACATTGAACCTCGATCTAACCTTGAACGTTGAGTACACCCACTGGCGTTGTAGCGGAACTTAAATATTTATCGAAATGGTAATAAATTAAAGTCGGAGCTGTAAAAATCACGTGACACCACAAGAGCAAAAATTTGGCGGGAGTCTCGGTAACACGAAGTTGCGGTAAGACCCACTACCTAAGGTAGCGGGAATGATGGAACTCTAACACATTGCATATTGCAAGCCACGCAAGCATGTCCGAGATAAAACAATGTGTAATTGGCCTTATAAAAGGTGCGTTCATCGTATCCTCAGCAAGAACTCTTCAGGTGAGTTAAAATCAGAAATGAATCAGGATGCATACATGCATCCAGCGATGCGACTATCAATACGCTGACGCTCCCTATCCTCAACTTATGTGTGGGCAAGTAGATGTGCTCTTGAGAAGTCATCTCACACACGCCTCTAATGTTTCCTAATTTTCAAGTTTCAGATCAAGTAGCCTGGTTGATGAGCGCGTGGAGAAAGACTATGCAGTGACGGAAACTCAGTTTGACCCGATGTCCCATCTTTTGCTTAATATTCTCATTTCAATGCCAATGTGATCTCTCATGAATGCATTACGTTTCAGGCGACTGGATCCGAGCCTAGCCTCCTGCCTCATAAATTTTCGCGGCTCCATTTCCAGCGCTGATATGTACTCAACGATCATGTCCAGGGTAAGTGCAATGCCGATCTCCTCCTCCAACCACCTATATGTCTTCCTAGGTGTATGCAGACTGAACGAAGGACAACATACTCATATTCAATGACCCCGAGGAAAGGTGGATGGGTATAAGTTCACGCTTATTCAGCTATGACCTGCTTCAGGCCCTCCCTCGCGAGAGTACTCAGTGGACCACGGTGACCGGGCTTTCGTGAGGTCACTCGGGGAGCAATGTCATCTTTCACGCTGCATCTTCACATTAATTTAAACCAACACGTTTCAAATTCAGTGCCTATATGAATAGGTTGATCCAAGGAAACACCAGCAGATGTAAAACGCCCTTAATTAGGTCAAATTCGGGGACTACTAGTGTTCTGTTCCGGCGATCTCAATGTCTGATGCATAGTACTACTCTACTAAGGTCTCATCTTACTTATAGCGTACTAAGAAAGTCACTATCTCCTTGATGAAACAACGGCATTCTCGCCGCGAATGCTGATCGGCGATTCCAGTAGATGTAGCATGGCCTGCCAGACTCTATGTTCTAAGGCTATCCAGAAAAAAACGCGGAACTCTGCGCAGCTTTGCAGGCCTAACATCAGCAAATCATCAGCGCAATGGAGATTATTGGTGAGAAGTGTGCAACGCCATAGTCCAAAGGCAAACATTAATAGGTGTGTTTCATCACTTGTTCATCACGCTAACTTGGTTGTGATCAACTCCCCACAGCTTCACAAGTTCTCGAAAAAGACTACTTACAATATACGCCCCGCAGACACTGCAACTTCGCCTCGAGGGCTTCAAGCAGATAAGATTTCGTCCTTTTACGCTGTTCTGTGGGCCTGTGCTCGGATTGATCGAGCGCAGCTGTTGAAGAGACTAGGTATGATGTATGCGCCTTTCTGGGCCCTGCAATGCACCTTGCGCTATCCTTGCCCGCCTGCATATATCTGTTGATTTGTGCCACTGATGCCTCGCAGTGAACAGACCCGGGATGCATGGGCTCCGAACAAGATGGTGATCAAATGGAATCCGTCGTGGCTGATTTCGGTTTGAAGTATTCGTGGAAGCTGTCGCGAACTATAATTACCCGTCCAGTACCAGTACAACAGATGAACATATACGACAACAGTGCCGCAGGGAGCTCGCATAAAAGGCCAGCCTCGAGAATACACATCGGCAGAACCATTGGTCCCACTAATAAGGGAAACATCAATAATGCCTTACATCTCAAACTCTCCGGCATTGATACCCTATCTCATTCAATATCAAGCGCAAAACTATCTTACAGGTGGGAAATTTTACCCATTTCGAAGCATTTCACATCTACTAAACTACATTGAATGCCGCAGTATCGCTTCTCACAGTGGTGGTCTATGATTACAGTCAGTCGAAACTTGCTTTGTCGAATCATTTCGTAATTCTAACTTCTAAGTAGTTCTCAACCTGGACCAAGAGGTGCGATATAAACATTCTACAACCAGCGGAGTGCCCTCTGAAGTAGGGAAATGTGCCAGGTGTTGTTGATATGGGTGCGAAACTTCAATTTCAATGTAGTCAGCAACTGCATGATAACACCATGATAATATTCTTGGTCTTATTTCCTTAGCAATATAAGAAATCTGTACTCACGTACTGTTATATCTTTGTGAGTGGTCCGTGTCACCGTGGTCATCTGTCCAAGCCGTCTTAACACTTGATGCATTTGCTTAGCTTCGCTATATTGGCCTCCTACCTCCAGTGTACGTCACGAAGGAGACGTTCTTATTCACAACCATTGATATTTTTCCCTTTCATCGATATAGTATCGTCATTGGTTAGTAAATTTCCACGTATGTTCTGCATGAGTATATGTGTCAACTTTACCCAGTCAGTGACTTTCCTGTCAATCTATCAGACAAAGTGAGTGATTATTAGTACCAACAGTAAATATGAAGTACTTATTGCCGCCATTTGATAGGCGTGAGCATGCTTAAGCTTCATTTTTAGCTAGCTTGTCTCACTAACATCTGGCAACCTTGATATATGATATCCAGTTGTATGTCAAAACTCCACTAATATCTATTCAAATCTCACGAGTAGAAGGTACAATTCTGGACGTGTTGAACAACAATGCTCTCCCTGGCGTTTTGCTCATCCTCATCCAAGGTGGCACTAATAACTTCGGGCGAAACGTAGTAAAAACAGCTAAATCATAGAATTTCAGGCGTTATGTCCGTACGAGTCTGTGCACTCTACGAAAATTCAAAGAGAGCGACCCTGCTCCTCTTCAGTGTGTTTATGCTCTCACAGCTCTTGAGTATCTCCGTGACTGTTGTGTGGTCTTTGCCATCCTTTGGTTATATATGTAAGCCACATAAAGCGATGCTATAGTACCATTGACAGCTGACTACTCTGAGCAGATCAAGAAGCTATCTTGCTAGGTATTCAGCAATGTCTGCTTTTCTCCCCTGAAAACGCATCATTCGGACTTCTCAATACCGTAACCAATGGCGTCTCCTGTGTGTATGAGCTGTTACTCATGGTAATGCTTTTGTACCGCTCGGTGGTGTACTTGAGGGAGCATGGAAATGCCAATGGTTCAGCAGATTTTACCAGGCTAATCAAGTTGATGATGGGGCAAGGTCTGTTGTATTTCGTATGGTAAAAAAGTCACTTCGTTGTCTGGGATGCAAGTTCTTATCATTTGATAGGGTGTTCACAGATTTGTTCTTATCCATGTTATATAGCATCCCAGGTCTCAACAATGCGGTAAGCAACATAACTTTAACAGCAGTCGTCTATGAAGAACTGAACAAGAGATCGTACAATCTTAGGCTTCACAAACGGCATGGAATATTATTGTCGCTATCAGTTTTGTCGTGGACACCGGGTTGCTTTGCATGCTGGGGCCATGGATGATCCTATCCATTCGTCAGAACCAACTGACGCATTTGAACGGAGGGCCAAGCATGAACACAGGCACAATCAGCTCCGTCGCATTTCAAGGGCGCCCCCCACTGGCTTCTACTAGGACGTTGGAGGCCTCATCAAATGAGGAAGGCATTCAAGGGGGACACCACTGACGCTGATAAAGGTGTTAACATCTATCATGGGTATCAACAAGCTGGGTGCTGCAGGCATTTCAGACGCATGTACAACTATCGTTTGGTCACGTACCTATATTCTGAGGATTCAAAATCAGGACTTTACTTGTCCGAATCTCTCATAGTTATGCCCACCACCCTGTTTACCGCTCTCCCAAGCCCCGGATTAGAAGTCATTTGCTATGTCACGACTTAATCATTGCAGCCGTTCTTATTTATTTGTAACGCGTGTCATTGTGATTATGGATGAAATTCCGATCATACCTCCTTTTTCCGACCCAGCTTGTCCTAGGTCAGCCCAAGCACATGTAATTAGCCGATTTTGACTCATGCCTCTCTCCAGGTGTACCCTAGATAAAGCTGCATCAACATGATAAGTTCAGTTTCGCGTTTCCCTGATGGAAGTTTGCCAGTGGACTATCATTAATATTGTCGGCATGGCTGTGGACATTGGACTTTTTTGCTTGCTGGGACCATGGTTTATCTTATCCATTCGTCAGAACCATTTGGATCATCTTAATGGAGGGTCCAGCATGGATAGAGGCACACTCAGCACCGTCGCATTCGGAAGACGCCCGTCCGAAGACCTCAACGAGCCGTTGGAGGCCTCGGCAAATGAGGAAGCTCTTCAAGGGGAGCAGCACGGACCCTGATGAAGTGGTCAAAAATACCTGTCATAGAATATTGGCAAGCTAATTTGTTGCTGCGAGTAATGCAGACGTACAGCAATTTTTTACATACCTATAGAGCATTGAGAACCAGGACTTTAATTTATCTCATACAGTGATGTCCGCCTCTCGTCCCCTCCCTGACGTTGATTTTTCCTTTGCGACTCAGCCCATGTAAACGCTCTTCCGTGTATGTTATATTAGAACGCGTGTTCTAGTTATCAAAACCAGTACTTGATGTCGTTCGTCGATCGAATCCTTGAGCTGTGGATATATAGGAATTGCATGAACCGAAATACTTGTCGCCGATAGCGTATATCTCGATGAGCATGAAGGACGCATAAATGGCGTAGCCATACCCGTGATATCATGGATGATGTAGAGATCAGTCAAGACGCGGTTTACTTGGATATCGATCTAGGGCCTTGGTGCTTCCGCACTTGGCCAGTACGGCAAGGTCGTATCCCAAGGTGAGACATATGTGTACATAAATCGTAGGAGGAACTATCTCGTATCGAGCCACGGGACTCTCTTCACCTTTAGAATGGCGGCGCCGCCCTCGGCTTTCCCCGAATTTACTCAATTACAAACACTGTTTATGAGACTACGTACCCATCGTGCAGACAAGATACTGCTACCCTGGGACACCATGAAATACAGATGTCGATAACTCTATTGCAATTCCAAGTCATGCCCCGTTTACTGCATGCCGATTTAGTCAGAGAATCATCACACCAAGTTGAAAAGCAACACCAGAGTATTGATTTCAGGATATTAGAAAACACGCAATGCACTATAAAAGAACGACAGTGGCAGAGCACAAACGAACGTAGAGTAACTCGGAAACCAAGTCGCAGTCAGAAGTTTCGAAGATTAAGTAGAAGTCCAAAACCAGCTAGCTTGCAAAGTACCCATCTCGCTTAACATGCAAATATGCCCAGGTTGTCACAATACAACAGAGAATGACACGTATCCATCATCCCCAGCATACCGAGTCGAACATGCAGCTACGTAGCTCGCCTGTCATCCTCAGTCTCAGAGGTTGATGTTGATGGGCGAACAGCCGATGTTAACGAGGCCGGTCTGCAGCAATGGCAAACCTATCAGCATCCCAGCAAACACCGTAAATCAAAGCGCAAAACCACATACGAAGTCGTTGTTGGTGCAGCAAACGGGGTGCGAGTCGCAGTTCGACGACGAACCAAGCACCGGGATCGAAGAGCACTGAAGCCCAACGAGGAGACTGTCATTGTTGAGCAAGCCGTTGAGGAGGCCCAGCAGAACGAAATTATCGGCGGCGGCGGACTTGGCGGCCGCAGAGTGAGCCTGCGAAGCAATTTCCAGTATCAGCATCAAATGTTCAATCAAAACGAAAGTAGAGCACCATACCGGAACAACACTGTTGCAGCAGTAGGCAGGGCCGGTACTGCACTCGCCAGAGCCACTGCCCGAGGGAGCGGCGGCGACGACGAGCGCAAGGGAGATGATGGCAGCAGCACGAGCGAACATTATTGGTTATGAAGAGAGGGTGGTTGGTTTATAAAAGCTTGAAGAGCGAGGTGCGATGGCGAGAGCGAAGGGCTGGAGCTTGCTTGAGGTGAAGGGAATAAGAGCTTGGATACTGATCTCCTTCCCTCGTCTCTCCCCTCCTCTTTATACCTTTTTCGCCTCCTCGACGAACGCCTTCCAAGAAAGTATGAGCCGGCGAAGTTTCTAACGAGAACCCGGGCAGCACCACAGCCTTCAAAGTTCCATCTTCGCATCAAACTCCAAAATTTCAAACGCTCAACATCGCAAAACAGATGTCAAAACAAGACAAAGCCGACGGGCTCGATCCCTCGAAAACACGAGGCGAAAGTTCGGCCGCGCGTCCTTTCCGACGCGATGCGCCAAACACCCTCGAGCTCCAGATTCCATCGATCAATTTGCAGACGGAAGGCGTGCACCTGTCCACAATTTACCGTACTTGCCTTTCTGCCACACGCGCTCCTTCGCAGTTTTAGTCAGCGACATACCTTAACGCAGCGTGAGGCGCCCACGATGTGATGCGCGCTCCAACAGGCACGGCATCACCACGCTTCAAAATTTCAAAGACGTTGATTGAGGGCTGCAAAGAAGCAGCGGAAGTCTGTAGCAAGCATCAAAGTATCATGGAAGCGCATGTACTTCGTACGATACCCGCCCTAGCCCGCTATCCGCTGCGCGTGAATCCGAGAATCGTTATGGCATATTACCGCAAAAGAAGACATTAGTTGGAGGCCTAGAGAAGGGGCTGTGGAGTTCCAACAGGACGAAGATAATAATCGTGATCCGGCGTCGGGAGAGTCTCAGGCACAGAAAATTCCCGTACAGGCAGCTCCAAAGAGGGTCCAGCGGACTGATCAGAATAGCACTTTCATTACAGAGGGGGAGAGAGAGGCGGAAAAGAAGTCTGCAAATATGAGAAGGGTTGAGTCAGTTGCCTACACTTGACTCCACAACCTCCACGGTTTCGAGGGTAGGACTCGGAGCGTTGGGGCGACGAAGAGCATTCGGCAGAGCAGCTTCAGTACTAGTGTAAGGAGGTTCCTTTGATCGGAAGATGAAACAGAGCTTCTGCTCGGCATTCCCGGCCAGCCAGGCTAAAGACAGCAATAAGCAATCCAAAGCGGTAGGTTTGAGAATTTGAGAGTTTGAGAATTTGAAGTTTTGTGGATGCTAGATTATGGCAAGGTTGACGTCGTTGTGATCTATCATGCGATCCACCGCCTCAGACGGAAGCGAACTAACC